GCTATATTTATCACATAGAGAGCATTAATAATTACATATTTAACAATTTTATTTAGAGGAACTTAGATATGCATTGTTTGGACAAGTTTAACAACGCTTTGTAGTTGTATCGATTTGGAAATATAATTAGTTACATATAGTACAATCTAAATCAGTAGGTCCTGAGCATTCTTTACAAGCTACATTACATTATTTACAATATTTTCCTGAAGAGTAATATCCTGATTGTTATGAACAAATAACACATTTATTTGTTTACTCATGAATAAGATAGCCAGATTAGCATAAATCACAAGTGCTTCCATTTGAACACGTTTGGCAATTCGGAATGCATTTCAAACAATTATTTGATTAACTATAATATCCATTTAATTTACAATCAGTGCAAGAATGATCATCTTATAAAAAATATGGCTTTACAGAATTACAAGAAATACAATCTTGTTAATTTTTTCCGCTACATTTTATGCAATTAGGATCAAAACATTTTTCACAAAATTTTGAAGAATTTAGAAAATAGTAATCTACACAAGATGTACATATATACTCAATACAGTCTGTACAATTAATACAGTCAAATCCAATTACAGTAATATCTCTAATACCTAGATATCCCTGTGCCACTGGAGAACCAGCATAAGTAATCCTACTTTTATTTATAATTTGAAAATTTTTAGTTATTTAATTACTTGGAGACGCTCCAATTTTGTATACAAAAGAAAATGAATCAATCGTATCCATTTAATTTAATCCGCAATAATATGCTGTAGACTTATTAGTAGAAACAGTGTAACTGGAGAGTTGGCTTCCATCAGAGAGCACAACATTTATTTATGATGGTGACAAATTTGTATCAAAATCAATCAAATAAACAGTAAAAAAGATTTAGTAATACTAAGTAGAAATTGTAATAGAAGGGAACTGTATAACTGTATTATATTAGATAACCATAAAACCACCCAAGATGTTTACGCCTTTACAAGAAGTAACTAAAGGTTACTGTGGTCTTCCAGGAGTTACAGAAAAACCTTTATTAGTAACCTCTAAATCAGAAAAAGTATAGCTAGTAAATGCCTTAAGATAATATTAAATATTTTAAACTTACTATGGATTTTAAGATGCTTTTAATATAAAATTAGATCCTTGTTGGACATATCCTGGAGGTACAGTATTTTGGGTCTAGCAAATTCCATCATTATTATAAAATCCACTTGCACAAGTTTAGCATTTACCGTTATTTGATGGGTCAGGAGTTGAACAACCATAATTATAGTAGCAATATTTACCATTAGGTACATAATTGGTAGAACAAGAATTAACGCATTATCCATTTTAAAAATAGTCAGAAGAATTTGTACAAGAACAAGATCCACTTGATCCATTCGAAAAACTTGCTACTTATTAACAGCTTGTGCAGTCATTTAAAGTTATTCCATTACATAATAAGCATGTAGGATGACAAGTGTTAATGCTAATTTAATATCTATAAATATAAGAATTTAGATGTGTATTAAAATCAAAGATTGTAGTTTTCATTTAGTCACTCCCCGTATTCATAATACTCAAAACTTAAAAAAAATAAGTAAGCCTATAAGAATAAATATTGCAATCAGCATTAACAGCAAAATTTGTATAATCAGTCATAATAAAATTAGTATAATTCAAATTTATTTCATTAAAAAGTTAAATAAGATTCTTAATTCCATCTGCTATTGCATTATTTGTTACTCCTACATCAACTATAGATGCGACTTGAAAATGTGGAAATATCAAAGTATTAGTATGTATTTATGAACATTCCTATGAAAGTTCAAAAACACCGCTGCAAAATTGATTATTGCAAGAGTTTGGCAAACACTATTAGGAATTCAAACTACTTAAAACAACATTAGTACTAGAATTGATACCGTCTGTAACTAAATTTACTTGAAAATCATCACATCTAATAATTGAAGTGAAAATTAAAATGATAAAAAGTAACATATTTTTGTTAGCTTTTATGTTTTTATACCTGTTTTTTTTCTTTATTATTAAGTTTTGTTTGTATTTTTAATTAATCTCAAATATTAATTCAGAGAATAAAATAATGATCACTAATTAATTTCTTCTTTTTTAGATAATGAGAATATCAGACAATATAAATTTTTCCAAGGTTACTTAAATTTGCTTCTTAAAAAGATGGTATCTTGATTTCTTATTAATTTGTGTAATTTATTTATCATGAAATAAAATAATTTATAATAATACTTTTATAAAATGAAAGAAATTATTAAAATGGTAAAGTCACAAGCTCCTTCCTAAACATATAATACAAAAATTTATTTATTTTGTGGATGCATAGATATCTTTCTAGTGATTATCTTTTTTGGTTGGTAATCAAACCTAAAAAGCCTCTATATATAAAAATTAATAAAAGTCAATAATAGATTTCTCTTTAATTACATGTTAAGCTAAGCAATAAGATTATTGACCAGTAAATAAGTAAGAATTAAATAAATAATATTCTTTTAAGAAAATTTGTAGAAACATAATAAAATTATATAGGCAAAGATAAATTTATTACACTAAAATTTATTTATTATATTCTATCAATCAATAAAAAATAATTTTCTTTAGAAATATTTTCAAATTTAATCTATAAGTCAAACTTTTATCTTGTTAAATAATTAGAAACCTTTAAATATCTTAGTAAAGATATCTTAATTATATGATCTTAAATTTATGCTGTTTAAATTAAAAAAAATAATTAATTTCAATTTTTCCATACAAATTTTAGTAACCTGAAATTGAATAGAAAAAACTGATTTATTTTATTTCCAAATTTATGTAAATCAATCACAATTCAAAATCTAAATTTACTTTAATCATCAGATTTTTAATCTTATAAACTAAATACATATTGGTTGATAAATGATAAAATATTTAATTAAATTTTTTTGTCAATGAAACAAAAGGTATTTATTTATCTATCTAAAAACTTAACTTCATAAGAAATAAGATTACATCTGTTTATTTATTTAAATATAATAAATATATAAATTATTTTTATATTTTATTGTAAAAGCTGCCCTCGTACTAATGATGAATTAATTAGGTTAATATGATTAAAGCTAAAAAAATACTCTTAAGAAATTGCAATTATAAAAATGAAATTTAATAAATATCTTCATACTAAATTTATGAAAAAAAAAGTCATTTAATGTAATATACTTCTCTAAATCCAATTTTAATAAACAAAAATCTTCTTTGTAAATTAAAAAATTTTAATGATTAATTTTTCTTTTTTAATAACTAAATCAATTTTACACATTTAAAAAATTCTAAATAAAACATGATTATCAATATACTCAAAACAAAATTCAAATTCAATAAATAGATTTATTTGTGGTGAAAATTAATAAAAAAATGCACATGTAGAATACCGTAGTTCCTCATTAATTCTCACAAAATCTTCCACAATCTTTTTAAGCATAAAATTGTGATTTATTATATATAAATTAATTAATATTTAATTTAATAAAATAAGAAAAGGAAAAACTACATAAAATTAATTATCAATAAATTTAAATATTCTTTTTTAATTTAAAAAAAATAAAATTAAAATTATTAATTTTAAATTAAAAAGTAAACAAATAAATATATAAATGTAAAATAACATAAATTAAAATATTAATTAATTTATTTATTTTTTAATTAATTTTAACATGTAGCATTTCAGCTACAGAAAAAATTTGCTGCAAATAGCAATAATTAAACATATTATATTCTATTATTAAAGTATTTGTATATTTATTCATCTTATTTTCATCATTTATTTAGTATCAAAAATATATGTTTTAAACAACTAACCTTTTTGATTTGAGTTACTTGCTCTGAACTTTCAAATTTTCTGATTCATTGATTTCATTTTATCTTTTAATAGAAATTAATGTAAATTAATAATTAAAATTAACAATAATAATAAGTTTAAATTATAAATTTTAATAAAACTAAATATTAATCAAATGAATAAATTAAAAGAGTTTTACAGTTTTAAATTCATTTTAAATTTAAAAAATATCAAAATCCAAAGCAAATAAAGTTTTTTTACCCAAGTAAAAGCTCCAATTTTAAGATATTAGTGCTTTTTGCTAAAGCAGAACATAAGTTTGATGCACCTTCACCGCCAATTTAACTATTACTTTTTATATATTGAAAAAAATATAAATAATTTATTATCTATTTAGAAGGAAAAAATATGAAATAATAAGAAATTAACTAATATTCAAAGCAAAAGCTGTATTTAAAAAGAATAAAAGAGATAAATTAATTAAAAAATATATATAAATAGAATAAAAAAGAAAAATAAATCAATAAGAATCTTTCTAAATTAAAAAAAAATTTATTGTTTTAAATTCCTTATTATGTTAAAAATTTAAAAATCCAACAAAAAAAATAAATTGTTTTTACATCAGATTAAGTTTCAAATTTGAGAGATTAGTGAACTTTGCTAAATTAGAACCTAAGCTAAATGCACCAATTGGACCAATTTAATTTTCCCTTTTTAAATATTGAAAAAAATATAAATTTTTAATTATTTAATTAGTAGAAAAAAATGAAATAACAACAAATGAATTAATTAATGATTAAAGTAAAAGTTGAAAATAAAAAATGAATGATTTATAATTAATAATGTAAAAAATACAAGCAAAATAAAAAAGAAATATAAATCAAATAAAAAGTTAATAAACAAATTAAAGAGTTAATTTTGTTGTTTTTAATTCATTTTTATTTTAAAAAATATAAAAATAAAAAACAAATAAATTGTTTGTTTGTTTGTTTTTACCCAATACAAAGTTCCAAATTTGAGAGCTTAGTGGACTTTTCTAAAGAAAAACCTAAACCTGATGCACCTTCATCACCAATTTGATTCAACCTTTTTAAATATTGAAGAATATTTATTTATGTAATTAATAGGAAAATATGAAGAAAAAATGAGAAATGAATTTATTAATAATCAAAGAGAAAATTGAAAATAAAAAAATAAATAAGTTAAATGAAAAAAAAAATAAAATACTCAAGCAGAATAAACAGGAAAAATAAATAAAAAAAACCTTATAAGTAAGTAAGTAAATTAAAAGAGTTTTGTTGTTTTCAATTCATTTTTATATTAAAAAATAACAAAATTCAAAACTAATCAACTAAATTTACCTAAGATCAAGTATCAAATTTGAGAGATTATTGCACTAAGCTAAACCAGAACCTAAGCCTAATGCGCCAATTGCACCAATTTAATTTAAACTTTTTAATATATAAGAAAATATATTTTTTTAATTTTTAGATTATAAGGAAAAATTTAAGAAAAAATATGAAATAATAACAAATGAGTTAATTAATTAATTTAGATTCAAAGTAAAATTGAAAAATTATAAAATGAAGGAGTTTAATTAAGAAGTTGAAAAAAGCAAAATAAATAAGAAAAATAAATCAAATGAATTCATAAATAATTGGATCTAAATAGTTTTAATGGGTTAAATTCATTTTTATATTAAAAAATATGAAAATCCAAAATAAATAAAATATTTTTACTAGAGATAAAGTTTCAAATTTGAGAGATTAGTATACCTTGCTAAAGCAGAGCCTAAGGCTGACGCACCTTCATCAGCAATTTAATTCTCACTTTTTAAATATTGAATGAAAAAATATGTATTTAATTTGTGTGTTAAAAGAAAAGAATGAAGAAAAAATATGAAATAGTTAGAAATTAATTAAATTAAGAAAGAAAGAAACAAAAAAAATATAAACAAAATAAAGAAGATAAGTAAATCAAATAAAAAGTAAATAAATAAATAAATAAATTAAATGGTTTTATTATTTTAAATTACTTTTTAAATTAAAAAATATCAAAATCTTAAACAAATAATATATTTTTACTAGAGTTCAAGAGTCAAATTAGATAAATTTGTGAAGTTTGCTAAAGAAGAACCGAAATTTGATACCTCCTAAAAGCAAATAATATTCATACTTTTTAAATATTGAAGAAAAAATATATTATTAATAAGTTAGTTAAAATGAAAAATATGAAATAATAAGAAACTAATTTATTAATAAACACTCAAAACTAAATTTTTCATTAAAAAATAAAGGAATTAGATTAAGAAGAAGAAAAAATAAAAGTAGATTAAAGAAGAAATGTAAATTAAATAAAAAGCTAAATAAAAATAATTAGAAGATATTTATTATTTAAATTCATTTTTATTTTAAAAAATATGAAAATCCAAAACAAATAAGCTGTTTTACCCAAGACCAAGTTCAAAATTTGAGATATTTATGCAGTTTTCTAAAATAAAACCTATGCCTGATGTACCTTCATCACCAACTTAATTCTCACTTTTTAAATTTTGAAGAAAAAATATGATTAATTAGTTATTAAAAGGATATATGTGAAATAATAGGAAAAAAAATTAGTTAAAATTCAAATGAAAAAGTTCAAAATGAAAAAATTAAATGGTTTAAATTAAACAAGGGAAAAAAAAACAAAACAAGAATAACAAAGAAAAATAAATCAAATGTAAAGCTAAAAAATAAATTAATTAAAAAGGCTTTATTCCTTTAAATTAATTTTTATATTAAGGGGGTACGAAAAAAAATTTTTTTTTTAGGTAGCATACCAATGTCAATTTTAACCTTACTATGCTAAAATTTTTAAAATTAAAAAAAATTTTTCGTACCCCCCTCCCCCCTTAAATGAAAATTCTAAAAAAATAAATTGTTTTTACTCAAGATAAAGTCCTAAATTTTAGAGATTAGTGCACTTTGCTAAAGAGAAGCCTAAGTTTGATGCACCTGTATCACCAATTTAATTATCACTTTTTATATATTGAAGAAAAAGGAAAAATGAAGAAAAAAAAAGAAATAATAAGAAATTAAATATCAAAGCAAAAGTTGAAAATGATAAAATTAATGAGTTAAATTAATAAAAAAATATAAGCATTATAAAAAAGGAAAAAATTAATCTTATAAAATCTAATAAATATTTTAAAAGAGTTTTTTTGTTTTAAAATCCTTTTTATATTAAAAAATATCAAAATCCCAACCAAACTAATAAGCTATTTTACCTTAAATAAAGATTTAAATTCAAGAGATTAATACAGTTAGCTAAAGCAGAACCTAAACCTGATGCACCCTCATCGCGAATATTATTAAAGCTTTTTAAATATTGAATAAAAAAAATATTCAGAAATAATTTTATTTGGTATAATTTATGTTAATTATCAGAAAAAATGAAGAAATAATATATAAAATAATAAAAAATGTATTAATAAACAATTAAATTGAAAGTTGAAAATTAATTAATATGGTTGAAAAAAAAAAGCATAAAAAAAATAAAAAAAGAAAAACTTATAAAAAAATAAATTTACAAAGATAATTATTGTTTTAAATCTATTTTATATAAAAATGTATCTAAATCCAAAACTATTTTACCCAAGATAAAGATTCAAATTTTAGAGGTTATTGCACTTTGCTAAAGCAATACCTAAGCCTGATGCACCTTCATAGCCAATTTAATTCTATCTTTTTAAATATTGAAGAAGAAATATATTATTAATTAGTAAGTTGAAAGAAAAAATATGAAAAGAAAATGTTAAAAATGAAAAAAGAAAAAAATTTTACGCAACAATAAGTGTCAAATTTGAGAGATTAGTGTACTTTACTAAAGAAAAACCTAAGGCTGATACACCTTCATCAACAATTTAATTTTTCCTTTTTAAACATTGAAGAATTAATTAGTTAATTAGAAGGAAAATGTGAAGAAAAAATAGGAAATAATAAAAAATGACATTATTAATATTTAAATCAAAAGTTGAAAATAAAAAATGATTGAATTAAGTTTAGGAATAAAATAATGCAATGGGAATAAAAAAGAAAAAAAATCAAATAAAAAGAAAGCTGTTAAATAAATTAAAGGAGTATTATTGTTTGTTTCGTATTCATTTTTGTATTAAAAAATATGAAAATATAAAACAACTAATCTGTTTTTACCTAAGAACAAGTTCCAAACTTTAGAGATTAGTGTTGTTTTATAAAGCAGTACCTAAGCAAAATGTACAAATTTCATTAAACCTTTTTAAATATCGTATTAATTGTATATTATTAATTAAATTAATTAGTAACTCACTTAGCTATTTATTAATTAGTTAGAAGGAAAAATGAAGAAAAAATATGAAATAATAAGTAATGAATTAATTTGTAGTCAATGTAATTGTTGAAAATTAAAAAATAAATGAGTTAAATTAATAAAGAAAGAAAATTAAAAGTATCAATAGAATAAAAATGAAAAATTAATCATATAAAAAATCAAAAAATAAATATAAAAATTTTTACTGTTTTAAATTCTTTTTTATGTTAAAAAAATATTAAAACTCTTTTTTATGTTAAAAAAATATTAAATCCAAAACAAATAAATTATTCTTACTCTAGAATTAGAGCCAAATTTGAGAGATTAGAGCAATTTGCTAAATTAAAACCTAAGCTTTATGCACCTTCATCACCAATTTAATTTTTCCTTTTTAAACATTGAAGAATTAATTAATTAGTAAGCTAGAAGGAAAAAATAAAGAAAAATATGAAATAATAAGAAATTAGTTAGTTAATTATCAATATATAATTGCAAATTTAAATACAAATGTATTAAATTATGAAGAAAAAAAATATAAGCAAAATAAAAAAGAAAAATAAATCAAATAAAAAGTTAATAAATAAATTAATAAATAAAAAGAGTTTTATTGTTTTAAATTGATTTTCTTATTAAAAAATATTAAAAAAAAAAAACAAATAATCTATTTTTACGTAAGATAAAGTTTTAAATTTGAGAGATTAGTGCACTATGCTAAAGCAGAACTTAATTTTGTAGTACCAATATTACCAATTTAATTATTCCTATTTAATATTAAAAAAATATCAAATTAATTATTTAATTAGAAGGAAAAAAAAAGAACAAAAAATATGGAACAAACAATAATAAACAAATTAATTGATAATAAAAGCAAAAGTTGAAATGAAAATATGAATCAGTTAAATTAAGAAGATAAAAAAATAATAAGCATAATATAAAAGAAAAATATATCTAATAAAAACTAATGAATTAATTAATTAATGAAAAGATTTTCATTGTTTTAAATTCATTTTCACATAAAAAAATATGAAATCAAAAACAAACAAACTGTTTTTACTCAAGACCAAGTGCCAAATTTTAGAGATTAATGGACTATGCTAAAGTAGAACCTAAGCATAATGTACCTTTTTCACCAATTTAATTGTATCTTTTTGAATATTGAAGAAAAAATTATAATTAATTATTAGTTAGTTAGTTAGAAGGAAAATATGAAGAAAAAATATGAAATAATAATAATAATAAATGAATAATGAATATTCAAAGCAAAAATTGAAAATAAAAAATCAATTAAATTAATAAAGAAAAATAAAGCACTAGTTGAATAAAAAGAAATATAAATGAAATAAATAAATAAAAAGCTATTAAATAAAGTAAAAGAATTTTATTGTTTTAAATTCCTTTTAATTAAAAAAATAAACAAAATCCTAAACAGATAAATTAGTTTAACCTGAGTTCAAGTACCAAAGTTTAGAGATTAGTGAAATTTACTAAAGCAGAACCTAAGCAAGATATATTAATTGCACCAATTTTGTTTCTACTTTATAAGTATTGAAGAAAAAAATAATTAGTAAATTAGAAGAAAAATAAGAAATAATAGCAAATAAATGAAATAATAATCATAGTAAAGGTTAAAAATTAAAAAATAAATGAGTTAAATTAATAGACAAAAAAAACAACCAGAATAATAAATAATTATTAGCCTAATAAAAAGTTAATAAATAAATTAAAAGAAAATTTTATTGTTTTAAATTCCATTTTATATTAAAAAAATAAAAAATCCAAAACAAATAAATTGTTTTTACCTAAAATCAAGTTCCAAATTTGAGAAATTAGCACAGTTTGCTAAAGCAGAGCCTAAGGCTGATTCATCTGCCTCACCAACTTAATTAGACCTTTTTAAACATTGAAGAAAAAATATATATTTAATTAGTTAGTATTAAAAAATGAAAAAACATATCAAATGATAAGAAATTAATAATCAAAGTAAAATTTGAATTAAAAATAATTTAAAAAATATTGTAAAACTAACAATGTTTCAATCAATATAGACAAGAATATCAATTGGAAAACATTAGAAAAATAGTATTGTAAATAATTTGAAAATTAAATATAAAAAAAAATTTTAATCATAATAACAAATTTAATTTACTATTGTGTACTGAGAGCTGAATTAGATTAAATCGAGAAGTCTAAAAACTTTTTTTATTAAGAAATATAAATTTAAAGAAGATTCTTTAAAAAATAGATAATAACATCTTGTAGATTATTGAAATGTTTTTTCTATTATATCATGTTTTTATTTATTTATTATTTGTTCAAAAATAAAAAAAATCAGTTTATGGAAATTTAATTAAATATAAAAATATAGAAAAATTAATTTAGCTTTATATAGACTTTATTTGGATAAACAGAACAAATAATTTTAGAAAGAGAACAGAAATATTAATTAATAAAATTTGCTTTTAGGAAGATATAAACAAAAAATTTAATTTCCTATATTGAAAAAATTCATAAAATTGAGTACTTAAATCTTAAAAAAACTATATTTTATAGTAGGTTTTTCAGTTTTATTCATGTAATAAATGAGTAGAAATAAATTTATTGCAAATTCTCATTAATTAAGTAATAAAGACAGACTAGACCCTATTTAATTATGACATAATTTTATCGAAAAATAATTTTGTTGATATTAAAACCTAAAACTTGAAAAAAATTTCAATTATGAGGATCTTAATTAATTAATGAGGACAAAAACATAAAGAAATAGTTCATTTTTATGTAATAGATATTAATTTAAATTTGATATATCAATTTAATCAAATATATCTCTTCTCTTACTAATTATCATTTTCTAAATATGTTGATTTTTCTTCTAATTTTTTTAAATAAAATATTAAATTATGAAAAAATTTTTTATAATAAAAAATAGAAAGTGTAAAATTAGTTTTAAATCATAAAAATTAAATGAAATATCACGATCTGTACCTACTCAGTTCATGATATTTTAATTAGAGGATTATCTATATATATATCATCATGTAACAAAATTTATTTATATTTTAAAAAAAAATTTTAAATTTAACATATTAAAAAAAATCTTTAATTTTCAATGAGAATATGTATTATTAAATTAGATAATTTATCATTCAAATATTCATGGCTAAATTAATAATTTTTTGAAACGAAATACATTTAATTTAAATTTTTATTTTAAAAATTATTGATTGTCATCAGACATAAATTGATTTAAGAAATCTTAAAGAATTCACTTTTATTTAATTCATTAAATAATTTATTAAAAATTTGAAAGTAAAATCAATCAATTATAATCTCTCAATAAAGAGTTCATTAAACTCATGCTTAATATTTAAAAAAATAAGTCAGTTTAAGAAAGACTTTCAAAATAATTACTCATAATTTTTATAAAAATTAATTACTATATTCATTCATTCATTCATCTTTTTGAACTAAATTAGATTTTACAAAAAAATAAAAATAAAAATTGATTTTTTTAAAATAGAAAAATATTATTAAGCAAATGAGTAACTAACTTTATTACATAAAAGAATGGCAAAAGAAAGTACAAAAAAATTCAAAAGAACAGTGAATTTTATCTACATTTGATTTATTATTTTATCCTAAAAATAAAAAATAATAAATATCCTTCAATTTAAAGGAAATCATTTTTTATGCAGAAGGCACATGTTAATAATAAATTAAGTTAGTAATAATAATATTCATTCCTTAATAAATAAATAATTGACTTGTCAAACAAGAAAAGCTCTTCAATTTATATTTAACTGATATATTGATTTTTTTGAAAATTAAGTCAATTTAGATTTATTTATTTACATATCGATAATAAACTATTAAGTGTTTTTAAAGCTATAAAGTATATAAAAATAGGAAATTTAATGGGGTAGAATTGTTGCTCATAGTGTAATACTAAGGTAGCTGAATAGTTCACTTTAGAATGTGACGAAGGTACTGATTAGTAATAACTAGAGGCAGTTAAGGCTTAGTTTAAGTTTATAAATACAAATTAGATTCCTATTTTGCTGCAATCACAATTATTCAAAAGTGAATTTGTTAGGGAAATAAATGCTCACCAAAAGCTCAACAAAATTGCTTACTTATAAAATGTGAAAATATAGTCGATTATAAACGATCCTCTAGGGTTATATTTGGAGCAGTAGTTTTGCTTTGAAATGAATCGATACTAACTAAATGTCCCTATTCTCTCTGTCAATTTGATTACTGATTGGTAGAAGATGAAGAATATTGTTCAGTAGAGATTATAATTTGATCGTTGTCTACTTAACGTAATGCTGCAAGAATTTTAGGGCAATAAATTTATTCAGCCATTGAATGACAGGATATTCAACTAATTCTGTTCAATTCAAATTCTGTAAGAGCTTTTTGTTTCAATTGATGAAATGCTCAATCAGTCTCAATAAAATTTATTTCCTCACAATTAAAATCAAAATTTTGATAAAAACAATAAAGTTAAATAATATGACTAAGCCGTAGCAAATTTAAACATAGATCAATTATAGTTTAGCAAGTACGCGAATGAAGAGTTTATTTACATTCCCATTATTAATTTAACATTTAGAGAGCTTTCTTAAAATGCTATAAATACGCAATTTATAGATTGCAGAAACATCTCTTTAACAGGATATAGCAATATAGAGTTTGTCTTAAAAGCTACTCAAATGATGTAAATGTGTATCTCCGTTTTAAAACATTAGCAATAAGCAAGTCCTTCACTAAATATAAACCCTTCCGTGCACAAAGATATAAGCAACTATTAAATATATGTATTAGTTTTGCATAAAACTTAAGTTTAAATACAAAATATGCAAATAATAAAAACAAGAAACATAGAAATAAATAAATATCTTTTATGTGATTAGTAAGCACTAATACTTAAATAATAAATTTATTTTTAATAAGATCAGTTAGCTTTTCTTCTCAGTGAGCCAGTATAATAGTAGTTTTCAAGCTAGTTTTTAGATGAGTTGTTAATGTATAAGGTGTTAAATAAAAACACAATCAACTATGTTGATAAATATGTATTCAATTTAAGAAAAACTATTTTCGAACAATTGACAAAAATTTATATATAGTCTTGTAAAGATATCCAAAAACCGTAGCTTTTTGAAGATTATTTGACAAATAGCTTGATATATTTCCTTAAAAGGAGTCAAGAAAGCATTCTATAATAATTAAATGATAATATAAGCAATCACTAAGATAAAAACAGCTTTAGTAAGATAGTAATTACAACAAAAAATGGTAACTTAAAACCACAAGACATAATAAACATGAGTGAATACGCTGATTTTGTCTTCAGCACTTGTTCAAGCATAATATTTGATGAATATTTCAGTAAATTTTACTTTTAAATTTTACAAGATCAAGACAATTAGCAGATAAAGTAGACAACAACAACAAATATATTCAGCATAATAGAAAAAATCGTTTACAGTTTAAATAAAATTAAGCAATCTAATAAATAAAATAATTATACGATTGAATCTGAAAATTTCTATACAGAGGCTATTTAAGAAAATAATAAAATATTTAGTAATGGTTAAAGAAAAGAAACAGATATTTAAAATAATAACAAAAATAATAAATTAAGTTATAATGGAGCTATCAATTAGCAAAGAGATTCAAATTTTTTATAAAATGCTTAAAATTAATTTAAATAAAAATTAAATTAACTAAATAAAAGTGATTAATATCATGAACCGTAAAATTTTTACTCTCCTGTTTATCAAGAAAGGTTTGTAAAGTAAAACTATACTCCAATATAAGAAACTCCACTAACTACGGATCAAATCATAAACAGTCTACCTATTTCTCCTTCAAACTTGCATGAAAAAAAAGAAGGAAATTTTACACCAAAATAACATTTTTAAGGATAATAATAGCAAATTTAGCACATTTAACAAATTGATAACAATCAAAATTCACCTCTTAAAAATAAAAATATTTTCAAATTAAATATTAACAAAAAAAATAACTTTATTGATAGCAATAATTATAATAATATAAATTAATACTTATAGAATAGAGCAAATCCTGATAATTATAAAAATAACGCATCAGGTAATAATAGCACTATAAACGAAAAAATAAATTAAACAGCAAATAACGAAAATAATAAATTTATTAAATAAAATGATAGAAAAGATATAATTTAACAATAAAATAATCATATAAACTTTAGAAATGGAAATAGCCATATCTATAACAGCCCTCAAAAAAACGGAATTAATACAAATCAAATTGAAAAGAGTAATGATAATATAATTTTAAATAATCCAAGCAAAAAGAGTTTAGATAGATAAAATTATGTAAATAAAAGTAACTTAAGATATAAAGATGATACTTAGAGAGAAAGTGATGTCTAAAGTTTAGAATAAAATCAAAAAGTGAAGAATGTTAATTTTAATTTATCAAACTCGAAAGTCAGCTAGAATAATGAAAATAACAACAATAATTAATTTTAAGGTTCACTTCGAAAATTAAACGAAAATAATGAATAAGAAAGTAATGGCGGTTATGATTCACCAACTTTTCTTTCAAGTAAAAATATAAACAGCTCATTTAATGTTTTTGATTAATAAGACATATAACAAAATATTAGAAATTCTCACAAAAAATAAGTTAATGAGAATAATGTTGCTTTCTAAGAGAGGACTAGTTATTTACATTCTGTAAACTCCATGCATTTATCCAAATTGGATTTATTTCAAAAAACAGAAATTTACAACAAAAAATTAGATTTGTATTTGGGGTGTATATTTGGTTCATTTTTAGGAGATTCTATGGGATTGTTCATCAGATACAAAAAATAATTTTCCATCAAAGAAATCTAACAATCAATCAATATGGAATATCAGCCGAGCATCATTTTGCCTAACCCTGCACAACTTTCAGAAATATCTGAATTATCTCTTGAAATTGGGTAAAAAAATAATATTTATTCGATTAATTTTTTCATTAATTTATCATTCTTTTTTTTAATTTAAAAATTAATAGTTTTTAATACGTTTTATTCAAATTTATTAAAAAAATTCTTTCTTTTCTTATTTAATAAAAATGAAAAAAAATGGTTAAAAGCTTTGCTTGGTTTTACATTTAAAAATTCTATCAATTTAATAAAGAGATTATTATTTAAAGCATTATTTTTTTTTGGATAAAATGTAAGTTTATTAATATAATTTTAATTATAAAAAGGTATGGACTTAGCTGTAAATACGGAGTTTTTGATTAAAAGGAAATTGCTATGAATTTGATTGAGTGGGTTAATTCAAGACCTCCATTTAATATTGATAATAAATAGTTTTATAAAGTACTTAGACAAGTTTCTAATTTATAAGATGATATCAAACCAGAGGAACTATACAAATAAATATAACAGAAATTTTTGTTTGATTAAAATGAAGATAATTAAGTAGAAGTTTTAGCTAGAGTTTGCTTTTTAGCAGTATTTACCAGTGCTGTTATGGATGAAGATATGATCAAAATTATAAAAAGTTTAGTTTTGATGTTTACCCATCCATCAGATTAGCTGCTGACAAACGCTTGTCTTGCTATTTGTTATTGCATTAAATAAATAATAAACTCAAACCTAGATAGAAAAAGTATATTCGAAAAAACTATGAAGTTCTGCCTCACTCATATCATGGATAGCTAAATTATTGAAATACTCTAACATTCTACAAATCCTATTATGAAGGTATTTGATCATCTTACTATTTAGTAATAGCCTCTTCAGTTCGCTGTTTACATGGCATTTTATTTTTTCTACCATAACTTTGGATTTGAAAGTTCTCTTTAAAATATTTTCTCATATGGAGGGTAAATTAAATTAAATTAAATTAATTAAAATTTTATTTATTAAATTCTTATAATTATTAAAAGTGATAGTTGTTTATTTGGTTCAATTGTTGGCTGTTTAATAGGCGCAATTATCGGTTTTGGAAATCTTCCACAAACTCAATTATAAAAAATGATGAATTTCAACCCTGAAAATGTTAAATTTTTCTTAAGGCCTGAGAGATACAGTCCTAAGAATGGGTATAACATTGCAAAAGAAATCTTAGAATTTTATTTTTCAAAGGAATGAGTTTGAATTTCGTCTAGATTAAGTTAATAAAGCAATAAAAATGATTTTGAATAAGTTTCAAACCAATAATAAAATATGTTTAAAATTTAAAATAACAATCATAAAAAATAAATTTAAATAATTTATCTTAAAGAATTTTTTCAAAATATTTAAGCAAACTAATTAATTAATTTGCTCATTAATTTCTTGAAAAATAAATAAATAAATACTAAATTGAGAAAAATAAATGAATTTGAGTTTTGAAATGGTTAATTAATAAATTTTAAATAACAAATATTAAATGAAGGCTTATAAATCTTATATATAAAAATAAACTTATTTTTCTTTTAATTAATTAAATTACTTAATTGAATTCTATCAATAATTATTTGTTTTAGTTTTTATAACTCTTTGAATGTTTTGTTTGTTTGTATAATTTACTTAACTAATTAATTTAATTACTTAGTTATTGATTGAGGCTAGATAGATAGTTAGTTAGTTAATGTTTTTAATTTAATTTATTAGCTAATTAATAGCTAAATAGTAAATAACTATATTTATTTATTATTTACTTGATAATTTTGTGTTTGTTTTGGTTGTTTTTATTTTAAATTAGACAAAGCGAGCTCATTTCTTTTCTTGAGCAGCATCTTTTGTTTTTCTAGCTTGCTTTTTGGCTTGTTTTTCTTTGTCTTTGATCTTTTGCAATCCTTTTTAATTAATTAAATAAATTACATTTAATTTAAAACTAATTCAAATTAATTGATAAATTTTATTACCCGCACCTGCAAGTTTCACGTTACCAATAATACAATTGATAATTTCTTACTCAGTCATATTCTTTAAACACTTTTTCTCTTATTGATTAGTATCTTTAGAGCTCTAAAAGAAGTGAACAATAGATTTAGCAGCTTTTGATAATAATTATTATCATCTTTATTAATATACATAAAAGTAATAAATTTTTACCTTTTCCTTTCTTAAGAGTACCTGGAACAAGTTTAATTTTGTACTTACTGTTAAGAATAGATATAGTATTATAAGGAGCACACATTAATAAAGTAGATGAGTATGTTTCTATTTTTTTAATATATTAAATTAATATATTTAATAAATTAATATAAAATCTTGAATTTAAGACAAATTTAAAATTATTTTTTAAAATCTGATACAAAAAAATTAATTATAAGCTTAAAATTAAATCTAAATTGTTTTTATCTTATGCAAATTTGAAATATTACAATAAATATAATAAAATTTTATAGAAAGAAATTAATACCTTCAGGATATGTAAATGTTGCTAATCTAGAAAGCTCTTACAACTCACTGTCGATGATTTCATCTTTAACATCTTCATCTATCTTGTTTTATTCGTTAGCTTTTTGCTCAGCAAGTTCATCATCTTCTTCGTTATCTCCATCTTCTGGGTTACTTAATTCATCTTCATTTTCTTTTTCTTAGCTTGGTTTAGCATCTTTAACTGATTCTTCCTCAGCAGGTTTTTCTTAGCTGGGCTCTTCTGCTTGGTCTTTATTTAGATCTACAGCAGATAATTATTCAGTGATTTTGCTGGGAATTTAGTTAAGTGATAAATCTTCACAAGCTTCAACTTCAATTGAGCCCTTAGAAATTTAATCGTCGGCTTTTTTAGGAACACCACAGGGAATTTCAAGTTCTTCTTCGTCCTCAATTTATTATTGCTTTTAGTTCTTACTATCTTTATCTTTGTTGTTTTTTCCCTTGTTATCTTTATCTTTTGTGTTGTTCTTTTTCGAGAAGGCTTAGTCTTCTTTAATTTTAACGTCTTTCATCTACTTAGCACCAATCAAATGCATTCTAAGTTATCTTTCTTCTTCATCTTGATCTGCATACTTTTCTTGCATTTTTTTAATTTTATTTTTTTTCCCTCTTGGGACTGGTTTATTATTGTTTTATTTTTCATCTTCTTTGTCAGATTCACTTGAAGAGTCATTCTTTTTGTTATCTTTTTTCTTAGCATCTTTTTGATCTTTAGATTTCTTACCATCATTGCCATTTTTAGATTAGCTTTTATCATCTTTTTATTGTTATTTATTTTTTTATTTAGCTTATTAAATTTCTTTCTAGATTTATTGTGCATTCTTTGGTTTAGGCTAAGGAGGTACATTTAATCTAATCATTGTAACTTCTTCATCAATAACGCTAGTAGAAGCCTTTTGAAGAAGGATAGGAACTTATTCTATTTTGTTTTGTTATTGTTGTTGAGCAAATGGATCCTCGTTTACAATAGAAACTCCTTGATCTGATTATTATGACTCTAATTGCATATTAGGTCTAATTTCAAAATTAGTTTCATCGAAATCATTCTAGTTATCAATTTAAACTCCACTAACTGTTGTAGTGTTGTCATCTTTATCCTTTCTTCTTCTATCATTTAAATGTTTCTCAACAAATTAGTCATCTAACTTGTAAAGAAGAGTGCAACCCATTTCCATTCTAGCAGGGTATATGAAATTCTTTTTTCCTCTAATCATAAAACTACCAGAAGGCAAATATTCACCTTTATTTTAAATATAAATGAGAAATTCAATCAAAAAATTAAAAATTAAAGAGCTTTTTCAAAAAAATAATTACCAGTTTCTGCTCTTTTCGATACTTAATGATCATATACCCACCAAGCTGAAGCAATAATTTTTGCTTCCCAAGCCTTTGAACGACAGATAGTAGCTATAGCTGCTTCTTCAATAGTTTATTAAGAGACGGGGATGTCTTTAAAAGGATTCTTAATAATTGTACTGGCAGCACCATGGAAATCAGCATGCATATAAATATCTCCCTTTAATTAGAATAAAATTTTTAAGCAAAAAAAGTAAATTAATAAATTTAAACTTGAAAAAATAAATGATTAAAATGATTTTAAGTTAAATATTTCCTAATAATTTTATTATAATTGTATTATCTACCTTTCTCATGTATTTTTTGACAATAATTTCGTTTTATTGCATATCTCTACCTGAAATAACAAGATAATTTTCACTTGAAATAAACCAGTAGAACTTTTCAAACCAGTATTGCTTTCTTGTATTTACAACGTTATTCTTTAACTTAAGCTTTATAGTTTTTAAATAACCAATTAAACAACTTTATTTTAGAATTTAAATTTTACATTTTCTATTTCTTTTAATGCAGTTTTTTCAGCTTACTTCAAAGCTAACTTTGAGGCGTCAAGAGTTTTTTTTTCTTTGACTATGTTTTTCTTTTTGTTTTCGTAATAATTCCTAGCATTCTAGTGAGCAGAATAAGCAATATCAATAGCAACAACAGTATATTCTTCCATATCATCACATGGATCTCCCAACAAAACACTGATTTCGTTGTTTTCAAAATCTAAACTGTGAATCAAATATGCCATAGGATCGCCGTTTTTCTTACCTTCGTTGATCATCTTAGTAATTTTGTCCCAAGACTCTCCACTTGACTTTAAAGTCTTAATGATCTTTATTAAATAAACAAAATTGAATAATTCTGATTTATAGAAAAAAAGAATAATTAATTTACATTGATGATTGCGTCTACATAATCAATATTCATTTCAATTAATTAAGCTTTAACAACATACTCTTCCTATTCATTTTTAAGTTTTTGAATTCTATTCAATTAATCATTTTTTATATTTTCATATTTTTTCCATGCAATAGATTCAACATCATTTTATTCTTCTTGGATCTTTTATGCCATAACTTAAAAGTATTTATCGACACTTGCATTAAAAGAGTTATTTTCAATGAACTTTTTGCCTTCGTGACAGGTTAAATACAAAGGAGAGAAATCGAAATACTTTTCTTTTTCTTCTTCTTTCTTTTCTTCTTTAGCTTTTTCAGTAGGAATTTCATCATTGTTTTAAGCTCCTTCTATTTATTGCTATTCCTATTTATTTGGTCTATGCTTTACCTCCTTTTTATCTGAAACGATCAAGTAGCCCTAATGCACAGTCTTTTAGAAGTCGAGGATAAGGTCCTTGCATTTATCTGCCATTTGCTTAATAATTGCAACATCTGCAACAGTAACTTTTTAATTTGGGTTTAATCCATTAGAAGAAATAATATGATCAATAACAGGATTATGCAAAGAGGGAACAATCTTGAAGACTATTTCCCTTAGCTTATAGCCTTTAGTAGCTTTAGCAGCATTATTTTCTATTAATTATAAAAATTTTTAATTTTCATTAATCCTTCATTCATTCGTTAATAAAATAATTTAATTATAAAAAAATTTCTTTAAAATTTATTAAATTCTTTCTATTCTATTTTACTTTTTATTTTTACAATTAATTTTTATACTATTTTACTATTTTTAAAATTAATTTTTATTCTATTTTACTATTTTAAAAATTAATTTTTATTCTATTTTACTATTTTTAAAACTATTTAATTTTGAGCTAAAAATAAAATATTTTTATTATTTTAAGTGAATTTAAATTAAGTTAAAATACTTTTAATAATTATTAATTTAATTAGAAATAAAACACTTTTAATTTTTTCAAATTAAAATTAATTAATTATTTTTACTTTTTCCGTCTTTCTTTTACTTATCTTGATCTTTTTAATTATTTTTGCCATCTTTTGTTTCTTTTTTTTGTTTGTTTTTCTTTTTTTTGTCAGCTTCATCTTCATCTTTTTCTTCTTCCTCTTTATCGTTATTTTTTTATTTTTTATCTTCGTTTTTTTCTTCCTACTCATTATTTTCTTCTTAATTCTCCTTTTGCTTGATAAGTTCTTCTATGATAGATTCTGAAGTATCGAATTTTTCCAAATATAAATTTGCTGCTTATTCAAATGGATACCTTTCTCCTATTGCAGTCCTATTAATTTGATTTGTATAAAAAGTATTTAGCAAATAAGATTAAATTTTGTTTTATTTGATATTAAATATTCCTCAGTTCTATTTATATATTGGCCTTTAAATCAATAGGCAAATTTGCCTTTTTTGAAATTTTAAATTTGTAAAGATATTTATTGATTGTATTCATATGTTTATTTATCTAAACTGAATTTTTAAACTAAGTAGCAAATGATCTCAAAATAATAACACAAATAATGCAATTAATTACTTAATGGTTTCAGTGAATTGATGCTATCTCATCAGTAAAATGATATTAAAGTCTTTGTCTGTTAAAATGATGTTACCCTGTATTTTTTGATTACAAAAAGGTCTTAGAATGATTTAGCACTCAAAAATAATAATTATTGGTTATTTACACTAGAATACATTTCGAGAATGATATGATTTGTTGATTCACCACTACCAAAAGTGAGAATAATAACTCTTTCAACTCCTATTTGCTTAATGTCTTCTAATCTCTTAGATCTTAAATACTTTCTGAACTAATTTCATTAATAATTTTTTTGTGAAATCAATCAATAATATTAAATTAAATAACAAAGTACCTTCATTGTAAATCCTGAAGGCATCTTACTTTTCTCTTGCTATATGTCTGTAGTGTGGAAACGAATACCTTTATTTTATAATATATTTTTTTAATTTCATTGAATGTCTTAAAATAGTTTTCTATAGGGATTATTTTTTAGGCGCAATTTTTTACCATTTTCAATTAATAAGAACTCCTTGGTTTCTCCTCTGGCTAGCTTGAAGAGATAGGTCTTTTGATTGATGTCATAAATATTAGAAACTCTATTTTATATTCAATATAAAAAATATTTAGTTTATCTTTGCAAAAAAAAAGGTTTCAGCTTGAAATATTCTTTGTCTGCTGTCTGAATCTATAAAATCATATTAATCTATTTTTATTTTACCTGAGACCAATTAGCTTTTACTTTAATTCAGTGACTAATGCAGTGATATCCAATGACGTTAAACGAACTTTTGTTTTTTCTCCTGACATTTAATTAATATTGATTTCCTTTGCTTAATAAAACTTGCTTGCTTTTATGCTAAATTTTCAACAATATTCCCTTGTCTATCTATTTGTTACACGCTTATTTACTAGTGTATTGCTTGCTTATTTGTTTTTTTCTTAACTTAGCTGATTAATTAAATTATCTAATAATTAGTTAGTTTGTTAATTTGTTTGTTTTTTTGCTTGTTTGCTTATTAATAATTAATTATTTAATTAGTTTCTACTTTGATTTTATAATTGATATTTAATTAATTAATTTTTGATAAATTTCTGAATTTTTCGAGTAATTTTTTATTTTCTGCAAACAAAAAGATAAAGTATCTAGAAGAATTCAATTTCACATAAATTTTTTATTTTTTATAATTTATTCTTTCTTTTTCATTTTGTTAAATACACATGTTTGTTTGATTGAATTAATGATAAAAAACTTAGTTAAATAAGAGAATGTATGTATAAATGAATATATTAATATTTTATAAAGTTAAGACCCATCATAATAATATAGTTATTCAAGTTTCTAAATATCTATTTAATTTTATCTAAGTTACTTGCTATCCTTTTTAGCTTAAAAAACAGATTTATTTCTTATAAATTTTTGAGGCATAAGAATATAAATAGATAGATAGATTTAATTTATCTTATATTGATTTGATAAGCTAGACCTTTAATATTTTTATACATTTACCAAAAGAATTTTTATAAGTTAGTAAGCTCAATGACCAGAATTTTCTTTACCTAATCTTTGGATTTTAAAGTGAAATAGATAAATTAGAAAGACTCTACTCATTTAATAGTTTCGAAAGCTGTATTAAATCGGCTACTTTTTGAATATATTGAGAAAACCTAGAAATATTTTTTACATTTAATTGGATTAATCATTTTGAGATTATTATTCTATAATAAAAGCTTTTTAAGCTCAATTAAACGAATTGAAGATGATATTAAAGCATGACCTTTAAAAAAATAAAATACTTTTATTTTACACAAGAAGATATTTAGATTGATGGATACAAATTATTTAATTAGATTTTAATAATTTTTTGAGGAAAAGTATTTTTTAATTTTTGATGCTAAGTTTGTTTTTGAAGAAAGTTTTTATTAAAAAAATTATTTTCAAAGCTTGTTTTTCTTTTTGTTATTTCAATCATTTATTTTCAAATAAATTTACATGAAAAATATTTTATTAACTTTTATCGTTGGTAGATTTATTTTCTTTTATTTAATTATAAATGAATGATATTTTTAATAATGATTAAACCTCACAAAAATAATTGTTATAATATAAAAATATTCTTTTAAATATAATGAATGATAATTTAGATTTAGAACTTAATGAGATTTATTATTATCAGACACACATAAATTTACATTGAAATAAAATGATTGTTTGGTTGATAGTTTTATTTATTTATTTATTTAGAAATAATATTAATATATTATATAGTTTTTAATTAATAATAATTTTACATTAAAGTAATATGATCAAATTGTTAATAATTAATTCATTTTTTATTTATTTATTTAGTTAGTTAGATAGATAGTTTTTTTAGATTTGATGATTTACTTTTACTTGAAATAATTACTTTTTTATATTTTTTTTTACTGTTTGATTATGAAGAAGAACTTGCTCTGAGTAAGTGTATAAGTGTATAAGTATATGTATGTGTGCATGTATTTATATTTTTATATGTATGTGTTTGTATGTGAATATGTATATATACATGCGTATGAGTTTTTGTGTCTTCTTATTAAAAATGTTTTGAAAAATAATCACAAAAATTAAATTACCACATTTATACGCTTTAAATAGTTGGTACAGGTAGGCAGGTTCAGTATGATCTTAAATATTTGCTAGCTGCATGATATAATAAACGCATTTATTTATTAATTAATTTATTACAAGGTTGATTGATTTATTCTCTTTCAATTTAGTAATTATTTTTGTGTGTGTAGTTTTAAAATATTAATATAAGTTAATACAATTCAACTAATGTTCTTTCAAACTATTTGTTTATTTAAAATAGATTAGCTAATAAAAGGAATTTTTATGTCTTGAGCTTTAATTCTTCTCTTTTGAAAAATTTAGTTTTAGTTTAGGAAATAATTATTATCAATAAACAGAGGACTCTGCTTCGAGTCGCTATCAAAATATTATTGTAAATTATTTTATTCGTTATCTTCTTCACATAGGTTTTATACTTTCAATTTTTCATTCAGGATTTCTATGTTATTTTCACACATTGTGTGCATTCTCACTAATGGAGGAGGTGAGTTTCCATTGTGGTGATTATTTATATGAGCAAACTTCTATGGATTGGCTTGCGTTTGATTATGATTGATATTTGCAAACTAGTCTGTCTTTAGTAGCTATTTGTTACCATTCATCATCTCAAGTAACACAGCTAATTCTTGGTTATTCTCGAACTGGTGATTGCAATACAAAGCACCTAGCTGAGAAGATATAGATCCTAAAATAGCAGGAGAGTTCTTTTTAGATTTATAAAAAATGACATTAATTTTTAAAATATTTGGAGGAGTTCAAAATAATAATTTTATGTATTAAATCTTCCTTTTTTCAAATTAAATTTATTTAAATCCTGTAAATTAATTTATATTTTATAGTTCTGATATAAGTTTTGGGATGTAAGTTAATATTCATTAAAAAAAAATTATTCTTAAAATTTGTAGTTGATGCTAGATATAAATTATCTTTAAAAAAACTTAAGGTTCTAAAAAATAAAAAATTTCAATAAATTTTTATTTATTAAAATGAATTTTCAGTAATTAATTGATGAGGAAATAATTTGTATTGATATTAATTTATTTTGCGTTTTCAATAAATATGTATGAGTTTTTTTTATATTATGAAATTTTATTTATTTTTAAAATAAATTTCATCTGAAAAAGAGAATTTTTAATCAGAACCATAATTATTGTTATGGTTTTGATAAGTTATAAAAATAAAATATCATCTTGCTTATTGAAAATTTGATATTTTAATATAAAATTATTACACTTTCAAAATAGGAGATATTATCGTCATAAATAGTATCTCTGGCACTTTTTAACATTTCTTCGTCTGTAGTTTTTCTTCCTCCGACTATAACTAAGAAATCAATTTTTTTATTTTTAAGCAAACAGCTATTTTAGATGGCTATTTTAGTCATAACACCCTATTGTATTTAAAAAATAGATTAAAACAATTACAAAATTATTTATCGAGTTTTATTTTTCAATTTTTAAGAAAAATAAAATTTTATTATAATTTTATAATACTAGAATAAAATAGGATAAATGCATTTATTATTTACCTTATTCAAGCACTATGGCCTCACTTAAACGAAATCATAACCTTCAAATATTTCATTTCCTGGCATGCTTTCTACTATTTAAACTAACTACTTTATTAGTTCATTTTTTTATGCATCAGCAAACTCTTTTTCTACATTTTCAAAATGCCAAGAAGTTTAAAGTTCAGAGTCTACTATGTAAGACCCAGCAGTTTTTTGCACAAAGTTTTCCATTTTAGTTTAAACTTACATTTTCCATAATGTATGTTCATATTTACTTGTGAGTTAAAAGAAATCTAAATCACTGCCTGTCTACTAAATTTTGAAGCCATTGTATGCAATTAAAATAATGTTTTTAATGTGTCCAAAATATTTTTATAACAGTTCTGGAGATTTTCCACTTATTATATATATCTAAACATTTGGCTGTTTCGAAAGCTCTTCTACTTATTTAAAAAGTAGAGGATTAGGCTTAGGCTCAGAGAGAAGGTTTGAAGGATGGTCAAAGAAAACGCTTGAAAATCCAAAGATGAAGACAGCGTTTTTTGCATTTTTACATCTGTAAATAAGATTTTAAAGATTAATTTCAATATATTATTGAGAGCTTCTCTCGTAAATTTTAGAAATGATCTCCTTATGCACGTTATTATTCTATTTATCTAGGGCCACAGTCTTCTCTTCTGTGGAGATAAAAATGCATGTATTTTTTTAAACAGACTATCTCTTAACGATATCACTTATGAAGTGATTGATCCAATTCTAACTAGAACAAAATTTGATCAAGTAATTATAATCGAACTCTCGTTGAGCCTACTCACTTGTGTTGTTTTTTTCAGTAATATTAATTCTTATTTTATCTTGTATGATTTAACTAGACTAATTATTGACATTATTTCCATCACTGTTGCTATAATCTGCAGCTAATTTTTTTCTGTCTTCTTACATTTTCAAACCATCTTATAGATAAATCAATTGCTAGCTAGTAGCAAAACTCTCCTTACTTTATAAACAATAAATAATTTTAATTTTGTATTATATTAATGAATCTATTTTGAAAAATACAAAACTTTAAAATAAAATTTTAATTTTTGAAATGGTTCATCATATTATTTTTTCTATTGTTATGAAGTTAAATTAATTAAGGGGAAGAAAGAACAAATAGAATGATCTTTTATTTGATTAAATTAGCTATGCTACTGTAACTAAATGTTATTAAAAGATACTGATATATTTAAATTAAAGGGAAAATATATCTTCATTAAAAATTTGGTTATAGTAATAAATTTTATAGAACATAATAAGGACATATCATTACTCACTTGTAAATTACATTTTAAAAAGTAAATATCTTTTATTAATGGAGTAAATATCTAAAAAAGTTACTCTTTTTTCAAGGAGATAGAGGGTTGGTTGATGTAGATTTAAGATTAAACTTGCTACTATTCAGGTTTAATTTATTCTTTGAATGTCTTTTTATTTTTTGCTAGATTCTAAAAGATTTTGCTTAGAGTACTTACAATTTTTGGCTAGTCTTAAGGATTAATAATATTTACTGCACTAAACTGCGATATTTAGTTCAGACAGTTGCTTAGAATGAGTTAGCCATCTTTTTTTAGGAATAAGTATTCCATGTAATGAAAATGCCTTGTCTCTTATAAAACTGTAGATAAGAAGACCTCACTAATACTTAAATATTGATAGTAGTCTTCAAAAGAAAGGGAATCACCTTCAATAATTTCGATAGCACTATCGTAGAAAGACTGAGACTGATTAATAGATCTAGCAAGTGATTTCACTTCGTTTAAATAATCTTGTTAGTCTTAACTAGTTTAAAATTCACTATCAGTAGAAAAATACACTATTTGCTTTAGTTTATATTCTTGCTTTGATTGGTTCTATTTTTCTTTGTTTAAAAATTTTTCAAATGCCCTAAATTTATATTCAAGGCCACTATTTCTTGAAATACTATCAATGCCTATAAGTTAATGCTTGTTTTGGTCCTGTAAAATAAGAGTCATTTCTTCAACCTATTTTTAGATCAGATCCTTTGTAATTTAAAGCTTTTTCAAGTTTATTCCTGGGTGTTCTATACGAATTAAAATTTCTCTGCCATTACACTGAAGCATGATCTTTCCTCCAGCTCTAAAATTATATTATTAATTAAAATATTACATTTTTATTCTAGCATTTAATAAAAATTAATTTGAAACACCATTTAATTAGTAAGAAATATTTTTTTGAGAAAACAACTAATTTTTAATATAAAAATTTTGGCAATTAAAATTAGTTAATTAATTAATTGATAAAAGAATTTGTAGTGAAATCAAAAGTCGTGTTGTATAATCAATTTTCTTTTGATTATATAAAAAGTATCTTTTCATCAATTCAACTAGAGAATAAATTAAAAAATGTGTGGATGAAAATCTCCTTAATTAATTAATTTTTTTACTCAATTTTCATTAAAGCAAAAATTTTAATTTATTGTCATGAATGCTATAAAATATCATTAAATCTAAGTGAAAAAATGAATGGGATTATAAAGGGTGCTCTTAGAATTTTTTATCCTCAATTTTATCAATATAAAATTTTATTTATTTGATTTTTAATAAATCAGCAAAATTAATTAGTAACATATTTTTGATAAATTTTTATATTAGCTTAGGATTACTATCGCATTAAAAAATTCTATATCTTTTTTGGTGGAATCAGAATAAGATATATTCAAATATACACTACTTTTAAGCTTTTTGTATTTTTTCAGATTGGCAAACAAATATTTGATTCATCTATCAACTTAATCACTTTTATATTTAAGGGGAAGCAATAATTAAAAAGTATTAATTGATTTGCTAAGAATTTCACTAAAAATAGTTAATATCTATTGTATTTGCTCAATGATTTATTTATTTATCTAATTAATTGATAACTTTGAATTAGTTTAGCTGATGCTACTAAAAATAAATTTTTTGCTGCTTGTTTTATCGTAATCCATATATGATATTTATCTAAAATCGATTAAGATTATTGATAAAAAGGAGGATTTAAAATAATATTGGACATCTTTTAAATTTTTCTTTTATTTGAGGTATACTTTATTTAAAATAATTGAAAAATCACAATTGCTTAACTAGAAATAATTTATTTATGAAATTTAAACAGAGGTATTTGCACTATAGAAAATATCTATTTACTTGTGTAGGACAGCGCATCCCATTTTTTAAGAAAGGCTGAGAAAAGATTCACAACTTTCGTATGTTGAGAAAGACATAATATCACAAAAAAAGAGGGAATGCATGAATATATCAGATTGAGGTAACATTTCAAGAATCTACAGTTAGGGAAATTTTCTGTTCATAAAGAAAGCAATAGTTATTTTGTCACTAAAATCAAACTATTAAAGATGTCCTGGGCTATGAGTTTTTTGTTTTTGAAAGTAAGAAGGCACTAAGAAAAAATGAAAGTCATAAATAACGATTGCAAATATTGATATAGACTCATTTGTAAACTTTTTTAAAACATTTGCTACATCTTTATTGATATCTTTATATACTTTCCAACATTTTTCTTCTTCATAAAACATAATATTTTCTGTTTATGGATATAGGAACTTAGAGCAGAATTATCTCGAAAACATCTGATTCGTTTCTTCCTTGTAAAATAAAGGGTAGCATCTGTATTTTTTGAGCATGTATTCACGCAAGTCTTCCTAGTCGCTTTCAGATTCTACATAAATGTTACATATTCCCACCCATATCAAGTTTAATTTGACATTGCTTATTGATTGATAAATAGAGTCAATAAGTGGGTCAAAATTTTCTGTGAAGTCGTACATTTGACTGATTTACATATCTGTGGACATCCTTGCACTCTTTTTTTTCTTATTTTTTACAAAGTAAGGTAATCTGTAAGAAACTACAATCATGGTCTTTTCAGCTTTATCCTGCAATTAGGTGTTGATATAAGGCATTGATTTCACATTTCTCATGTTTTTTATGTTTTTGAAAGTAGAATCGCTGTCATTCCCATTTGATTACTGAGAATTTTAATTCTGTACTTAATGCAATTGATTTTAATTAATCAAATTAATGTCTTTTAAGTCTACTATCTTTCTAATTGTTGGATATTTCTCTTTTAAACAATTTGATTCCTTTTTCACTCTGTTGAACAGCAGAAAAATATTCTCCAAATTCATTGGTAAGTTGTTCTAAATTTGATTCAACGAGCTCTGATTAAACTTAATCCCCAAACCTGCTCCACGCAATTTCCTTGTATGCTCCTCCTAATGAACTTCTCCTTGCTTTGGTTGTGTATCTATTATCTTCTCCAAGTGAACATCTTCAAAATTATCGTGGCTATTTTTTTAAAATGTATTTTTAATAAATTTGCCTTAAGTATTCATTTCAAATTATAAATATATCTCCGTTCAAACCCAAATACAATTTAATAATATATCCATTATATGTGTATTATCAATCAATCTATCTATCAATTTATAAATATATCAATTAATCTATCAATCAATTAATGATTGATTTTGTTTATTTAACATATTTCCCTCATATTTAAAAACACGTCAATAATAAAAGCTTGTATTATTATAGCATAAAAATTATTTTATTACTTATTTTGAATATCATCAGAATTGAAGTCGTCTTCATCATCTGTAAATTCCTTCTTCTATCTCATTTTTCTAGCATCTATCACAGCCATACCATTTTCATACTTTTACTAGTCCATTTGATTATCAATAACATTGAAATCATCTGAAATCTTTGATTATCTCCTGAAAAAGTCTAAAGAACTATTATCAGAAGATGAGCTCTATCAGTAATTATAAAAATATAAATATAAGGCAAGAAACTAAACAAATATATCAATGTATAATTATGATTTTTTTTATTGTTGCTGTTGTAATGGCACAAAAATACTATCTTACATTGAAGTAGTTATTTATGAGCTATTGTAATTCTTTAATATTTATTGCCATACAGCTTACTAACTAAGCTTCAAATAAACAAACTAAGGGTATATAATATGCTAATGAGGAATCAATAAAATATAATAGTTTACCAAACCATCTGCCTTTCTCAGTGGGTCGAATACAATGAATTTATCTTAAATTTTCTTAGCATTAGCTTTTTATTATATTGAAATAAGTATTTAGTTTGCTTTTATGAATTTTATTTACTTGTATCAATAATATCATAATCATGATTGCCTGTATATTTTTAAAAGGGACGCTCTATGACTTAAATATTGTCTTCTTTCATAAAAAGCATTGCTTTATAATATTGCGTTTTATATTTTCTATTCATATCTATCTAAAAGTTCTCCCATTTTACAAGCCTTTCGCCTTCATATTTCACACATTTAAATTCAAGCACAGTGCCTTTTTATCAAATTATTATAAATAAATATAATGGCAACTACATAATTTTATTTCTCCATCAATAATATATCAGCTTTTTTCAATTCCCATTAAAATATAAACCCTTTACTTCTCTCTTTTTATATATTCCTTCCTAATATTGTCAAATATAAATCCGCTAAACGTTTGCTTGTTAGTTTGAATTCACATCTAAGCAAAAAAATAAACCAAAATTTTAACTTTTTAATAAACTTTGACTTGATAGAGATTTAAAAAATGAAATTTTAAAGTTAACTTTAGGGATATTAAATAGAATAAAATACTATAAACATGTTCATAAATTTGAGGGCTTGACATTAATTTATTTGACATACTTTTAAGTATTTACTCATTTTTACAAGCTCCATTATATATAAGTTCTTCTTTGATGTAAAAAATTTTTATTCTAAGAAAGAACAATATATATATATTTTGATATTTATTATCAATTGAAATCAAAAAGAAATTTAAGAATAAAACATTCTTAATTGCTGACTTGCTTGTAGTCACGCACGCTGGTTGACTTGCAGAGGAAAGAATGAGTTAAGGAATACAGCTGAGATACATTGAAAAAGAAACTAAATAGCTGAGCCATAAAGTAAAATTACCTCTTGGAATCTCTATGAAAGTGTCGTGAGTCCAATCAGGATACAACTGAGCGTTGGTGAAGAGTTATAATCCTTTGATTGGATCCCACTCTCCCAACTCTTTTATATTTCCTACAATCCTGATTGTTTAATTTAACTGTGTGTGAAACTAGACTTGAAACTTAAGATAGCTCGACATTCAAAACGATATTGCTATTGAGTTGCTATTTATATCGCGCTAATCTTTCCTTTCTTAAAAGTTTTTTTCAATAGAGTCTTTCTCGATCTAATTAACAATACTTTTTTATGGGCTAATCTGCAAATATTCAATCTTGCTATTCACTTATTTCTTTACTTCTTTAATTTAATTATTGATTGACTAATTAATTAATTCACTAATTAATTACTTTTTAATGACTTTCTATTAAAAACTCTTTTTCTTTTTCTTTTTTTTTCACTTAAGGGGGGAACGAATTAATTTTTAATATAATATTTCAGCTGTGGAAATTTGAGTTTGTATGCACAGAATTCTAAAAAATAGATGAACAATTAAGTAGTGGATTTACATGAAATATGTTATATAAATTAAAGATATGAATTTAACTAATTAAATTGCAAAATAATTATTTTTACTAATCTATTCTAAAATATTTAGTATATTTTGCTCTATATTTCTTGCATTTTTATTATGATATCATTTTTGTTTGATCTTTCTAAAATTTTAAGGTTTTAGCAATAAATAAATAAAGTGTTAAAATCAATCATTCAGTAGTTGAGTCTTGGTGTAACAAAATTTTAGTTAATGTCTATCAATCAATCTCATAATCTTGTGTATTGAAAGCATTTAAATAATTCAAAAGATAGATTTGATACTCTTGTTACTATTTAGTTGCTACTTTTTTATTTATTTTTTCACAAAAGTTAAAATTGTAAAAATGGCTACATATTTTAATTAGTATGTAAGTTATTTTATTCAAATAATCAAATTTTGTTTGTATATTTATTTAATTTTTTCAAGAGAAGCATATTTTTTAATTAATATTTAAGATAGAGAATACTTTTTTCTCATTTTTACAATTTACTTTTACAATTCCAATTTTTTTTTCTACTTTTTAAGATTTAATTTATGAATATTACCAAATCATTTTATTCATGTTTTAGAAATTATATTTTTATGTGGAGTTTCATTTTAGCTGGATAATTATGATAGATTTATGTGATTTCATTTATCTAAAGTTGTGAGTTATTCGAATTTTTTCCTCATGAATGATTAATAAATATAAAAACTAATTTGATGGATAAAAAGAATTTTCTCATATTTTTTAGAAAAAGACTTTAAAACACTTCTGTGTTTATATCTTTATAAATGTTAAATAAAAAATGAGCAATTCTTTTAATTATTTAAATAAATCCCAATCAAATTATGAGGTATTAGGTATCTTATAATTGTTCAAAATCAATTAATTTCTGTGATTTTTAGTAAAAACCACAAAAACTTAATTTTGTGTGGAATATGATGACACCAAATTTTTACTTATATCAGTAAATGTAAATTATAAAAAAGAAAAGGCTTAATAAATTTTAAAATAAAGATTATTCATGCGTATTATTAATCATCAAATTTCAAAATAATAATTACAAATTTTACAATTGAAAAAAACTAATAGCAGTATTATTTATTTTTCTTTGTTTCAAACTCATTATTATCATTTTTGCTTAAATTTTTATCTGATCTCAAGATGAATAAATTTATTTTTTACAATAATTTTATAATTAAAATTAATATTACTAAGGCATTAATAAACTTTAAACAAAAATAAAATGGTCATTTAGAATATTTTTATAACAAAATTAATTCTTAAATATATACATTTTAAGATGGACAAATTGAAGGTTTAGAATATTTTTAAATAGCATTCTAAATGAAAAAATGCTTAAATTATTAAACTTATTTTTCTCATTAAGCTTTAAACATTTTTGATTTAATAAAACATAAAAAACATTGAATTTAATCTAAAAAATTTTCAATTATTTATAAATAAAATTAATTTTGATAAATACATTTTTTAAATATTTTTCTTTCTTTTTTTATTTTAAATATTTAATTAATAGATAAAAAATTATTAAAATCATAATTTATTTGTTCATTCAATCAGAAATAAATTAAATAAATTGATATAGCATATTATAATTATTTGAATCATAAATAAACATTATTTAATTTATTATTTATTTATTGATGTATTTAAAGTTTAATTTCAAAAAACTTTAATAATTTAAAGTTAAAATATTTAAATTTGTTAAAATTAACAGAATTTATATTTAATAAATATTAATTAAACTCTAAGAATCTTATTTTTTTTATAGAATTAATATGAATTAATACTGAAAATATTTAACATAAATTCATATTTTTTCAATTCTAAAAAAGTTTAACAAAAAATTTTCTCTTAATAACAGAGTTTTTTAAAATGTTTCATTATTCTAAAAATATGATTTTAATTAAATAAAACATTTACAGTAATTAAATATTTGTAGATTTGGGAAACAATTATATTACATTATTTTAACAAAAAATTTTCAAAAATAGTTATAATTTGCTTTATTAATCTAATTTAATTAAATATAAATTCTACAATCATCTTTTATAATTTTAAAAACTAAATTTATTATTATTTATTTATTTTATTATAGTTTTATGTTATTTTTATTTATTAGTTTATTTATATTTATTCTTAATTCAATTATAAATTTATTAACAAGTTTTTTCTCATATTCTCTAACCTAAAATGATAATTATACATTTATAGATAAAAAGAGCAATAAAGCTACAAGTAAAAATATGTTTAGATAGCTGTGCTCATTTTCTCACATTTTAAAAATATTTTATTAAATATTATTTTATTTAATTTAGTAAATTGATAAAATATTTTTATAATTAAGGAACAGATCTCATCTTAATCATCCAATCAATTATTTGCAATTTTACTTAAATTTAGTAAGTTTTTTACTCAAAAGAAAAATTTAAAAATAATTTTGAATATTTAAAGACATGAATATATTTAATTTAATTTCTTTAAAATTATTTAAAAATTATGATAGATTTAACTTTATTTTTTCTTTAGAAGTAATTGGCAATGTTTTTTAAAAGATCTAACAAATAAATATTAAGGAATTCATTTTTTATAAGTTTTTTCTAGAATAATATGCAAAGGATTTCTTTTCTTTAGAAATGAATTAATTAAATTTGATTGAAAATGCTTTTTTTTTTTGTTAAGTTTAAAGTCATTTGAATAAGAGATAGAAAATACAATAAGGCAAAAATTCATATATTACCAATTAAACATATAAAAAAGAATTTTTATTGTTATAGTTATAAGATCTGTGATCCTAGATTAGATAGATAATAGCAATAAGTACTAATGCAGATTAGTGTTAGACAGAATCAGGTATCTTAAATGAGTAGTAAATTAAAAGATTCATGCAGTAAATAAAAACAAATGAGGCTCTGACTAGATACTGAGATTTGAAGTGAAGGAAATAATAACAATAGGATATAATAAAGAGGATAAAATCTAAAACTTTTTATAAAATAACAATAGATAAATTTTTAAAATTATAATTGAAATTAAAAAACAATAAATTAAAAATAAGTTTTTATTTTTTTGTGTTATTTTTAGTTCAAAAGATATCTTTAGAAGTAATACATAATTTATTTAGATAAACTTGCTCAATACTTCTAGCAAGTAAATCTATAAATAATTAAACATAAATAGGAAAGTTTTATTAATTAAATAGAAGAATAAATTGAAAACGTATTTGCGACTTACGTAATATTTGCGTAATTAGATCTGAAGGAAATAGGAAAAAGAACGAATCTTCCTCTTCAATTAAATAAAAGAAGTACAAAAGTGATGTGAATGCTGCTTATAATATGAAGAAAGAAATCAGAAGGAAATATGAATGAATGATTTGTTCTTTGTATAGAGTGCAGAGCATGTAATTCAAAAAAAGGGCTGAAATGCATAATATTGTAATGTCAAATTTGAAGATCTATTTGGCAAAAAATATCTCTAGAGGTGAATATTTAGCTTCAAGAGTAAATTTAATCAGAAAAATGAAAGTGTTTAACAGTAGAAAATAGAAAATCTTAGATATCTGAAATTAAACTACCAAAAGATTTTTAATCTAAATTGATTTTTACTCATTCTAACAAAGATCATTCATTTATTTTATAGATTCACGAATACAGTAAATTTATTAAATTTATAGTAAACAGATCAGTTTTGTGGTTAAAATCAGTATTTTACTTAATTTTTTACTTAGAACAAAATTTTAATTTCTATCCCTTGAAAAATAAATATTATTATTAATCAAAATATCTTCAAAATTATTCCGAATGTTTATTTGTTTGTTTGCTTGCTTTATTTGCTTTTTTGCTTGTTTTTATATTTATCAGCAGTAAAATTTTAATTAAAATATAGATTTAATGGTTTCTTATTTTTTTGATGGAATATAATTTTAATTTGGATGATAAAATAATTATTTGTAATTATTTTTAGTTTATTTTTTATTATTTGACCTGATTATTTGTAAACCATTTCATGTAAACTCAATCAAAAGTGAATTTTTTAGCTAGTTGAATGATTTTAAAAGTGTTGTAAAATTAAGGTAAATAATTAAATAACTTTGATACAGTAATTCAACCAAATTAAATAAAATTCAAGCATTCAGTAAAGATGTCTTTTCTTTAAAATAACTAACTTTTCACAAGAATTCATTCATAGTTTAAAGTTTTAAAAGAACAAATATTACTAATTAGAGATTTTTCTACCACAAAATTATGTAATTTATTTATTTTTTTAACAATTTACTAATTAGAGAGATAGAAATTTAATTTTTCTGTCAGTAAGTTATTCAAATTTTTTTAAATCAATCACATAAAGATAAAGAATTTTTATTATTTTTAAAAAATAATTAAGGAAAAAAGATATAATCGATCAATTTACAATGATTGCTTATTAGTCGATATCAATATAAATAAAAGCAAATTTGAATGAAAATTGATTTTTTGTTATATGAAAAGGAATAGGTTCGTTTTGAAATTTTTTTTTTTTGAGGATAGAAATAATTTAGTTTGTTTTGATGTGTTTTATTTATTTGATGATATTATCTAGTAAATAAATAGATAAAATATAAATATAGTTGATATACATCAATTTATTTATTAATCTATCGAATTAGATTATAGTTATTAACATAGAAAGATATCTGATCTTGTAATAAACACCCATATATACATACATATTTTGATCAATTTATTTAAAAATTTATTATTTTTGTTAGACTGACTTCAAAACTTAAAAGAAAAGATATTGTTTGCGCATTTAAAAAATATAAACAATAAAAAGTAAAAAAATTAAATTAATTCGTTTTGATAGAAAAGACACATAAAAGACTCAAAATCAATTAAGATGTCTTAATAGACCTAAAAAGTTACTATAGAAAGAAGAAACCAGGTTTTGTAGTCATTTATATAGACTAATACCAGAGGGCCATCTGATTTCTCTCCTCACCCAAATGCCTAAGGAGTTCCCTATGACACACAAGTCATTTCTTTGGTTGACTCCATCATTAATTTTGTGAAAGTTACCTTTTTGAGCTCAAAGCAAAACTTTGCAGTTTTAGTGCTTTTAACTCTCTATTTCTTTTCAAACTGGTCAATCACTCTTCAAAATAAAAAGGTATTCTATTTTATTACATTATTGCACATTTTGCTGTCTCTGAACATAGTTTTATTTAAAATTTTTTACATTTTGGAGACAAAGAGATTGGTTCCATTTTTTTAGGACTAATACATTTAGATTAGTAAAAATTTCAACCATACAAAATTGCCTAAGTTATTATATTAGCTATATGGGTTGGAATGAAGAGTATTTTATCTGCTTTGTAGAAATGAATTTCCTTTTAAATTTTAGAATCATTTCTTGAAGTGGTTTAAAAAACTCTAAAAATGTCTAAAGTGTTTAGAAGAAAAAAAAACCAGTAGATTTTTTTATTTTTTTAAGATTTTTTATTTGATAATAAAATGCTGTTTTTTGCTGAGCATTTCGTTTTAAAAAATATGTATTGAAATTTCTCATTATGATTTAAAAATGAAACCAAGTTCATTTCTAGCAAATATAATATAAATTAGAATAATATCCAAAAATTATAATTTCTTTTATTTATTTATAAATATATATATATCATATAAAGAAGATTATACTTTTTATAGTTATTAAATTATCTTCGTTTTTTTATTCGAAAAGCTATTCTTAATTAAAACTTTACTTTTTAATAAAAAAAATTATCCAGTTTTTTTGATAATTTCCCCAAAAAGCATAGTTACTTTCTTAAAAAATCTTAATTAATTTTAATAAAAATTGATAGATTAGACAAATATAATTGAAATATTATTTGATATCTTAGAATAATTTAAACATTTTTTAATTTGCATTAAATTTAATAAAATAAAAGGGTTTTTCAATCGAGATAGTTGATGTCTTGTTTATTGTTCTCCTCGTTATTGTTGTCAAATGCTGGCTTTCTGGTGAAGGCTTGGCTTCAATTTTCGACTTGATTTCTACTAGAACTTAATAAGTCATGAATCTTACTTCTTAGGGACTCAATTAGAATGGACAATTTTAACATCTTTTCAGATTTGTCTCAAGCATGCCAGCAAATGCTAGAAATTTGGAAAGCGTTGAACAACTCTTTGAAAGATACAATAAGGAAAAGTTCTAATTATCTGAATAGACTTTCTTAGACACTGAGTTAGCCAATTAATTAACTCCTCAAGCTGAGCAAAAGTTAAAAGTTTTGATTTAAGAATATCAAAGCTCATTTGACAAAGAAATTCCTTTTGATTTAGAAGATATAGATTTTGACTCTTTGCCTGCTGATGTCACTACAGAATAAGCATTCAGAACTAAAGTTTTAGAACCACACTACTAAGCTCTTTACGAGTATGTCTTCAATAGATATGGATTTGATTTCAGAAATTAAGGTATGTAATCCACTTCTGTATAGGCAGGACAATTTACTAACACTTTACCAACTTTAGCTGCTGACCTTGCAGGAATAGAAAAAGAACTTTTACTTAACAGATCTCTTACTATTTTCGCCTATGGAAACAACAAGCGTTAGAGATTTAGCAATAGAATTGCATCTTTCGTAAACGAAGATAGCCAAAATAAAATTGAAGAATTTAAACAAAGAGTTGGAGGCTCTGATGAAAGCAGCGAATAAGTTGAAGTCGTATTTGGTCAAAAGGATAGATAAGAAGTTGAATTAAAGAAATTTGTCAATGCTCCCTCTGGAGACAAAAACTATGATGGTTTAGAGGCTTTGACTCTCACTGACAAATTACTTGAAAGATAAGCAGAAGTTAAGTAAGAAGCAAAAGCTTTCAAGAAGAATTTCAAGAAAACCGTAAGTCAAAACGCTTAAAGTCATTAGGGTGCTTTGAATAGCATTATAGAAACAGAAGAAAATAACGCAGAAAGTGAAGTGAGCAAGAGCGAACCTGAAGAAGCTATTAAAAAGTTAGATGAAGCAATAAATAACAAAATAGAAGAATTGGCTAAGGCTTAAACATTCTTCAAATTTGAACCTAAAGCTTTTGAAAATTATTTTGATAATGCATAGGAATAATTAATGAGAAGTGAATCTAACGCCCAATAAGGTTCAGGCAGAAAAAGCATTTCAGAAATACTTTCAGCAGAAATAAGCGCAGTATTAGAAGCACAAAGCAAGGAAGATTTGTCTCTTATGAAATATTTAGAACTCGTTACCAAATATGAATACTTTGCTGATTAATACAAGGATCAAGACCAAGTTTTAACTAGAGTTGAAGAATCATTCTAAAATTTTATTAGCAACACTTTCAATGTTAACTCATAAAAAAAGCAAGCCAAAAGATTCAAAAAGGAACTCACTGCAATTAAGGATAAACTTTTACAAGAGTATCTCTTAAGAAGACTCAAAAAGCAAATTGCTGACATGGAAACTTAGTCTAATGACTTAAAGCATTAAGTTAGCAAATTACACGAAAAAGCAGATCTTAAAGACAGAAAAATCGGTTTACTTGAAGAATAAGTTGAAACCCTCCAAACTCAATTAAAAGAAATCTCTGAAAGACTCGGAGTTGTTGAAATCACTTATGAAGAAGAAAAGCAATCTTTGATTAGAGATGTTGATGCTAAAAAGAAGCAAATTGAAGAACTATACAACAAAATAAACAATATCACTGCTTCCACAACTGAAAAAGAAGTTAAGCCTGAACCCGTTCAACCCTAACCTATTTCCTAAGAAGAAATTTAATTAAGAAAGACCACTTCTTACAATGCTTCAATTTCTATTCTTGAAAAATCAGTCAGAAATATTACTGAAATCTTCTACGATAAATTCAGAAACACAGCTTATTTCAGCCAACAAGAATTAATTGATAAGCTTGTAATTTAAATTTAAATTAAATCGTTTTTTTAACAAAAATGAAAGCAAAATTATTTTCATTCATTTTTATTTATTTTATTTCATAAAATTAATAGAAATAAAAATTCGGTGCTGGAATTTTAAGTCAAGGAGAATTAAACTAAGATTAAAAGGATTTCATCGTCAAAGAATTCGAAGATAAGTTTATAGCCGCTGAAGAGCACTTCTTAAGCAAGAATTTCGGTGGTGAAAATAGCAACGATGTCACTGATAAAAATAAAAAGAATTAAAAATCTATATTAGGTAAATTAATACAAAAAATTTTATCCATAATAATGAAATTATTCCTGCAATTTTAATTATTCGCCATTTATTAAATAAAATCATAAATAAAATAGATTCCTTGGATAAGAACTTCGATTTGTTGAAGTAGAGATTATCTAAGGCAAGAGATATCTCTGATATCTAATAATTAAAGATGAGTGACTAAGATGAGAGAGATGCAAGCAAGATTGTTGATGATCTCATCAATGGCGCTTTAACTGATCCTGATGAGGTTGTCAATAGATAATTGATTGCTCTTAAGAAAATCATGTTAAAGTACAAGCAACCTGCTACTGCATCTAGAGGTTCTATTGATCAAACTCTTAAAACTAAGTCAACTTCTAAAGAAAATACCAACAATCCCAATCAAAGAGTTAAGCAAAAGATAGAAAGCACTCTTTAATATATCTAAGAAAATATGTAAAACATCAAGGGTTAAATGAAAAACTATTTGAGTGAAGACATGAGAAGAACCTTGAAATCTAAGATTGCTGAATGGAAAAAGTCTCAAGAAGATAAGCTTGAAGTCATGAAGAAATGGTCTCTTTAATCTCAAAATATGTGGTTCACTTTAATTTGGCATGATTCTAACGATCTCGATTTGGTCGTTAAGTGTCCTTGCGGATAGTAATTTATTTATTAATACATTTTTTATAATTTTAAATTGATTGCTTTCAAGTGTTTGATTTTTGAAATGAAATCCTAAATAATATTTCATTTTATTATAGGAAAATTTATTATGGTACTAAGAAGTGTGAATAATGTGGTACTTACTTAGAAATAGATATGAATGCAGGTGGTAATAAGAATGATAAGTTCCCCGTTGAACATATTTACTTACAAAAGCCTCCAAAAGTTGGAAGCAATTGGGAAGTCTACTGCAAGATGTTCCACTGTAACAATAACAAAGAATCTCCTTACACTGTTTAAATTGAACACGAAGATGGTAGAATAGTCAGTTATTAAGGTACTCTTGATATCAACGATAATCCTCAATCTCCTATTTACAAATATTCAGTTGGTCCAAGCATCGATGAAAATGAAAAGAAACTTATTAGCAAAATCAGAAATGTTATTGATTCATAAGAATAATTTGTATTTTTCTGATGAATTCTCACTAAATAAGGTGAATGATTGATTGATTGATTAATGATGAATTTAAAAATAAGAATGTTATTATTTGTTTTAATGAATTTATATTTTTATTAGAATCCTAAAATTTTAATTAGACTAATTTTTTAATAAAATATTTATTTATTTTTACTGTATTTTTTTTAATTTGAAATTATAAAAAATTATTCTCTTTATTTTTTAAATTACCTATTAAATTTAAAAAATTGAGAAAGTTAAGAATTTTTAAGATTGAATAAATATATATAGTTTGAGGTATTTTCTACTTCTTAAAAGATAAAATTAAGTATTTTAATTTTAACAAAATTACTCGCATAAAAACTTAATTTTTTTTAAGAGTAAAATAGACTTAAAATATATTTATTATTACTTCTATAAACATTTAAAATCATTTTATAAAAATAATGGTTTTGTGATTTAATTTAAATAATAATACAAACATATAAAACACTAACAGTAGATTTATTTGCCTTTATTTATTTATTTATTTATTTACCTATGTTTTAAACCATTATATTACATTTTAAATAAATTAGATTTTTTAAATCAGATAATGAATGAATAAATTATTTAATTTTACATTTATTACAAGAATGAAAAATTTATAAAAATATTCATTTAAATAGAAATTTGAGAAATTCTAGCGAAGTATTTCTTTGATTGATAAAAAATATATAAATTTGATGGGATTTTAAGATTTATTTGAATATAACTGATAGTAGAATACTAAGATAGCCAAATATCTTAATATTTTTTCGTTTTTTCTATTAAATTATGATTAATAAAGTAATTTCTTTTTTTATTAAATTTTCATAGATTAGAAATTTGTAAGTATTCTTTTTATTGTCCGCTGGTAGAGAGGTTATTAACAAAATATTAGTTTTATAATATCTTAATTATTTTATAGCTTTCTATTTAAAATGATAAAAATTGTGTTGTAAATTTTATTCACAATCGACTTTAGTAGGCAAAATTAAAACGTTTTTACAGTAGTCCTATTTTTAGAAAGAATTTTATTTGGCGTGTTTTAATTAATTTTTAAATATAAAAAATATTTTGGGTTTTTTAATTATGAAATTGTATGAAAAGTTATATTAAATTAATTTAAATTTTATTTATAGATACGCATTCTGATAACTTTTCTTTTCAATTCTTTCTAATGCGAGATCATTCTTAAGAAACACTTATGAAAAATTGATAATTAATTAACAAATATTTATTAATTATTTTGCGCGAGTTTGTTAGATTAATTAAAATAATCAGCATAATTTCATCCATTCGCGTTTTTCATGGCTTATTTTCGTTTATAATAAGCAAATCTTTTCTGTCGATTTTAAGAAGGAAAATATTTTTTAAAGGCATGTTTTGAATATGCTTGTTAATTTAACGCCAACAAAAACACTTCAAAATTTGCAATTTGAGTATTGAATATATTTTTATGTAAATGAAATAGTGTTTTCTTTTTTTAGTAAAAAGATGTGAATGATTAGAATGGTTGGTTGGTTGGTTTATTATTAATTGATTTATTGATTGATAGATAGATTGATTTATCAAATTAGCAAGAAGATGAAAAAATGTTAAGAAAAAATATAAAAAGTGGAAATATGAACGTTAAAAAATGAAATCAAGCATTAAATGTAGGTTGGAAGAAATATAGTTGTTAAATATTAATCAAAAATAAAGTAAAAAAATAAGTAATTACGAAAAACAATTAAGTGGCAAAAACAAAAGTAAGAAAGTAATAAAAAATATATATAATTATTAATAAAATCAAAGAGCAAACAAGAAAACTTGCGCTAAATTGGGCAAATAGTTATAAACGCCAGATATAAATAATATTTTAAGAGAAACAAATTAGACAAAAACTTAAGTAGAAACAGCAGCAGAGCACCTCTTAGCTACTAATAAAAAAAAGCATATTTCTAAGAGCAACTTCCACAAAATTTTATCATACCTAATTTAGCCATTCAGAAAGCTCATTTAACAAACTTAGTCTTATTAAAACCTGCAAAATCCTTCCATACAAATGATTAGATAAAGAAGTTTCGTAACTAACAACAAGGAAAACAACGCTGTCATCAGCAATATCGAGAGCGAGAATTTAGATGAAAAGGATAAATCTCAATATTCCTACGGAAAGATCTAAGGAGTCATCTCTACTGCTTCTACTAACGCCAGCTAAGGTTTGAAAAGCATTCCTGCTAGCAATAACAATTACAACAATAATAATGCTAAAAAATCTATTTAAACTCAGAATAGTATTCTCATGGAGGAAGACTATTGCTATGAAAGCACTGATTCCTAGAAGGGCCAAGATGCAAACGGATCCTACGGCTCTAACGGAAATAACAGTCACAATTCTACTAATGGAAACTCTAACTCTAAGGGATAGACTTACACCAGCAGCATAACTGCTTAGATGCTCCTTAACGACGTTAGAGCCTTAGCTGCTTAGAACTTAAAGACTGAATAAAATCTCCGCGATCTATAGAAGAAGATTAATCTCTAAAAGAACAAGAGATTCACTCAATACACTTAAGACAATAAAGAAAATGTCTACATGGGACCAGGTGACAAGAAAATCTCCAGAAATAACAGTTAAAAGGACCAGTGTAATCTTTCTTAAAACGAAAACTATTAAAGCAATCCCTACACAAACAAAAACAATTTATCCATGAATAACAATAAAATATTGAACAACAACAACAACAATAACTACTAAAAGTAATAACAGTAGTAAGCTCCTGTCCTTAACTAAATCACAAGCAACTATTAGAATCATGCTTAGAAGTAATAAATCTCATAAAATATTGGTAGTGAATAAAACTTTTTGTAAGGGTAGAACTAACTAAACCTAAAGAACAATAAAATACCTAATTAGAAACCTCAAATAGTTGAATAAATTAAACAATAAAATATTTAACAAATTGCTCCTATTGCCGCTGAATAACTTAAGAAAGTACAAAACAATAAGAAAATTGATGGCTTAAACCTCTCTGATTAACAAGGAAATAAAAGATAAATTCTAAAACAGAAGATCCAATAAGAAGAACAATAAAAAAGAGAAGGCGATAACTAAGCCTAAGAATCCGACTAGTAAAACGCCGATTACCAATACAAAGTTGACAAACTCTACAGAGAAGAATCATTTACAACAAGACTTGCAAGACTCATTATCAACGAAAATTACTCCTTCGACATTCTTAACCACATCATACAAAGAGAGGTAATAATTAATTTATTTATTTAGTAATTCTTACAAATTGATTGGTAGATTGATTAAAAAATTGACCGTTTAATTTATTTAATCTACTTAATTAATTAATTTGTAACAGCAACTTTTTATTAGAAGCCTTTTCTAAATATATAATTTTAATTAATAAATTAATTAGCCTTAAACAGTCCCCAAGAATTGCCTCTAAAATCATGATATCTCTTATTAATTAAGAGCCAAGATGGTTGACTGGATGATTGAAGTCATGAAATCCTATAAATGCTCAGAAGAAACTTACTTTATGGCTGTCAGAATTATGGACTCTTTCTTGGAGAAATGCAAATAGTAAATTAAAAAATATTAACATTTTTTAATGTATTAAATTTATTTTTGTATTTAATAGAAAGAAATCACCATTAGATATCCACTTAATTGGTGTCACTTGCATTTTTATTGCAAGTAAGTATGAAGAAATTTACCCATTACGTATATAAATCATTGAAGAGAGAATTTCCCACAATAAATTGTCACAAGAACAAATCAAGTAGACTGAGGCAGAAATCTTAAATACTTTAGATTTCAAATTACTAGGAACTTCTCCTTATGAAATTGCTATGTAAACTCTTACATTAATTGGACTTTAGGACAAATTAAGCCACGAAGAATTCTAATACTGCCACAGAGTCTGCTTATATCTTTGCAAGATGATTCTCTACGACTACGAATACTTCAAGAGCATCCCATACTCTGTCTCTGCTGCATCTATTATGTACATTGTCTTCAAAATTTTCAACTAAATGATCTAAGAATTCTCCGCTGATGTTATTGTAAATTATTATTTTTATATGAAAGAACTAAGTAACTGAAAATTTTATTTTAACTTTAAAAAAAGATTTAAACTGTCATTCAAATCCTTCAAGTCGATAAAAACACCTTGATTCAATCTAGTGCAAGAATCTTAAATTTAGCCAAAAACTTTGATGAATACTTCCCTGATTTGAAGAACCTCAAAAAATTCAATGGATTCGAAACTACAGGAGAATCTAACTCTATCTAAGATTCAAAAAGACATAAGGAAAGAAGTGAAAGCAGCCAAAATGATAAATAAGGCCTTAATTTAAAGCAAAACGATAAATAAAAATTAGAAGAAATTTCCTCTAAAGCTATGTAAGTAGAAAAGTAACAAGAATGAGTGAGCGAGCGAGCTGATTTAAGACTGAATCAATTCTTCTTTATAAATCTTCAGTCTATTTCTTAACCTCACAACAAACAAACAAATAAAAAAAACTCTTATCATTGACATTTAATAATTTATTAATAATTCAATGATCTCTATGAGAAATTAATAAGTAAAACAAACTTTTATCCCTCAACTGTAGGGAATTAATTAACCTAATTAAATAACAACTATCTATATATCAACAAATTAATCATCAAAATAAAAAATTGTATTAATGAATCAACTTAATATTAAAGTAAATAAATAAATTATATTATAAAATTAAATGAAGGTTTAATTATCTCTTCATTTAATATATATATTGATACCATCCCAGTTTACCATATTCTTGCTTTGTTATTATTGTATATATTAAAGTATTTTTATATTTTTTTATACTCAATTACTTAAAATATTTCTTTTCTCTTAACCAATCTTTATTTGTTTCAAATAACTAAGTCATCAATATTTAAATACATTAATATTAAGTAATTAATTTATTATAAAAACACCAAATCTTTAAAAAATAAAATTATATTAAAAATTAATCTCCTAGCAGGTAAATAGCAAAAATTTTAAAGGTTTAAAGCAAATATGCCTTCTTTTTAAGAAAGGAATTTTGTGATTGATATTTTATATACTCTTCATATATTATGTAATTTCTTAATAAAATCTTCTTTTTTTTTGGAAAATATTTTTAAATTTACCTTAAAAAACGTGGATTTTACATTTAATTAGGTTTAAATATAAGAAAATTTATTCAATTTAATTTCAAATATATTAAAAATAAAACAATTAAAAAAAATTTTAAAAACAAAATAATTACAGTTAACTATTGATTTAAATTTACAATCATATATTGAATTTATAACCATTTTATAGAAATTATTTTTTAAAATATAATTGACTATTTTTATTAATTAATTAAACACTTGCTATTATTTAGTTAGTTAGGAAAAATTTGATAATATATTTATTTACAAATTAATTTAATTAATTAATTATTTTGAACTTTAAATGTTTAGTTTGTTTTTTGCTAACCTAATTATTATTATGATTGCCATTATATAATTTTTATTCAATTTATATTTTAGCTGATTTCTTTTTTTTAAGGATTTTTTAATATTATGATAAAATGAATTAAAGTAAATTTATTCATTTATCAGCTTCATAAAAATATGATTTAAACGATCAAATATCTATCTTAAGTTTTTTGCTTCTTAAACTACTTTATTTTTTAATAGATCTATGACTTAGTTTCTTAGTAAACTTTTTAGATCTTACTCTTTTATTTCCTCTGTTCTTTTTATTTATATACTCAATGACATTTTCAACATTATTATGAGGGAAGAAAGTCCTAAAGGAATGAACTGTAGAGAAATTATTTTGTATGTATTAGTAAGTATATATATTTTCACTGTAATATGGAATTCCTTATTGTTTTTCAGAGGGTTTACTTTGCTTGTCACTTCTTGCTAGGTCTTTATAAGAGAAAGATTTTTAAGATGCCATTTCCTTCTGTATTTCATCTTCCTCATCTGTATAAGAAGACTCTTCTTCTTCTATGTTGTTAGATTTATTGTCTTGTAGCTAGCTGAATATGCTTTGCTCGTATTCTAATTTTTAAATAAAAAAATAAATTTTGAATTAAAATTTTTATTTTTCGACTAGATTTTATTTTATCAAATTTACATTTTCTTTGGCTCCTGTGAGTTCCCTCTCTCCATGGAGATGTGTTGTCTCTGTACTAAGTCGTGTCTAAACTAATTTAAATAGAGAAAGTTTAATTAAATTCTAAGAAGTGAGATATTTTTTTACTTGAAGCTTTAAACTCTGTTCCTTGTCTTTGTAGTGTTTCTTCTCATTAAAGAGGGTTAAGATTCTGACTTTTGTGCAGGTACAACGACAGTGTTTGGCCTTGGTGATTTAGCTGTTCCTAGAGATTTAATATCTATTAAGGAGCTAGCCTCTTCTACAAAACTATCGCCAACTGAAGGTTTTATATGTGTAGACTTCGATCTGTATTTTAAATCAGGCAATTTTGTGGTTGGTATATTCATACTTTACCTGCTAGGTGAAGAAGTTAGCTTGCTTAGCATTTTTCTTGTATTAAAGTTTGTTTAATCTTCTTCTTCAATAGCACTTTATAAACTAGGAGTTTTCGGTATTAAAGGATTTAAGTTGATAGGCTAGTTTAGCATCATAGCGTTCGTGTTTGATTGAAGCTGATTTATTGAATTTAAGCTGTTGTTATTAACATTCCATTCGTGCTCATTCACAGTTTTTGTAGCATTGCTTTTTAGATGAGAATTAACAGAATGAACATCTAAATCAGAATCAAAGTAAATGTTGTTAATATTTCCAGGTGGTTAATCTTCTCTCACTCTCAATGTACCTTTAATGAATTAATTATTAATTTTATTTTGAAATTAAAAAGATAACAAAACTCAAAAAAAATGACAATATCAACAAATTTATAAAAGTTCTTTAATTTTTTAATTATTATAGCTGCACCATTTACTAATAAATATATTTTAAAGTAGCTAATGAGCTGCATGGAATATTTTTAAAAAATATTTAATTTTATCTAAACAAACATTTAACTAAATTAAAATGGAGTTTTTAGTAATTTTTTCATTAAATGATTGATAATAAAAAGAATAAAATTTTTAGAATTACCAAAAGTTCCTATCGAAGATGTCTTGCCTCTCATGTGGAAATATGAATCAAGATATTAAGAATCCATTTTAGGTAAATCTATATTGTTTAATTAAAGATTATCTTCTACCTCCAAAGATTTCATAGAGCTTTATGATTGCAACTCATCAGCATTATCAATTATAAATTTATCTTAATCATGCCAGATTTTCTTACATTCCTTTAAACAATTGTATTTTTTAAGTTTTTTTCTCTTGTACTATCTAACTTGGAAATGAGTTTCTTAGTCTATCCTCTTTAGAATATTAGCTCTCTGCTAGTCATAAAACAAATATGGGCAGTTCAAAGTTTAATGATCTCTTTCTCCACATGAGTAGCAAGTGATTCCAATGATATCCAGCTATTTGTAAATTGTTACCATTTCTCTTTATGTTAAAATATAAAATTTATTTAAATAAAAATATAAAATTTATTTAAATAAAATTATTTCTTTATAAAAATTGTTTTTTTAAAAAAGTGATTTTAAGTTTTAACAATGCAATTAATTAAATCAATAAATATTAACTTGATATAGCTATAAGCTTCTCTTTCTTCAGGGAATTCATGCAATAACTCTAAAAAGTCAGTAAGAGAAATAAATTAAACAACTGAAACTCCAATTGATCTAGCAGAAAGGTGAGGTTTGTAAGAATCAGAGAAAAACTCATAAGAACCAAAGTAATCATTTTCTTTGAATATTTTAAAACTCTTTAAAGAATCTTTGATATTTGTTCTTTGCGTTCCTATATTAACAAAAAATTCAATAAGACCTTTCTTGACAATATAGATCTTTGGAGATTATAGCTTATTTGCGTTTATAACATATTCATCAGGACCTAAAATCTATTCACCCATCTTCATGGCAAGCTTTTCTAGAAACTGTTGAGAAAAATATCTAGAAAAGACTCTTATTCCCTTCAGTTAATTCATAAAGGCATCTTTAATGATATCTTCTTTAAGTTAAAGAGATAATCCTTACAGACTCTTATCTGCGCTAACCTGTCTGCTGTCTAAACCTTCATTAGTTACATACTAAAGATATTTCCTAGCTAAACTTTAGTAATGCTCACTAACATTGTGATCACTCATGTATCTTTAAATTTATTAAATAAATAAATATTTTGCAATTCATTTTTTTGTAAATCATCTTTATAATTAAATTTTTTTTAGTTAACTCTATGGTTGACTTAATTAAAATTAATTATTGCAAGATGCTATTAAAATTTGTTATGATTTAAATTAAATAAAATATTTAGCTTAATCCATCCAAATTATTTATTTGCTAAGAAAAAATTTATGAATTAGTTTTTGAATAGAACAAAAAATGTTTTTTAATTAAAAATGATAAAATTTAAAAAAATAAAATTACCTTGTAATTTATTTTAACTATCTCAAATAATTTTTCTTTTTCAAAGAGAGATTCTCAAGTATTTACTAAGATTCATACAGAATCAAGCCTAATATTCCATAGGTACAAAATGTTATCAAAATGAGGAATAGCTTTTCGTATTTCGTTTATGGAGATATGCTTGTATTTAAAGTCGAAATAGCTGTGAATGCATAATAAAGAGAATCTAAATATTTAACATCCAATGAGTCATTCTTCACTTATGTTTGTTATATCCAAGATTATTTTAGATCATCTCCTTAATGCATGCCTATGTAATACCATAAGCAAGCAAATACATGTGCAAAGAAAGTAATGAAGAATACGATAACTAGGATGTTTATTAATGCGTGTGTTTTATCTTTGAGCAGGAAAGATTCTCTGATTTTACCAATCACGTGCAATCCAAAATAAAATCTAAAGTAAAAGAATATGAGAGTGAAATTGTTTGGAAAGATAGGGTCTGAATCAAAAATAAAAAGTGCTATTATGCTGATAGAATCACAGATAAACCGCTCTCTCATGTAGTTTTGAAAAATTTACAATCGATCGTTTATAATTTATCCTCGAATGAAACAACCTGTGTTAAGATATTTCAATATATCAAATATAAAAACATAAGGAGCAACATGCTTGATGATTATTTTAAGAGAATCACCTGTTGGAGTGTCAACTATTTCATCTTAGAAACATATGTAGAAAGGAATGCAAATTCCAATAAATAGAGTAAAAATCAAAATTAAAAACTCAAAAAATTATAAGAATGTATTCAAAGGAGAAAATGGGGTCAGTTTTTAATCAAAATCATTAATTTTTTGCTCTAGTATTTTTAATGTGTTCAGTACAAAATTTTTTATTCCTCTAATTTTTTTTAGGAGTATTAAAATTCTTTTTTTGTTCCTTCTCGAGCAGCAACCTTAGCTGTCATAAAGCCATCCCTAATACCTTTTTTCTTTGTTTTCTCTTACTTTATCATAGTGTGAACTTTTATCATTAATTAGATTCAATTGTAATTTCGTTAAATACGCTGGTTTAGATAAAATCAAGATTTTTTTGAAGTTTTGTATAGATTTTGATATAAAATATGACATAACCATCCATTTTTCTTTCCAGCGCTTTTGCCTTTATTTATATTGAGTATAAGCGATAGTGGCAGTTTTATAAGTTCCTTAATTCACAGATTCCTTTCTTCTATTTGTAGCTGTAAGAATCCCAAATTGTTGTTATTGTTGTTGCTAATATTGTTACTGTTGCAGATTAATTGAATTCTAGAGTTATTGCTATTAACCTCCAGGCAAGACATTATTATTTAGTAAGCTAGAAACAGGAGCTTTCTCTGATAAACTGATATTGTCAGGAGCAATTGGACTTTATTCCATATCTAATTTTCCCTAATTCATATGAGCTAAATCCTCATTAAATGTGAATAATTTCATTCTTTAATCTTGTCCTTCTCTAGCTCCTTCATATTGCTTTTTTAATATTCCTTGCAGAGCAATACTGCTGCTTGTGTTACTAATATAGCTGCCCGTATAGGACTTGACCTTTATTGTGCTCAGATTGTTCTGTTATAAATTTAAGCTGAGACTATCTCTATGCATTTAGGAATAATTATTGCTGCCCACATAGTTATTGTTTTAAGGATTTGTCAATCGAATATTATCATCTAATTCAGGAGTTGAAAATGGATTACTCATGCTATTAACGACTTCATAGCTGCTTCCAAATCGCTTATTTCCAACTTAGAGCTGGCTTCCATAATTTGCAGGCGAGTTACCTGCATAATTATTGTTAGGTTAGCTGTAAGCCTGTTAGCTTAATACAGGCAAGCTTTATTAATTTTCTTTCACCTCCTTTAATATTAAATTTTGTAAGGATGGAATATGATTTACAATCTTTACAGGGCTATCTTCACGAAGAGTATTTTAGTTTACACTGCTATTCAAACTATATGGATGCAAAACTATGTTATTCATGACTATTTGTCTATTAAATTGCTACTTAACAATAGTTAGTCAACGAACAACTAAATATTTTAAAAACTAATATTTTTAGTAAAATCTATCTATCTATCTATCTTTTGCTAGTTTCAAGCAATTTTTTATAAAATATTGAAAAAATAGTATAGAATGCTATCTCATCATTTGGATCAATGAATTAATTATATATTTTGGATCGAGAGTTTGCAAGCAATCAATCTATCTATCGATCGATAATCAACAGTAACTTACTACATATTTTTAATATTTAATATTTTACATAATTTAATCAAATAAATGAATGAACAAAACAATATTTATAAATCATTAAATTAAAATAAATCCATTTGTTTTGATTTATTTTTATTTGTTTATTTATTTATACATAAACTTTGACAAATTGAATGAATAAATTAGTTAAAATAATATTTATTTTCATAAATTCTTATACCAACTTTTAATAATTATTAATACTTCAAGTAGTATTAAATATTCAATAAATATCCTAAATAATTATTTACATTAACATTTCTAATAACAATTTTAATATATTGACTTCCAAATACTTGAAAATAAAAAAATAAATGCTTTTATTTTATTTCACTATTTTTAATTCAATAAATTCTTCTTGGCTCTTACCAAATTAGAAAATCTAAATTATTATAAGCATACAAACTAACATAAAACAAACCATGAAATGAAAATTCAAAATATATATATATATATTTACTGCTTCTTAAAGTTTTTATTAATATGTTCTAATATTTATCTTTTATTAGTATTTGAATAGTGAAACTTAAATAATAAAATGTATATAGCTTTAAAATTAAGCTCAATACTTTGTTAAGTTAATTTCATTTTAATTGATTAAAATCATTTAAATTATTTAAGTTATATTAATTTTGCATTTTGCATATTTATATCATTTTTTTAAATTAAGATAAATATATTTTTTATTTTTTTTCTTTAGCTGATTTTAAAATAATTTATTTTATTATTTTTTATTAGTTTTTATAAAATTTTAAAAATCAAAATATTCATCTAATTAAATTATATAAAATAATTATATTAAAATGAAGCATGGAAATTTTATACCTTATTTAATCAAATTTAATTTCAGATGTTAATAATTAAAATTCTAAATATTTATAATGAGTTAGATTTTTTAAAACCCGGTCTTAATTTATTGGCTTTTTCTTATCTGATTTTAGGGAATTTACAGTGCTTTTTTTTGATTTATTTTTTAATAGATTTAATTTTAGTGACTTTTATCAATTAAAAAATTAATTATATTTTTATATAAATATAAAGTAGAGTATCATAATTTAAGATGATATTATAAAATAGAATTTGTGACTTTCATTTTTTTTATACTTTTTAAACATGATTTCAAAATTTATAATTAATTTTTTGGCTTAAAATCATTATTTAAAACAAAAAGATAATTTAATTATTAATTAGCTTTTTACTTCTTATAAAAGAATCAAATTTAGAAACAGAATCAAAAGTTAGTAAATAATCGTTTAATTATTTAAATTTTTTGGTAAGTATCAAAGAATAATCAATCAGTTTTAAACAACATTACAAAAGTTAATTACAAAATTAATTTTTTTGATGAATATCAAAAAAAAGTACAAAAAGAAACAAAATAATTTGTTTGCTTTTTATTTACTTATTTTTAAATATATTTGGGTTGATTAATTCAACATAAGATTTTTCTTCAAAACCTAAAGATTAAGAAAAGCAGTTCAAAGATAATTAACTTATTAATCTTAAAAAAAAAATAATGATTTAAGAAAAATTAATTTAAGGTTACTAAAGAACAATTAATTGTTTATATAGTTTAGAAATATAAGTTAAATAGAACTTAGAACGCCCATTAAAATAGTATTATATTTCATATTTTAATATGTTTCTTTACTTTTAAATTATTTTTAAAGTATAACTTTAAATGAGGTAAATAAATTAGTTAGCTTAAATTTCTTTTCAATTTTTAATAATATCAAAACTATTAGTTAGTTAATATTGTTATAAATATTTTTATAATTTTTTTGTGTGAAAAATATATTTATTGCAGGAATAGAAATCAGTATATTATAAAATACAAAAACTTAATTAATTATTCCTAAAATTTGAAAAATAAGTATTGATTATATATATATTTATATCTATTTTTTTATAATAAACTCTTCTGATAATACTTTTTATTTTATGTAATTTAAAACTTCATTTATTCCTAGCTATTGCTTTTTTTCAGGATTTATATTTTGATAAATATATAATGTATAAATTATAAAATATGTTTAAAATTAATATATAGTTATAAGTAATTGATTTAAGGTATATTAAATATATAATTTTAATTTAATAATTTTTTGTAGGATTTAAAGCTTTTAGTGAGAAACACTTTTGCTTAGTTGTTTAAAATGTGGTTTTTTTGATTTATTTATTATTTGTTTATCATTTAATTAATTGATTAAGCATTAATAAACTATTTATATTCTCTAGATGTATTTAAATAATCTTTCATAGAACAATTTTATTTGACTCCCTCTCTGATTGATCAATAAATCAATCATCTTTTCTTTTTATAGATTTTAATTTTCTTAATCAGAGCATTGTCTTCCAAGCATTTTAAAAAAAAAACTATACAAATTAAGTGATTCTTTTTGTGTTTAATATTTGTATTTAAGATCCAATCTATTATGTAGTAATTTAAAAAGTATTAGAAAAGACTTGAGTACCTTTTGCTTTTCATAATTGAAACTAAGAAAGATTAATTGAGCTACTTTATTTTGCAAAAAGTGTTGAATTCCTTTCTCACCTTAGATATGTCAATTTTGTTAATATTTTCACTTATTGACTCGATTACTATTTAATCTCCGCTGCTATTTATAAATAGTTCGAATTGATTTAAAATATTCTTTATCTCATTAGATTTAGATATTTTAGCATACATTTCTAAGATTTAGTTTCCATCCATGCTATTTAGCTCATCTTGATACTAAGATAAATCAACCTTAGTATTGCTCTAACTACTAGAAATTGAGCAATTTAGATTTTCTAAGCTGCTTGCTTCTATTTTTGATGTTATTTTCATTAAAATAGGGAAACACAAAAACTCAAATATTCGATTAAAAATATTGATTTTTTACCTTTTTTTTATAATTCTAGTTATTATTACTTTATTATAAATTATGAGTAATTTTAATTTTTCAGTCAATATTAATTATTATTTCCCTACTTAGTCCCAACTCTTAAATGAATGAATAAGTAACAAATAATTGCTATTTTACAATAAAAACACAGAGATAACAAAGAAATTTTCTAAATTCATTCAATAAATTGACATAATAGTTCCTGGTTAAACATTTATAGCTTTTGAATTGGGTTTAAATAAGTTAAGATTTGTAAATTAAATGCATATTCAATTTCTTAAATTGTAAGGAGAGAGGGAAGGAGAAAAATGTAAAAGCAATTATTTCATTTCCTAAAAATCTTCTCTATTTCTAAAAAGTATTGCGTACTATTAATTTTAAGAAATATCATCAATTTTATGGGAATAATCATAAAATCAAATTAATATAAATGAAAATAAATGATTAAATTGATAAAAATAACTATTGAATACATTATTTTTTTCAATTAATGTCAAAAGACACTTATAAATATGGATTTTAATTAAAGTGAGAAATAAATTTATTGTTAAGTATATGTACATTAAAATACATTTTATGTAATTCTTTGCTTATATTAAGTAAATCGACCTGAATTTTGAATAAATGTTAAAATCTAGTCTAGCAAATTTAATTAAAATTCTTTCTACTAAAATATACTTATTAAAAATGAAATATATAATATGTCAAGCAAGTAATTACAATCATTGTCAAATTTTTTAATTAAAAAAATTAATAAACAAATAAAGTTGTGAACAAATTAAATTCCTTACTCTTTCACAAAACCTTAAAAAACTTAATTTATTTAATGAGTTTTTGATGATAATTAAATAAATTATCCTTAAATGCTTTCTAGTGGCATTTTTTTCAACATTTTTGAATAGCTTTGTTTTAAAATTATAAATGAGAGTTATCATAATATTTCAAACTATGTACATTTTATATAAAAATTAATTATTTTTATTCTAATTTATTTTTTAAATCATAAATTATTTTATTACTTAGATAAATAAATAAATAATTAAAATAAATACGCTTACTTTTATTGTCTGTCTATTACTATTTGGCCTATGAGGTTAAAATTAAAAAATATTTCTACTTCTAATTTTATTCTTTTAGTGAAGCACGCTCAACTCTAATTATATAAATCAATAATTTTCTTCAAATTAAAATATGTTTTATTCAAAAATTTATCAATTTATTTAAGTAAATACTTTTAAATAAAATCTAGAGCAATAAAATCACTTTTTTTCTAAAAATCTTTTCGATTCCTATCATCTCATTAGCTTATTAAATGAATAAATAAATAAATATACATATATACATTTGTGGTGAATACAATATTGTCTTCTAGTAATTTTAATTAATTCATTTTAATAACAAACATATAAATATTAGTTTATTTTTAGACATTAATCTATTATTTGACTTATTATAAATTTTAATAGAATAGATTATTATTTATTTGATTAGCTTTATTTATAAAAAAATAAATACTTACTTACTTACTTATTTTTACATTTAAGCACTACATACAAATAATCTGATTTAAATATTTATTTATCTTCCACATTAATTAACTGTTTATTAAAAGATGAGATTCAATATATATTTTTCTCTTATTATTAGATGGTTTAATCATAATTTAAGATTTATCAAATACACACTCATTAACATGTATCTTTTTTAAATGATCTTTGTTATTTATAAAATTCATAAAAACCACAAAATATGTATTAGCTTCTACATTTCTTATCAAATCATTGAATAAAAAACCTTTATTTAGGTGAAGATGTAGCAGATAAATAGAAAATAAGCTTATAAAACATACAATCACTTTTATGATACAATAAGTTTCCAAAAAAATACAAAATTAAATGGAATTTTCTTTTAATTTAATTATTATAAATTTTTTGATTAATGAATAATTTGTTGAATTTATTTTTTAAAAAAAAGAAAATATTATAATTAATTATTGTTGAATTTCATAAAAAAACGAATAAAAATGTATTCAAAATTTGTGAAATGCAACACTCTAAATAACATTTTTGAAGCCAAAAAATTTACAAGTAGAACCTTGATTTTTAATAAAAATGCTCAATAGTAAGGGTTTTGAATTTATTAAATACTTTAAATCCTAATTAATTAAGGTAAAATACTATACTTCTTTTCTCCAAACATCTTTACATTATTCATTTATATCAACAAAATTAAACAAAAAATTTGTTTATCTTATTTGAATTTCCAAGAAATAGATTTTTAATCTAACATTTATTCTTAAATTTAAAATGTTTATTATTATTATTATTATTGCTAGAAATTTATATGTTTCAAATAAAAAGTTTAAATTTATTTAAAAAATAAACCTATAATTTGAATAAGAATATTTATACAACTATTTTAAATAAAACATAAATAATTTAAAGCTAACCTTGCTAACTATATTCTAATAAGTTCTACCAGAAAAATGGCACTGCAATAAGAAATAAAATGACCAGAAACCTCTTTTATATTATTTATAAACAACTAAATATTGACCTGTAACAAATATTTTTACTTGCCATTTAATTAAAATTATTTATTTTCATTTTTTATCTTTATGTGAGCAAAAAAAGCATAAATTATATGAAAGTTTATGAAAAGGATATTTAAAAATTGTATCTAAGCTTTTTTTATTCAAAATTAGATTATCCAAATTAAAAAGAAAACTAAAAAACAGTAATATATATTTTAACTAAAAATAAATAACAAAATATATTTCAAAAGAATTTTGATTAAAAAAGAAATGATAATTTGAAATCACATAAGATAGCTATTTGGAGATTTTTTGATTGTATGCAATTTAGAACAATATAGCTAGATTTTTGATATAATCCGCTAAAACACACAATGATCATATTAAATTATATAATAGCCAAAGTAAAAGTCAGCTGTTTTAATTTGAAATTTTGATAATTTCTTATCAATTAACAATATTGTAAATTAACTAAAACTAATTAAATTAAGTATAACATAAAGAAATAAAGAAAAAATAGAGAACATTATTAGAATAAAATTGAATTGTAAGACTTACAATTTATTACTTAATTAACGGTGTTAATTGCTTGAATCAAACAGAAATTAATAATTAACGCGAAATACTGATAAATTTTATTGTTATATAAAGTTTTGTAAATAAATGAATCATTTAGCATGAATTGATAAAAATCAAGTTTGTTTCTATTGATTATAAATAAAATTAATGTAATTTTTTAAAATTCAATATCAATATTTTTTAAAGGCAATAAATAAAAAATCAATAAAATACTATTAAAACATGTATATTAATAGATAAACACTTTCTTGGCTATTTGAAAAATTTAAATAATTTTTTTAATTGATTATAATTAATTCAATATGACATTTTTTATAAGATATTTTATTAAAATATTAATAAAATAGCTAATTTGTTATCAACGAGTTGCTTAGTGAAGTATTTTTTGGACGAACTTACACAATAATGAAATAAGTTATATATTTAAAAAAAATAAATCAGTTATTTGATATATAGATAATTAGTTAATTAACTAAATTTCAAACAAATAATTTTAAGTAAATAACGGAATTGGTATATAATTTGGCTTTTTAACAAAGTTAGTCAAGTACATATATAATTATTTTGAAATTGGTTTGGCAATTAACAATAAACAATGTGCTTTCTTATTTAATCATTTAATTATTCTTCTTTGGATTTCAAAGAGTTACAATATTTTTTTTACAATTAAACATGCATATTTATTTAAATATTTATTTGATAGATTTAGATACCCCATCATTTTTAAATAATTTGAATGGCTTGAAAGATTAAATGTTTTGAAAACAATTAAAAACTTTTAGGAATATGATAGGGTGAGTATTTTTATTTAAATTTACAGCATTATTTTTTCCATAAATTGATTTGTGGTAGTAAATAAAAAATTGCTTAATTTCAGCTATTTGTGTAAATAAATGATAGTCGAAATATACAATTCAAAAATAATTCTTTCTAGCTTTAGTTATTTTTTAATGATTTAGATACAGTACTTATCAATGTAAGTTTTGGTTTGCATTTTAATATGTTAGGAAAAGAGAGTATTGTAAAATAATACAAATAAATACCTACCTGAGATTAAAGAGTAATAATGAAATTCAAAGAAGAAATTTGTTGATAAGAAAGAATTAATTGATAAATGAATATTTTGAATTTTATTTTAATAAATGGAACTTTATTGATAAAATTGCTTTTTCTTAATTAATTTGGGTATTTTTACTATTTTCAATTTATTTAAATATTTTAATAATTTTTTAAATGAAAAGAAAGAATAAAATAGTTAGCTATCATGAAAAATTTTGGTGGTTGATTCTATTATACAAAAAAAATAATTAAAATGGGAAATGAAATGATTTGATTAAGAATTAATCATTGAATTGAATTTAATGCTAAAGTTACAGAAACCAAATAGTATTGAGAAAATATAAAGACAAAATTAATCAGAATTGATTGATGAGATAAGGATTAATTATGAATATATCAAATAATATTTAGTGTAATAAATTTTTTTGAATGAAAAACTGAGTAATGTTTGTAAGGTTTTAAAATCAAAAGAAAAAGATGTAAATAAAAAAATAAAATTTGGATTTATAAAATTGAAAAATATATTATTAGTAAGATTATTCATTTCCTACCCGTTGAATTAAGGAAAGCTGAATATTAGACGAAGTTATTTTTATATCATTTTTATTCATATTAATATTGTTAGATTGGTCTCTTCAATTATGGATGATAGTGCATTACTTTTGTCTTTGAGAATACTCAAAAAATTTAATATTTTATAAAGTATTTTTTAGATGTTCTCATGAAGAACAATCAGTTCTTTTAAAACAAACGTTTATAGAAACAAATAATTTATTTTTAAAATTGAGCTCAATAATTTCATATTTAAAAAATATTTGATTTTTATTTTATCCCCCATTATAAGAAAAAAGATCAATCAATCCACTACTTTGCATAAAATTTGAAATGAAATTTGTCATCAAGCAACGATTCAGAAGTTGAATAAGTAATTATACGAATTTTAAAAAGGAAATCATATACAATTAAAATTTAAGTATGTAAATATTTCCTAAATATTCTGAGGATTCAGATATGATAAATGGTAAAATGTAAATTCCAAATACATTTTAAGCTATCTTTTAGCAGTATGAAAATCATGTAAAAAATATAAAAGACTGAAATAGATAAATGAGTTGAGTGTAAATTGACTATATTATAAGCAAAATTTATAAAAAATATGTATGAATCAAATTGAAAAGCATAGAGTGATAAAGAAATTAATTAATGCATTTATATGCAAATAAGAAATATCTTTCTATCGAATTAATTTCTTAAGATTTTAATATTGAATTAATAAAAATACATATTTTTTTTCTACTTCTATTTTTGATTATATTACATTAATCAACCAACTAATAATAAATAAATTGCTTATTTTAGGCTGCTTATTTATTGAAATTTAGCTTTATCACAATAGAATTTTAAAAATAATAGTCTTAAAATAAAATCATCTCTGATCCTTAAGATGTTTTTTTGAAAGTCTACTTTATGGAAGACGTTGTTGAACCAGTACTTTTAACTTTAAGAGAAGATTTTCACAATTTTTAAAGTGAATCATTATAATTTAGCAATGTAGAAAATGAATTATAATTATTGAAAGATGCGGAAGAATGTAGAAAAATTTATAAAAAAACTGAGACAGGATGTTTAAAAATAAAAATTAAATATCCTAAAAGGACAAAAAGAGCTATAATGTTATCAATAATATATTTTAGATTGACTCAATTAAAAGTTTTAGTAATAAGGAGGATAAGATATAGATAGACAGGCAGATAGACAAATAGAAGGAATTATATCATTATAAATTATAATTTATTTAGTTGAATTAATTGAATAAAATATACATAAATTTATTTTATTAGATCATTTTTAATAATTAATTTTGCATAGAAGTTTTAATATAGATTGAATATATGTTTTTTGTTTGTTTGGTTGTTTGTTTGTTTGTTTAAAAGTTTATTTGTTGACTCTATGGAAAACTGTGTTTTTGGTTGCATCTTTATTAAAAATTGTATGTGTTGTTTATTATTTCAAGACTATAACATCAACTTATTGATTTATTTATTATTATTTTTTGATTGCATAAATTTAGGATTACTATTCGTTTTCTTGTTTGTTTATAATTATATTGAATGGGAAGATAATTTAAAAGGCACTTTTAATTGTTTTTGTCTTAATCAATTTCTCTTCTTATATTTAATTATTTTCTCTATTAAGGCTGTATCTTCAAAACACTTCTATAGAAATACTATGCATAAAAGGTGGTGTTTTACATTTTTTATATTTCCGTTGAGGATCCAGTCCATTGTGTAGTACTTTAGGAAATATTCGAAGTGGATTGAGAATCTTTTACTTTTAAGGACGGAAACCAAAAAGGATTAATTGAGTTTCTTCTTCTTGGAAAAGTTATGAAACTCCTTTCTGACTTGAGCAATAGTCCTTTCGCCTTGTTATTCAGAGATAGATTCAATCACAATTTAATCACCACTGCTCTAGATGAAGTCTTAGAATTAGTAAAGGATATTTTTGATGGCATTAGACTTGTTGCATTTAGAGTACTCAAGGACTATTTGGTCTTGATTCATATTGCTAAACTCGCTCATGCATTAGGAAATGTCCATAGCAGATTCTGGTTCCCTCATTGACAAAGAACTAGAGAAAGTTTCTTCTTCGCAGCTCTCGATATATGCAGATTCAATCATGTTCATCTCAGTAAAGTTGAATTTGTTTATTAAATTTTTTATTTAGATTATAAACTGTGTTGTTAAGTAGTTTATTTAATTTTTTTAGTTATGGAGAATTCTTAGTTATTTTTTTATTTGATTGATATTTAATTATAAATTTTAACAAGATCTAGATTATTTAAATTGTTTCTAAGCATACAAGAGCAAGACTACTGGCTTATAATAAAGTTCTCCTTGAATTTAAATGAGCATTTTTTAATTAGTGTTGTACTGAAAGAATCTGGTTTCAAAGATTATTAAGAAGATGTAAAGACTAAAAAACTAAAGTAAAATGCATTAACCTAATAATCTGATTAATTATTATTAAATATAAATAAATAGCTAACCAATTTTTGACCAGCTGAATAAAGTAATAAATAAATTTGCTTTATAAAAAATTAATAACAGCAGCAACAAATTATATTTGCCTATAGAAGAAGCTTTCATTTGTTTTAAAATGAAATAACATCTAAAAAATTAAAACCATACAGTAGAAACTATTGTATTAGATGACTAAAAATATATGTAAACTCAAGCTATTACAAGCTATTTTTCAAAGAGTTAAGTAATTAGAATCAGTTGCGATTAATAAATAAGATGAATTTTAAGAAAAGAGTTAGTTAGCTTCTTAACTTCTTCCTTTTGTTAATTTTTATCTCCCAATCTAATATCTCTCTCTTCCTTTTTTCTATTTATTTTAAATTGTATGATGTTTTTGAATGATTTGATTGAATGATATAAAAGTTGAATATATTGATCTTAAATAATCCTATTAACCCAAGTAACACTCATAAATAATATTAAATTGAATGTAATTAAAATTGAATCAAATATTGATTAGAAACAATAAGATTGAAATTAAAAAGAAAAAATAAATATCTTTGATATTTTTTTATGTTTACGTGTTTGTGTTTATTTGTTTATCTTCTTTAGTTAGTTATTAACTTTTTTCGCTAAAAATACCAAAACTAAACTGAGGTATTTGACCAAATATATATTTACTAGCCTTAAAATATTTAGTTATTATCAGTAGAACCTATTGACATTTCAATTCAAAGCAATTTTATTGAATGCGCTTTTCTGTTTTTTTTATTTTTTTCATGTTTTAATATGTTTAACAAGGCTAATATGTGGACATATTTTATCATCTAATTTTGTGCATGATTTATTTAAAAAGTTGTTTCACTTCCTTCAGAAAGTGGAACGGGTATGTCAAAAGTAATCAATAAAAAGAGTATAATTTAAATGAAATAGAATAAAATTTTTTTGAGTAGCAAATTGGTTCAATTAAAAAATTAGTATCATCTTTTAGTTCATAAATATTATTTATTATTATATTGTATTCAGATAATAAAAATAGACAAAGTCCCTTTCCTTTTATTTATTTGTTTTACACCTAAAGATAATTAAAAATACATTCTATTTTTAAAATAGAATATAAAATTTAAATAAATTGTATATTTTTTCAGCACTGTTCTCTTTAATCATCAGCTCATTAATTTTGTATTTTTTCAGAATATTAATTAAATTTAGATATAATCAATCATAAATGCATGCATCCATGCAAATAATATTTATTGATGTTTTATCAATACACATTTATCAATTTTAAATTAAAAATATCTATTTGTATTAATATAATATAAGGAGATATAATTAATTTAATTTCACTTAATCAACATTATTTCATAAAGCTTACCTTAAGTATTATTAATTAAAAACAGATTTTGGTAATCAATCACAATGAGTCTCGCCTTTAATGAATGAAAGAGTAATGCATTAAGATTTCAAATAAATTATCTATATTCATTAAAAAAAAAATGTGATTGACATTTTGCGCTATTCATTTTCTATCCACTTTAAAAACAATATTGAATAAACTATAAAAATAACTGAAATGGGCATAATTCATTTTAATGTATATTTATTTAAGAGTTTGTAAACTAAAATGTATTAGGAAAGATGAGGTAGTTTGATAAAAATAGGAGTATTGATTGATTGATTAACTCCTTGTAAATTCAATATTTTTATTAGATATTATTTATAAAATTTACTAAGAAAGATATTTTAAAAATTAAGGAAGGAAGAGAAGAGGTAACTATAGTGAAATCAATTAAAATGTGAATAACCTTTTTTATCCCAAAAAGCTATTTATTATGATAGTTTCAATCTATTCTTCAGAGTAATTAAATAATTACGATTTATAAAAATTTCTAATCAAATTTATTTTTTCTCTAGAGCCTGTTGAATTCTGATTAATCATATTCAATTCAAAGATATATTATATATTTAATTAAAAAGCCAATAACCTCTTTAAAAACAAAGAAAATAAGAATAACTAGCTTAATCAATCAATTAATCAATCAGTCGATCAATTAATCGATCAGTCAAATCAACCAGCTAAATCAATTTTACTCCATGGCCAAACTAACATTACTTATAAATTTAATTTTAGAAAAATTCCCTAACTTTTCTCTCTACCTTCCAAACCACCCAACAATAAAATATACAAACCTAATCTAACTCACATTTTTAATCTAAAAAGTTAAAATTGGCTATGATAATTAAAAAGAAATAATCATTTTTAAGATTTAAAATTATGTAAGCTTCATTATTATCATCCAAAATTTCATCATTAACAAATGATAAAATAAACAAAAAAGTTATTTTGCTTTAAAATTATTCCCTCTCAAATAAATATGAAGCTAAGTATCATCAGTATTTATGCCAAAATTTGCAACCCTTTTTTATAAAATATTTAAAGTTGATTTTCGAATTCAGAATTCAAAAAAAAAACTCAAAAATGAATTGTAAAATTTCTCTAAAAAAGTAAAGTAAAAAATAAATGTTGATTAGAATTACATTCAAATAAACTAATTAAATAATAACTTTTAAATTTTTTGATTTGTTAATTTATGATGTTATTTATATTTTTTTTATTATTGATAATTGATTATTAATATGTTGAATGGCAGTATACCTCACTCACTCTTCTTTCTTCGCAAGAAATTCTTCAAAGTTTCCACATGCAAACATTTTAGAAATGACTCTATCTATTTAACAACTAATAACAAGCAAATAAAAAATTCTTTGTATATATTTTTTTGTTATCTAACTGCATTGATAATTGATATCTCTTTGTTGGTTGTTGCTATTGCAAATAATTATAAATGAGAGACTCTAATAAAAACTAAATATTAGTTGATAAAATGGCTTACTTAATAAAATAAATAGCCTTAAGAGATTTATTGATGGTCTTTCCCACAATAAAAAAGTTATTTTCAAAATTATATTTATTCTATCTTCATTATATCCCATTCACATATGGCAGTAATTTATGTATAAAGCAAATCATAGTTTTTTTTTGTACTTTATGATGCGATCTATCAGCTCATGCTAATTCTTGCATCTAATAAGATAATTAATGCAAAGAAGATGGTTTTTTCTGTCTTTAAGCTGTTTGCTTTTAATCCAGTCTATACTATAGTAGTTCAAAAAATAATGGAAGTGAGGGCTAAATCTTTTACTTTTAAGAATAGAAACTAGCATAGTAGCGTTAGGTTTTTTGCCTCGAATAAAATTCTAGAATTCTTTACGGATTTAAATTATGTCTCTATCCTTTTCTGCTGCCATTAGAGATTCGATAATAACGTCATCTCCATGATTTATCAAGAAATTTATAAATTAGTTTAATATATTTTTTATAAAATTAGATTTATTGCATTTCTTGAACTCTTCTTCGATTTTATCATTACCCAGTTAAGAAAATTATTCCAATTACTAGCTAACATCACAAATTTTACTAATTTAGCTAGATGTACTTATTAAGCTTGCTACTTCATTCCGCTTTTGCTAGCTAAAAATAGCATCTTCCATTTTTTTTTATTGGTTGATAGGATAACAAAAGTATAGTTTTAGGTTCAAATTTGAGACAAAAACTTAATTCTTTCTTATGATTGATTGCTATTAAAATTTAATTTAAATTTTGTTGTTTATGAATTAATTATAAGCAAATAAATATCTATCTTTCTACTCTTTGTTTTAATAGAAAATTTCATCTAATCAAAAAGTTCCAAATATGAAAAACGAATTTAGGAAAAATATTATCTAAATGGACATTCTTATTTTAACAAATAATTAGCAATTAGAGTTATGCTAGCTATTTAGTAAGGTTTTAAGTAAGTTTTAAAAGTTTTATATTGAATTATCTTACTAATATTTAAAGTTTAATTTTACTTACATTTTTTCTTTGTTTAATTAAGAGTAATAAACATCAAAGTAAAGAAAATCATTGTAAATGAAATATTTGGCAGTTAGTTAGTCAAATTAAACTAATTTTAAAAATATCAACTACAGAATGAAAGATGTTTACTTTTTATTTAAATGTTTAGATTATAAAAACAGTAAAACTAAACAATTAAGCAAGTAGTATATAAAATAGTTTACTTCTTTATCTAACATTTTTTAGTAAATAAAAAAAAAATATTTTTTAAAAAAATTGTCAATTTAATTTTAGAAAAGTTAATTACTTTTTAATTATTAAAATTATTTAAATCTAATTTTGATTCCTTTCGAGCAAACATAAGTAACAAACATTAGAAAATTTAATCTGCCAGCTTCGTATAATATTATAGTTTTCTACTAATAAGGTATTCAAATTTATTAGACTTTATTTATTAAATTGCAATTAATTTTGGCTTTTTAAATATAATTTTTCAATTTTAATATTTTAATTATCTTTCACTAAAATTCTTACAAAAATAAACAAATTTTATATTCCTTTTATAAATTTTCTAGATTTGAATTGAATCAAATAATATATTTTTAAAAATGTAAATAATAGTTAACAAATAAAATAAATAAATTAAACACAGAAATAGAAATTTATTATTTCTTCATCAGTAAATAAATATTTATGATTGGAGCGTTTTAGGGTCATCATGCCAAATTTTTCTGCTCTCCAAACATTTCTCCTTTAAAAAAAATATTAGCTGTTAATGTTTATTCGCTAAAAATAAACTTGTTTATTCTACCAATACAATACATAAAAATTGATATATTAATTAAATAATTATTTAAAGAAGAAAAAACACAATTGTATTAGTAAGGATTGCATAAATTTAGATATGAAATACTTTAATGAAATTAATTTAAAGAATTTATTTTATTAGTATTATTATTTATTCTCATAATTCAAGTTCTTTCTTAACTAACCTCTTCATTTTCTAAATCTTAGATCTTAATTTATTTTTTTATGCCTGATTGAGGTCATTGAAACTTTTAATATATTTTATAAAAAAAGATAAAAGTAAAGCTGAATAAATAAGCAATTAAGAAAGAAAGCAAACTATTGAAATGCTAATTATTTTCAAATAACTAATTAAATTCATTACAGACTAAGTTTCAATACTTAGAGCCTAATATTTTTGCATAAACATGAGCCTAGATTTCGAACAACTTAATATGCATTAATTAGATTGCTTCTTTTAATTTTTTAGATTTAAAGAAAAGAATTATTTAAAAAATTAATTAAATATTGATATGATTAAATAAGCCTGAAAAATAAAAGTAACCATAAAATTCATCAGAATGCTTACTTAATAATTGCTTAAAAATATAAATAAACTATTTTTACTCAAATTCAAAAGAAAGAGAATAGAGATTAATGCAGTTTGCAAAAGCAAAATATAAGTCTTATATACCCTGTTCTCCAATTTAATTATCGCTTTAGATATTACAGATAAAGTTTTTATAATAAATAAAATAGAAATAAGATTTCTAAATAAGCAAGAAATAAATAGATAGTGAAGTGAAAAATTAGAATTTTTTTTCTACTTATCAGAGTAAATAAAGCAAACAATAAATTAGCTATTTATTTACTTAAAGCTGAGTTCTAATTAAGAGAGTTTAGGGAAGCTTACTAGACAAGAACTTAAGTCTGATATGCCCTTATCGCCTATTTAATTATTGCTTTTATAATAAATTAAATTCTATAGTTGTTAGTTAGTTATTTAAAATAGTGAAATAATAAACAAATATTTGAAAAATATTAAGAAATAATATTCTAACATGTAAAATTGTGGATGGAATATGCATCAATATTGGTCCATTAGAAAAAAATATTTAAGTAAATAAAGAATTAATTAATTAATAAAATTTGTTCAAGTAAAAAAATATTTTTACTTAAGGCTGAGAGCCAAGCTTGAGAGATAAGGACACATTTTTAAAGAAGAGCCCAAGTTTGAAATTCCCTATGGACCGATATTATTATTGCTTTAATATTTTCCAAATTAATTTGTTAGTATTTATTAATGAAAATAAATGGATAAAAAAATTTCATTATTAAAATATTGTTTAAAATTTAAAATGTGAATAAAAAAATTAAATTAGAAAATGATACAAATTAAAATATGTTATGAAAATAATATAAAATTTAGTATATGTATTATATATATAACTTTGGTATTTTACTATAGAGATATCTTCAATGTTGAGAGTTAACTGCAATTTGTTAAAGTAAATCCTAAATTTGATATTTGTAAATCATCAAGATTGTTTTCCCTATTAATTAATTTATAATCTTTTTGTTTAAAATATTAAAAAAGAAGAAGAAAAACAAATTAAAGTTATTCTTATTTAAATTTTAAAATAAGTATGAGGTAATTTATATGTAAAATTAATTTAATTTATCATAAAGAGCCAAAATAAATATTTATATTTAAGGCTAACTATCCCTAGCAAGTAATAAAACAAAAAAAATATAGTAAGTAAGAAAAACAAATTAAATTTCTTACTCTAAGTAGAGTTTTATAAATGAAAGATTTCTAAAATTAGCAAGAGAAGAATACATATTTTATGGGCTCTATTCATCAACTTAGCAGCTTTTAAAATGATTTTATGTTTTAATTTAAAATAAAAAATACTATTTTGTTTAAATAATAAATATATTTTTACTCTACCCAGAGCTCCAGTTTTTCAAGATATATGCATTTCTCTAAATTTTAAATTAAGTTTGATACAGACTATGCGCCTATTTAGTTGTAGCTATATTGAATTAAAGATTTTTTATTTAAATTAAACTTTTAAATTACTAATTAATAATGAATATTTATGATAAAGAAATCAAAAAGAAAACAAAGATTTAAAAAATTAAATTATTTACTACAATTAATGCTCCATTTAAAATATTAATGTAAAACATCATGAGGAATAAAAAAATAAAAAATAAATATTGTTACTATAAGTCTATGCATAAATATTAGAGATTTTAGCAGTTTGCTAAAGCAGAACCTAAGCTGGATACACCTAAAGAGCCAAATAAATTATTTCTTTTATTCAATAATAAATATACTTATTTGTTTGTTTTTAAATAAAATATATTTTAGAAAAAATCAAACAAGTTTAGATATTCTTATAAATATAAAATGGTAAACTTTACCTGAGCTCAAGTTTCAAAGTTGAAAGATTATTACACTTTTCTAAATTAGAACTTAAATTTTATAAACCTTCATCATTTATTTTTTTGGATCTTTTCATGTTATTTATTTATTTATTTTCCATTTTTTTTATTTAATGTAAAAAAGCAATTAAAATATGAGAAATTAGGAGTAAATAAAAACTTTATGTTGAAAATAAATATTGAATCCAATTTTATTAATTAATTGAAGATGATATGATAATTAAAATTATTAAAATAATTATGATTTTATTATTTTAATTATTTACGTAAGCAAAAGTTTAATGTTTGTGTGAGATGATGGCTCTGAGTTTAAAAACTTTTTATAAAATAAAATAGTATTATACACTATTAGAAAAAGTTAAAATAAAAAATTACTTCTTCAAGAGTATAAATAAATTTTATCTACTATTTCATTTTTTTTTAAAACAAAACACAGCTTTTAATATATTTTTTAATGAATAAATAAATCTATCTGAAGAGAACCCTATCATATCTTTCTTTAAAAAACCTAATTCATTTAACTATTTTCTATGAAATGCTATTCACTTAAGTCAAAGACTTTATACTTTTTCTAAATTTCTGACATCTTGTTTATTTACTCTTCTTTTTTTTGAGTTCCTTTTAGCTCGAATTATAATTCTAATTAATTAATAACTTATTCACATTTTAAACTAATTAGTTTTTATATTAATAATCAGCTTTCCTAATATGAAATAGATAGAGTAATTACTTTCTTAAGGATTTTGAAGCACAATAATTCAAAAAATCCTTATAGTTATAAATAAATTACATTAATAAAATATAAAAAAAATTTTTAAATTTAAATGTTAAACTTCTTTCTTTCTCTTTATTTATTTATTTATTAATTTATTATTTTTTAAGTTTAATTTATAAATTTAAATTTAGTTATTAATTTTAATAAAAGTTTTATTTCTTAAAATATGTGTTATTTTTTTAATTTTTTTTGAATTGAAGTTGTAATGATTTAAAAAGTAAAAAATTTCAATAAATTGGACATTTATTAATTAAGCAGAATAGAATTTGCAATAATAAAGAAAAAGAAGTATATTAAATTTCAAAAATTTTATAAATCTAGAGTAAAGGAAAATAGCAAATTAAATTAAGAATCAATTAATTACAATTGTAATTAATTAACTAAAATATTTATTAATTTTTGCATCTATTAAATAACTAATATCAGAAAAATAAATTGATTACAATAATAAATAGGAAGGCATTTATTTAATCATTTAAAAGAAAATGAAATTAAATGAAATTTAATAGAGTTATAATATACAAGGTAAGTTAGTTAGTTATTATTTGGAGAATAAAGAATAAAAGAATAAGAAAATATGTATTAGATAGAGTATATAAGAGATATAAGAATATTAAGATTTTAATATATTTGTTAAGTAGAGATTAAAAGAGAATTTTGAATAAATTTATTCTTAAATTTTTGCATTTTGTTATTTAAAGCAGTTTTTTTTACATTTTTAGGTTAAGAGTTTTAATATTTATTAAAGTTGATTGATTTAGAATTTATTAGAATACTTATTAATAATCATTTAATTTTATTTGCCAAATTAATAGTAATCAATCATTAATTAGTCTATATTTAGAAAGATAGATAAATTGATTGATTGATTCATGCACTAATTAATCAATTTCTTTTTTTGTATATGACTATTTTATCTAATAATTCTTAATTTGAAAAGCATTTTTGCATGAAGGATATGCAAATTAAGTGGCTTCTTATATTTTTAATGTTTCCGCAATTTATCCAATCATTGATATAATATTTTAGGAAATATTGGAAAAGGAATGAGAATCTTTTACTCTTAAGAATTGACAGTAGAAAAGACTGATTAAACTGTTTATTTTTTTAAAAATTGTGGTATTCTTTTCTGACTTAGGCTATGCTTTTTTCTAGATACTGAATATCATAGATGGACTCAATAACAACTTAATCACCTTTTATTTAGATGAAGTCATGAAACTAACGCAAAATGTTTTTAATTATATTTGATTTATTGCACTTGCAATATTCAGAAGCTAATTAATCTAGGTCCATTAAATTACATTCAATTATCAATTAGGAAACATCTAATTGTTCTGACTTTGACTTGACCAAAGGCTAAGAAATATCTAAGAAATAGATATCTTCACTATTATTGACTTCTTCGTAACAACTAGCGCTCATGTGGAGTATCGCAATTAAAGATGGAAAATTATTGATATATTCTAGTTTTTTTTTTTATCTGTTGATTTGGATTGTTTTAAATTTTAATAGTTTGTTTTAATTTTGCATAATTAAAGAACAGTATATCAATCAATCAATCAACTTAAATTATATCTATCAGTAAAACCACATTAAAATTTGATTAAGTAGTTTCTTTGAAGAAGTGAATTCTGTAGAAATCTAATTAAAATTTACAAAGCAAATTCAAGTAAAAATTTAATAATAGAAACTTTCAATTAACTATTTACAGAAAAATATTGTAAAGTTTCTCAAAAATTAATTAGGAGAAGTTTATGATAATGTTAAAAATATTAATCAGTATAAATGTTCTATTACATTTTAAGGTAAAGCTGACAACATTTTTCAATTTCGCTATATCTAAAAATAATTACATGTTTAAAAATCTTAGTTAAATACTTACGAGCAAAAAATCTTAAATTAATGATATATGTTAAAATAATTTACAGATAGCATTTATTAGGTAATCTTCCATTTTTAAGCATTTATTGAATTTTAGAAGACTAGACAGGATAAATCATTCAACAATTGCAAATATTATTGATTAAATTTATTTTGATTTACTGTTGCATCTCTGGCAAATTATTAAAACTTTGAGTCTTAGTAGAACACTCATTCAAAGTCATAGATAAAAATAAAGTAGATATTAATTAATTAAAGTAAGTTAATATAATATCATTTTTCATGTGTTTACTTCAATGAAACTATTTTATCCACTCATTTTGCTAAATTAAAAATAGTTTATATTTCTTACGCATGCATTACTTTAATTTACATTACCTACCTCCTTCATATTAGTCATGTTTGAATCCATTTTAATATTAACGCAATAATGCTCTATTTTTATCGCGAAACAATCATGTTTATGTCTGATGAAATGCGAATCTCTTAAATCAAAAAAAGCCTGAAAATAGAAAGATTAAATTAGAAACAGGTAAAGAAAATTCCGAATTTAATAAAAATGAAAAGGATTTTAAAAGATTAAACAAGTTATTTTGTTATTTGAATTTGATATTTTTTCATTTTTAGGATAGACTATTAGCAATTTTTTAAGTCTTTTTAATACTAAAATTAATAATCAATAGTTACTAAAAAACATAAAAATAACTATAAAATGTATAAATAAGCTCTTTAGAGGCTGATACATAATTCTGTGGTAGTTTCTTTTATTTTTAATGTCTGTAACAAATTATGCGTTTTTTAGAGAGTAAAATTAACGTATTACTAAATATCTTCAAAACCATATTAAGAACTTAGCCAGCAATCATGTAGTTTAAATGTTCAAAATATTTAAAAATTAATATAATTTGATGTATTTTCTTTCAATGATTTTTTTTATCTATTTTTTTTTTGAGCAAAAATGTTTTAAAGCTGCGTAGCACGATTATTTATTTATTTATAGATGAATAAATTTAATAGGTCAAAAAAGACAGAATATTTATTCTATCTTTCAGAATTATTTTGAATTTTAATAAAATTAGCTAGGTTAGTATTAATTACGAATACTATCCCTTATCTTTACTAAATAAATTTAATCTATATTATCTTTTTGTAATATTAATTAATTAATTAGTTTGATTCATTCAATAATTAATATTCAAACAAATAATTCAAATTTTTCTTATGTTACATAATACTTGAAAAGGATTCTTTAGGATAGATAATTTAATCAAAAAAAAAAAACAAAGAGGTAAAAAACAAGTCAGTTGACCCTAATTACTAATTGCTTTAATTAAATTTTTTTAAGTACAAAATCATAAAAGCAAACAGTTTAAAATTTATATACAGTAAACATATAATTTAATCAATTGAGAATCTTATATTATTCTAAATTAACGCAAGAACCTTCAAGTTGTTTACTAATCAAAATTTGGATTTTTCCCAAAATAACTCCCCACTATCAGCTATCAAATGATCTCAACTTTCAAGCTGATAAATATAATTTTTTACTTTAACCACAATCAATTCATAATTACAAATACAAAATGTTTGATATTTCTTAAAATATTTTAGATATTTTGTACCTCATTTAACCAAATAAAGTATTTACTAATAATTTAATAAATATAAATAATATTTTAAAGTGATTCTTGTTTGTATTAAGCAATCTTTTTATAACTAATAATAAATAAATAAATATATTAACAAAATACATAGACAATTATTTAATTTCTAATTTTTAGATATTAAATATTACAATTAAAATTCAGATCAAAAATTGATCTATTTATTTTCATTACACATTCTAAATAATTTATTGATTGATTGAATATTTAGTCAGTTAAAATATATATAAATAATAATAAATATATTCATTCTATCTATCTATCGATCAACCGATTTATGTCTAGAACACTTTCATCAAAGGGTAATCCATTAATTTGCCAAATGTGATATTAATAATCTCAATTAAATTTTTTAACTTATTAAAAAAATTATAGGCAGTAAGCTCTTTTCACATTTGTTCATATTTATACATTATATTGGTATTATTTTCCCTATTACTTTTTATATAACTAACTAACTAATTAATTAATTTCATTTTCTGTTTTTTTTATTATATGTAAATTTGTCTATTAAATGTAACTCAACTCTCAGATATCACTATTATTTATTTAGCCTAATAAATTTAATAGTGCATATTACAGCAATTAAAAACCCATTCATTTAATAATTTGGCAGAAATAGTTATGACTATATTTATACACTTTTATATATTTCTACTACCTCTATCTAAATCAGTCCTTTTTTTTGTATCTAATAATACACTCAATTAGCTCGGGTTTTTCTTAGCAGCGTATTAAATAGTGTATGCATAAAAGATGGTTCTTTATATCCTTCAGTCTTTTGCTTCTTATCCAGTCGATGCTGTAATATTTTAAAAAGTAGTGGAAATGTACACTGAATCTCTTGCTTTTCAGGATTGAAATGAGCATAGTTGCGTTGGGTTTTTTAGACCTTATAAAATTTTGAAATTCTTTCCTAATCTATACAACATCTCTGTCTTTTTAACGAGTCAAAGACTCTATTATAACTTCATCACCTTATTCAGTCAAGAAATTTATGAATTAATTTAATATGTTTTTGATGAAATTTGATTTATTGCATTTTTTAAATAAATTCAAGATTTAATCAATTTCTAAAAGTTCTAATTATTGCAAATATTAATTTATTGAACATTCTTAGCTATTTTAAGCATTTTAATAAATTTCTTAATTATTATTGTCTTGATGTTTTGTATCTCCCTCAAAAAGCATATCAGCCATTTTACTTATTTGCTTAGTTAACTTTCAAAATATTTTTATTTATCTTTTCAAATATCTTATTCTTAATGGTTAAAAATTCTAAAATTTTCTTTTTTTTTTTTAATTTAAATAAATTATAATTTATTCCCTTTACACCACATTTAAAGCAATCAATATATACTAGACTCAAAAATGAAACAATAGACTTTTTTTTTGAGCATCTAATGTAACAGGCTTGTTCATGTTTTCTCTTATTATCTCTTAGCGTGCTTGCCAATTACATTATTTATGATACGAAATTTCACATTTAAAAAAATATTTAAGCATTTTTAGTAGATAATTTAAGGTTTAGGCTTATCTTCTATCATTTCAATTTTATTTCTTCTAAAACGAAGAATAGAAAAATATATTTAGCAAAAATAAATTTTGTCACTGGGATTTAAAAATTAAATCTAATCAATAATTGTTAAAATTAGTAGTAAAAATAAATGATTTACATAAAATTTTCTTTTTATAAAAGTCTGCAATGAAATTTAGATAAAAAGAATGAATTAATAAAAAAATCAATGAATTTCTTTTAATTAAAATTTTTTTTATTTAACAAAATCAAAATTAATTAATTAATTAATTTCACATGTAAATTTCATTAATCTAGATAGAATTATTAAATCTAAACAATAATTAGAATTTAAATAAATTGAAACTCATTTCAACCATTTAAATTTCAGACAAGAGGTGATTGTGATTTTTAATAAACGTGTTTAATTGAAAGAATAATTTTAGTTCAATTTTAAATTCCAAGAAATTAAAACTAATATTTTTGTTAAACGCTTAAAAAAATAGATTTAAATTTATAAGTTATTATTAAATGTTCTAGTTTAACTATTGAAAATACAAATAACACAAAAAAATTAATTAACTAACTCTTTATCAAACAAACTAAGAATAAAAATAGACTATTTACAATAAGTGCGTGTGTGCATGCAATCTTTCAGATTCAAAGCTTAATTGTAAATTTGGATATTTAAGATAAAACGATCTAATCCTTTTCAAATTAAATGTATTTGTTATACACATAATTATACTTATTAATAGAAGCACCTTTCTCTAATACGCTTCCATCAGCCTTCATTATCTTCAGTTAATCTTGACTTACTTCACTAATAGGGAAATTGTACATGATAATTGATCTAATACTGATATCTTTAAGTTTGAATTTTGAATCTTCCAAAGGTTTCCACAATGCGTCTTAATAGCTACTAACACTGAATGATAAAATTTTATCTTTTACTCTCAAATCAATGTTTACTTACAATAAACAATTAGATTAAGCATTAACTTCTTAATCGCATTCATCATGTATTTCTTTTTCATCTGACTAATTTGAAACATTAAGCAAATTTCCTGTGCAAGAGTATTAATCTGTAGAATTTTACTACTTTAATGAGCAAATTATATTGAACTCGTTATTTAAATCTGCTATTTTTAATACATTCTTCGAGTCTTGCATACCAACTAACTTACCAGATCTTAAGAAAATTGGTACATAATCAGTCAAAGTATTGTAAACATCTTTAAATTTACCTTTTTTGCTCTCAATCATTTTATATCCACTCAATAAATCAAACCTTAATAATAATAAAAGTAGAATTATAATTTTTTTTCATCAAAATTTGCAAGTTTTAAAATTATTTTTCTGTAAAACAATTAAAATGTTCAACTGAAAATTTTCTGTTTACAGTCAAATCTAAATTTTAATTTAATTAACTGGGTAGGGTAGGGAAAATAGACAAACGAAAATTAAAAAATCGAAAGGTAATTATCAAAAAAATAAAATTGTCTATACTATTTATTTTTATTATATTTGGTAATTCAAATAGATTTTGTAACGAAATATTTCTTTAGTCTAAATGACTGGATAAATGTAATATTAATCTAAAAAGCTAAATTTTTTACCATGATCCTTCTGGGAAATAAGCTGAAGTGGTAGTTTTATCATATTCAACAACTGGGGTTGCCATTAATTCATTTCCGAGCAAAAATTATTGATTTAGAACTCTATCTTAAAAACATTCACCATCATAAGGGAACTCAAAAAATACAGGTCTAAATATAGTACCTTTGTGGTTTGTTCTAACGAAAAGCATAAAGTAGTGTTTGAGTAGTGAATACCTCAACTTCAAGTTTTTAGATGCTGTTTTAGTTACTTCTGGAGATAAATTATAAAATTCCTAAGGTCCTGTTTTTATATTTGTTAAAAATTAAAACTTTTAGAGTCAATTAAATCTTAAGCGAATTTCTTTTATTTTACTAACATTCATAGATTAAAAAAATAATATTGAAATTAAACTATTGTAAAGAAATATTTCTAAGTTTTTGTACTTGCTTGATCATTGTTGTGATTTCTAGCAAAAGGATATAAAGCACCTAACTATATCCATCTTTGGCAAAGTTGGTCTTATGTGTGTTCTAAAAAGCCACAAATGTCAGCACCAACAAAAGGTATACCGAAAATGTTATAATTAAGGATTGAAGGAATAGATATCTATAAAAAGTCATAATTTGAGTCATTATCTCCTGTCCATTTGAAAGTAAAGCGACCAGATCCAGTGAAGCTACTACGAGTAATAATAAAAGGATACACTTTATTGACGCTCCTCAAAGCATTAAATGTATGATAAGTATCCATAAAGCCATATAAATTATGAACATCTTTATGGGTGTAGTTACCATAATGAATCAAATTATAAGCTAATTTATTTATTAAATTGTTAAAAATAAATATAAAGCCAACTTAATTTAAAATTTACGAAGAGTCATCTTTTACAAGTTTTGGTTACCAGGCTAAAATGGTAAATTGAATTTTGGTTTGATAAATTCCTCCTTATAGTCATCTAATTTATTTTGTTAAAAATTTCATTAACATCTTTTTTAAACTTATTCATTTTTATCTTAAAATATTCTCATCTAGTTAATGATTAATTTATGAATTTTTTTAAACAGTTTAAATTTATTTTATTTACTTTTAAATATAAATTTTATCAAATATTATGCTTTAACTTATTTATTTGAATAAATCAAATTAGTGTATTCCTAATATAGAATTGCTAGAAAATAAATTTATTTAATGAAATAATAAATTACTATAAGGATTATCATCAATCCAATTGCATTCATGGTTAGAATTTTAAGGAAACATGCAATCGTCAAAATTTGTTGGTTCATTCATATCAACCCAAATTCCATTAAAATGAGTCTTATTGTAAAAATCTTAAAACATGAAGCTCCAATACTCTGAAATATTTGGATGCAAAAAGTCAGGGAAAAAAGAATCACCTGGCCACACCTTTCCTTTGTATCTTTTACCTGTAAATGGGGATCTTAAAAATATATCCATTTCAATTCCTGTTATTTATTAATATCAAAAATAACTATTTATTTTTCTTTTCATAAACATAACAAAAAAATGAACAAAAGAAAGATAAGTAAGACATTAATTACCTTTTTTTAAAGCTAAGTTGCCTTTGTTGTAATCTTTAGCTCCAACTCCACAGTCAACAATAGGAATATAATTAATTTTCAACTCATTGTGAAGTTTATCGAAAAATGATTCAGGAAAATCAACAGAGTTAACAGTGAAAGTTTACTTATCATTCATATAATCAATATCAGACCAAATTGCTTTTTATAAAAACATTTAAATAAAAAAATGCACTCAAGAATAAAATTACTGTCAAGAGGGATATTATTTTACTTATGTTTTTCAATCGTATCAAAAATCATGTGCTGATTCCTGTATCCCCATCTACTTTGATGAAATCCAAAGGCCCTATTTGTTTTTTTTTAAATTTTTTGATCAAAAATATAAATCTATCAAATCTACCAGAATGGAGGGAGAGCATGGCCACCACCTAAATATTCATGGAAATATCTGATTGCAGTTTCTGGATTGTGATCACCAAAGAATATTTTAAAGTGAATTATACCACCAACCTTATTTAAAATAATTTATTTTTAATACACTTATTAAGGATTGAAAATATTTTTTTATATGAATTTATATCCATCCAAAATCAATAAAATATATTATTTTTAATAATCTTCATCTATCGATGAAGATCCTTGAATCAATGTTAATTATGATCTGAATTTTTCTTTTTAAAAATAATTTAAAGATTCAATGGAACTTGTTAAACAAACTTCAAAAACAAAATATTTTCATTTTTATTTGTGAATTTTAGTGCTGAGGGTAGTACCAAATAACTAAAAATATTAATTTATTTGTAGAATAAATATATATCAAAATCTTGCAAACTAATACATTTTTAATGGATATTTTTCAAAAGATAATATATATTTAAATGATGTATTACAGATTTAAATGTGATTTTGTTGGTTTCTATGATACAATCGGAAGGAGTAGGATTTTTGTAGAAGACAACATTATAATTTCCTGATGCTTCTCTTACTAGATAAACTGGGTGAGAACTATAAACACTTTAACCTCCTTAAATACCTTCATCTATTTGATGCAATTGATCGATTGCGTTTAAAGTGTATAATCCATTTTTTAATCTGAAATTTCTGTTGTTTCTTTCACCAATACCAAAGATGAAGTTAGAAGGAATTTTGCTACTAAATTTGAGATAATTTTCAGAAAATACCATTTCATTATCTCCACTGAAAACTATTTCATTTGTTGAACTTCTAATTATTTAAAAATTGAAACCATTTTTGCCAGTTTCATGAAGTTCAAATTTAAAATCAGCTTCACTTTCCACTTTTTTATCTTTATCCTAATACAAAGTATCAAAAGGTTTTGTTTTTGGCATTGAAAATCTATTCTTATTATTTAAATCATCAAATTTAATGTCTGCTTAATGCTTAGATTCAGCTCTGAAAACAAATTGCAATTCATCAATATGTTGCAAACTATCCTAAATACTTTTCTTAAACTTCAACAAGGACTAATATTCACCTTAACCTGGCAAACCTTCAATCTCTATATAACCAGCATTTATTGTGGTAATTAAAAGAGAAATCGCTATAAAAGTTAAAAATACCTAAATTTATCGCATTTTTCTTTTTTTTTAGAAAGTGAATTCTTTATTTAAATTATTAACTACTTTCTTGCAGAGGTAAAAGTAATAATTTCTAATTAAAAAATAAATATATCAATCATCATCAGAAATAATGTGAATATACACTGAAATTTCTAACACGTAATAAATTTATTCAATGATGGATATTTACCTTTAAAAACATTTTTTAACAAGGAAGCAGGAATAAATTAATTACTCATCTTAAAAAGTTTAAATCTATCAATTAATAAGCTTTCAAAATATTTAAATATAAGTTTTAAGTGCTTGATTAACTGTTGAATAAAAAATGATAAATATAATTTCAAATAAAAATATGAAATTTATTAATTAATTATTTTTGAATTCACTTATAAAAAAGTAAAATTTTATTTAAAAATATTTAATAGTTAATTATTTATTTATTTATAGCTTTACATTATGTCAAATATTAACTTAAATTTAAGATTTTAAATATGAAAACAAAATATTAAATTATTGATTTTTTTCTTTGTAGAGGTAAAAGAGTTATAAAAAAATAAATAATTAAATAAATAAATAACTTATCTTTTAAAATGTAAATCTATCAAAAGAGCATTTAAAATTTTATATATAAATTATTAGGATTTAGTTTAATTTTCTAAATGATTCATAAAAAGTAGAATTATAAATTAAATTATTTAATAATTAATAAGTTAATTAATTATTTTTATCTTTACAATATCTGAAATATAAACTTAAATTTAACATTTTAATTTAAAAAATAAAATATCTTTCATTCATTGCTTTCTTTGCACAGGTACTAAATAGAATTTTTGCTTTAATTCTGATTGTAATTATTTTGGACAATAATACAATTTTTCTTCAGAAAAAGAAAAAGTGTCATCTTATGAAATGGTTTAGTTTTTATCACTATTTTTTCTATATTTGTTTTCTCCTTAGAAACTGATTTTAGCACTTTGCTATTTAAACCATTTCTTAAATTTAACTAATACTTCTCTTTTCGTAATGTGAATCTCTTTATTTTTTTTCGTTTCTTGTTCAGGACTTAACACATTATTAACTATTAATTCCCAAAATGATTACTATGCTTAGCCTAAACTGTAAATTTCGTTAGATCTTGAGCCTCTAAAGTCCAATACTTTTATTTGGATAAATTGAAATATATTTTTTATATAAATGAAATAAAAAATATTTTAAATAAAATTCAATTTTTAAACTTAAAAGTTCTCTTTTTTGTTTAAATTTCAAAATAAAACGATGAGTAAATGAATGGATTACTTTAATTAAAATCTACATTTTCAGGCAATTTGCTTATTTCTTTGAATACTTAGTCTATCAAAACTTCAATGTGGTGATTCATTTCATTTGGAGCATATTTATGACCTTGAATGCCTATAGTTATTGCCCTCATTTTTCCTCCTACAGAATATTCGAACGAAAAAATATTATAACCAAGCTATGAAATAGATCTCAAGTAGTAAAAAGAGTATGCATTAAAAAATTAGCTTATAATTTAAGCAGCCTTGACTGATTTTTTGTCATTCAGCTCTCCTATTTGATAATAGTTTATTATTGAAAAGTTATTTTCATCATAGTATGTCTAATTGCTTCTATAAACAAACGTTTTAGACTTTTGCTTGACATCATAATATGCTAAAGGCTTATACTCAAAATCAGGTATCTGTTTATAATTAATTAGTTATTCATGTATAAAATGTATAGATTATGATTATTTTTTAAAAGCTAAATTGCTTATTTACGCTATTGTATTCTATTCTTTCTATGAAGTTGTCTAAATACTATTCAGCTATGTGCTAAGTAACAGCTCCGCCTATAAATAATTCAGCATTAAATCTAGATTTGTATCTTTTAAACCAATTTTAAAGGTCAGAAAGACTAATTTATTCTGAGTTAATAAGATCTAATTTCGTTTCTACTGACAAATATTCAGCATGTAAAATATCTTTCATCCAATCAAATATTTCTAGAACAGAGTAATTTTCTCTTTGTCTGTAAATATAGCTTCTGTGTCTTTCAAGCAAATATAAATATTTGTCTTCATTCAAGAAATTTTCATCATCGAAAGATGATTCTAAAATGCTAAAAATAGTTCTTTGCAAATTATCTGTATATCCATAAACGGTCATCGATAAACCCTTAGATGTAGGATAAAAAAGTCCAGCATCAAAAAATAAATTGAAATAGTCAGCAATTAATCTATATAAAAATTAATTAAAATTTTAAATTGTAAAACTTGAAAACATTTTAAAAATGAAATTGATATTTCAAAAAAATAAAGACAAGTAAATAATTTTAATTAAAATCAGATTATTTTTCACAAAATAATAGTTTACTCAACGTAGAATTAAGAAACCAAGCTTTATTCGATAGAAGGATCACTCATAAGGATAGAAGCAAATGCTAACCCAGGATATAAATCGTGGTTTTAATAAAGCCATAGGTTGATATTTTTTTTAGTTTTAATAAGTTGTGGTCTTTAAGTGTTTTTATATATTTGTTCAGAAAGTTTTTAAAATACAGATTTATTCTTTTTCTTCTAAATACTGTGAGGGGATACTTATTTATTTAATATTAGCTAATGAGAGGTACTTTATAATTACTTAATTATAACTTTGATTTCTTATTGAATGTTAGATTCATCATAATCTTTTATACTAAGTTCGAGAATATTAATAGAAATATTTTCTTCTAAATTTGTAACTTTTTTATTTAAGCTTTGTATTTCAATATCATTCAATTTATATTCACTATATTTTATATTGTAATACTTTACTTCATTTTAAAAGCTGTCGTTTCCTGATTATAAAAATCTCATTATTTTAACTAGATCTAAATCATTCTGATTTTCAGACTCTTTATCTTGTGTTTAAAAGTATCTTTAAGCTTATTCTTCTTCTGTATCTTAAAAATTTTTCCTTAAAATAAATAATGCATTTTAGGCATTAAACTAATTAATTATGTAATTTAATTCTTCTTTGTCAACTTTAGTGAAATCATACTCGTCATTTAACAAATGGTCATTCTAATTAAACATAAATGAGTAGCCTAACATTGTAATATAAGTAAAAACGTCAATTGGCTACTAGTTTTCAAAATAGTATGATTATTCCTATAAAACTTTGTTTTTGAGTTCCTATTTTGTAGAAATAAAATAAATATTTTTTTAATTTAATCTAAAAACTCTATTTTTAGATATATCAAAATTATTTATTTTAACATTTTTTAAAATTGAATTCAAAAAAATTTTAATTCACAAATTAATTAATTAATTAAAAACTATTTTAAAATTTTGAAAGAAAAAATAAGAGGGTTTGAGTGATGTTCTCAAAAAAAAAATATTTGGTATTTTTTAGAATTAAAATTACTTATCAATCAAGAGTTTCAAGAAAATTTAGAATTATTGGAAGAAAAAGAAGAATACAGTATTACATTTAGTGATATTGAAGATAATGATGAGATACTTGAAGAATAACCTCATAAAAATATAAAAACCAATGATTAATAGCCAATAAAACCAATTGTTGATATTCCTTATTAAAGTACAATGATGATGGAAGAAGAAGAGAATGAAAATAAAGTTGATTCTTAATGTAAGAATAAAATAAAAACTTTCAAAGATAACATTTTCAATAAATAAATTCATCTTATTAAATTTGGAAACAAAGTAGTTTAATATAAAATAACATAATTTATGTAATGATATCTATTGTATTTTTACATTATTCAATATTCGCCATTTAATTTTGATCATTTTCACTTACCTTTTTTTTTTTTTGATAAAAAATCATTTTTAATTAAAGATGATTTTAAAGAATGGATTAGCGTGCATTATAATTTAAAATTGATACAAATAAATTAAATTTACTTCCTTATCTAATTTAGATTTAATCAAATCGAAATATTAGAAAAAGAGTCTTGATATTTCAAATTAATTATCAAACCCCTTTTGAGTCAAAGACATGTAAACGCCCAAGAACTGTTCTTAAGTAGTAATTTCTTCAACTATTAAATCACAGTCAGAAACATAGTGGTATTTTAGAAGATATGAACAGTAGTTTATAGACATTAAATCTTAAAAAACAAAAGTAATAAACTAAAATGATTTAGTTTATTATGATAATTTAACATCCAAAGGAATGAATATGCTCAATTCTGTTATTTATGTTAATGAATTTATTTTGATGTATTTTCCTTTATTTTCTGAATCAAATGCCATATCAGAATTGTTGAAATTAAATTAATGGGTTTCCTTTTTTTCTAATTTTAAAAGCTCATTTTAAACCATAGCTTTAGTTTGATTCAACAATTAGCTGTCTGTAATTACTGTTACATATGTATTTTCGTTTAAGTAATTTTCTTCTAAAAACTAAGTCACTATCTATTTAGGATCATCTCCAACTTTACTCAAAGATTCTTCAGAACCGCATTAAAACCCAAAAAAAGGATGATCTTTCTTAGCCAAATCCTTCAGGACAAACAAAATTGACTGAGTACCTTTAATTCAAAAAGTAAATAAATAATTTATTTATATAAACCAAATTAAAGCTGAATAAACAATTACTAAAATAATTTTTAAAATTATTTTTGTTGAAATTATTAAAAATAAGTTAAAATATTCATTTATTGATTGATTGATGTAAATAACTTTTATTTCTGATAAAACAGAATATTTGATAACTAAATTAAAATTCATTCAAAATTTATGTATTTTTGTAAGTTTTTATGCAAGAAAGAATGTATTTATTTACTGTGGGCTAAAAGATTTACGAATTCACTGTGAACTGATTGCAATTCATTTTTGACTTCTTCTTTTTAAAGCAAAGGGTATTTTAAGAAATCAACATATCTCTTTAGACAAAATTCTATATCCTAAAGGTCATTAAAAACAAAAGGATACATTGTTTAATTAGGCATAGTCATACCATTAATTTAACCATTTTTTAATGAACTTTGAAGCAGAATATCGTCAATTCTTGAATAATTTGCTGAACCTGTAAAAAGAAGATGCTATTTTTGATTTATTTATTTATTATAAATTATTTTAAATAAATTAAAAGGAATAATCACTTCGACAAAATGAGATAAACCCTAGAGATCTTTTGGATCTCTGTATGATCCTACTCCATTGAGAGCTATATTTATTCCTAATTTTTCTACATTTTCTTTATGCGCTATCAGTAAATTTATACCATTTTCTAATTTCAATATCTCATATTGATACTTATCGTACTTAGACTTAGTGATATCTTTTATTTAATTTAATATTTTAACCTGCAAAGGAGTTTATAATAATTTACTCAACTATGGCTTTGTATTAGGTTCTTCGTCAGTCTTAACTGTCTCATTTTAAAATAAGTAGTTTCTAAGCTAAAACTTATACTTTTTGAATGCTACTATTTCATTTTTATTTATCTCTTTGTCTAAAAAGCATAGAAAAAGCAATGCAATTGCTGCTATTGCTATTAGCAAGTAGAAATACTATTTAATCTAACAATTAGCTTTCATAATATTTATTTAGATACAACTGTTTGATTTTTATTTGTTTAATTTGATAATAAATTTTGTTGTAATTTTAATGCGTTTCTGCCAAAGATTTCAGTAAAATTTTGAAAATTTTATTAAATAAACACATTAAAATCAAGTTGTTAAAAATAAAAATTTAAAATAGATAAAAATACAATCATAAATTTATACAATATAAGATTCATTTTAAATTTATTTAATAAAATAAATTGTTTATTTTAAAATAAATAAAATAGATATTTGAAATAAATAAATAAATTATTATTTACATTAATAAATAAATATATTTATAAACTAAAAATATTTACATATATCATACATATATACATACATATATATATTTGTCTAGCTTGATTTTATCTAATCAAAATTTGGTATTGATTTATTTATTTATATTTATTATTATTTCTAAAGCTTAATTACCAAAAATAATAATTAAAATCAAATCAAGCTAGTTATTTTTAGTAAACAATAGAAAACAAATGGGTGGATCAAGAGATAGATCATCAGGTAGAAAAGATAAATAAAAAAAGAGAAGAAAATCTCGTAGTTACTCTAGCTCAAAGAGTTATGAAGAGCAATAGAATCAATTTCAAAAGAACCCAAAGAAAAAGATTTAGCAAAACAATCTTAACAACAATAACAATGGGAATAATATGGGAGGATCAAATAATATGAACAACAATTATATGAACAACCAATAAAATAATAGTATGAATAATGGCAACAACTATGATGACGGAAATGGAGGAAATTAAAACAATTAAAATCAATCTATGAATTAATAGGGACACTAATAAGGTTTAAGTAAAATAAATTGTGCATAATTAATTAGTTTTGTAATTTGTATTTATTTATATATGCATAAATCAATTTTAAATGGTTTCACAAATGAACAAATAAAATAACAAACAAACAAACAAGTATTTAAAATACTAAAATTTAGCATATTGTTCAAGGTTTTTTGTAACTTCATTAGCTAAATGAATCTTTAGTTGGGAAATTAATGTTTTAGGTTTAAATTAATGCATAAAAATAATATGTTTTTTTATTTACTAACTTAAGGAATATCAATTTATAAAATGTGAAAATTTTAATTTTTGATAACTAGGATAAACAGGAATGAATAATTTTGGCAATTAGAGGATGATGAATAATGGAATGATGATGGGCAATTTGATGAATTAGTTTATAAAGCCATAACCTCCAACACATTTAAATTTTATGATGCCTATGATGGGTGGCATTAACATGTAGTAAATGGGACATTTTAAAATGCCAACTATGATGAATAGATTCCCAATAGCATAGCCAATGAGATAATTCCCTCCTTTCATATAGAAATAGAATTTGATAAATAATAACAATAACATGGGCTAATAAATGGATTAAGATGATTCCAATAAAAAGATGAACAAATTTAATGAAAAAAATCAAATAAAGCAAAAATAAATAGACACCGAACCTTTTGTTACTTTTAAAAATATAAATTTAATAAGCGGGATTGTAGAAATTATACAAAATACATGCTTTTCTATGGAAAAATCGAATAATGAATTGGCATTTTATGTCTGCAAAAAGGCATTTTTAGAAATTCTAAAAAAGCTGAAAGAATAAAACTAAAATCGCTATCACGATAGTACAGAAGATCTTTTAAAGTACTTAGAAAAGTAATTCTTAGAAGAGCAAAAGTAAGCCATCAAAGAGTTCAACCAACAAAAGAACCTGAAGGAAAAGAACTATCTTTTCAACAATACCAAATTCAACAGTGGGATAGATAACTTAGATTATCAAATCCTCAAATTAGTTCATAAATCAAAAAAATTGAAAGATGTTTTTGACGTAATCTAAACAGAATCTGCTAACAAAGTAGATCTTTCCTACCAAAACGAATCTCTAGCAAGGAAATTGTTGATATACACATCCAACCAATACAATGAGCAGTCTCATAAGTTATATTAAGAAAGTATAAAGTTATTCAATTAAAATGTTTCATACTGAGCAACAATCAAATAAACAAACAAAGAAACAAAGAAAATATAAATAATATGTAATCCATTTTAGATTTGTGTGTAGTTATTTCTAAAACATCATTTCTTGCTATAATTCATTCATTAACTGATATATGTATCTAATTTTATTAATTTAATCAAATTTATAAATTTCAATTCATGTTAGCCTATTAAATATAAATAACTATTTCTACTTTAACAATCTAATTTGCTTTGAATTATTTTATATCAAATAAATAAATTCTTTTCCCATTAAAAAACTTATTTTTTTTAAAATAAATATTTATTGAAAAGTTTTATATTTGGATATTTTGAATTTTTTAATCATTTCTGAAATATTTTTTATTAAAATTAGTAAATTTTTTTTTTTTGATTAATTTTTGACATTTTTTAGATTAATGAGAATTATTTAAATAATAAATAGAATCACTCAAAAGCATTTTCTTTTGATTAAATAACAAAAACTCATTATTGTTCTTTCTTTAAAAGTTATTGTTTTTTCGGTGTTAAAAAAAGTGATTTTAATTTTGTTTTTATAAAACTAGAATATTATTTTAAACAAAGACGAAATTTGAGTGTTGATCTCTTTATATTATTATTAAACATTCTAGTAGATGATTTTAGTCGATACTTTAAAAAGCTTGTGGGCTCAAATTAATAAAATTTATTAATTCTAATTAAAAAAAGTAGTTTGATTTATAGAGAATGGATACAATTTAATAAAGCGAATAAGGAAATATACAAATATCTTAAGAAGGCCAAAGTGAATAGAAAGCTAACTAAGATATTAAAAAAGATGAAGAGCAAAAAAGCGAGTCATTAGAAAGTGAAGACTTAGATAAATTTTCTAAGGAAGAAATCATTAAAAAATATTTGTTCATAAAAAAGGAAAATTAAGTTTTAAGAAAATAATTAAACCATAACAACGACACAAAAGCCCCTATTCCTAATAATAGCTCTTAAAATGAGACTAAAAAGTAAAAGAAAGAGCAAAAATAGAATAACAAAAAGGAAAGCCTATTCGAAATCTACCAATAACAGCATTATGCCTTAAAAATGTCTTATGTTGGAATCAATTATCAAGGCTTAGCATATTAGTAAGAAACTGACAACACTGTAGAAGAATAGCTCTTCAAGGCACTTGAAAAGACAACACTGATAAAAAATAGAGATAATTGCAATTTCACACGTTCAGGAAGAACTGACAAAGGAGTTAGTGCTTTAGGATAAGTTATTGGTATCACTCTTAGAACTTCAATAAAAATAGGTGAAAATATTGATGAAATAGGTAATATTAATTAAGTTAGTCTATATTATATATAAATATTTATTTATTATTTACTTTGATAGAAATAACAATTTTAAAATATTTATTTTTTACAATGTGATAGAAAATAAATTAGATTACATTAAGATGCTTAATAGTAATCTTCCAGACGACATAAGGATTTTAGGTTGTTCTAAAGTTGATCCTGCTTTTAATGCAAGATTTGATTGTTAAAAGAGAATTTATAAGTATTACTTTTTTGAGAATTAGATGGATATTTAAAGAATGAAGGAAGCAGCTAACCTCTTTTTGGGAGAACACGATTTTAGAAATTTCTGCAAAATAGATGTTTTGCAAACACTTAACTATGTTAGAATTATTTATTAACTTGATATAGAAGAAGTTTAGGCTAATTTTGGTACTCTTGACCCTCGTTCTAAATTATATGTAGCAACTATTCAAGGAAGTGCTTTCCTTTGGCATTAAATCAGAAACATGATGGCTATACTTTTTCTAGTAGGCAGAAAGTAATTATTTAGTTAGAAATTTAGTTTAAATACTTTATGAGTAATATTTATTATTTTAGATAAGAAGAACCTTCAATAGTTACAGAGCTTCTTGATATTTAAAAGAATCCATCTAAACCTAATTATGAGATGGCTCCTGATTATCCTCTAGTATTATTTGATTGCTTGTACAATAATGTTAGTTTTAACTACAGTAGCGATTAGATAAAGATTTATGAACATTATTTGCAGATAATCTAAAAAAAGTGTATCGAAAATTAGCTTTATATTACAACTCTCAATTATATGGCATAAACTGCTTAGCAATTTAACAATTATAATCTTATTTAAAATTCATTGATTTCAGAAGAAGCTACTCTTCGTAATAAGAAATACTAGCATCTTTCAAAAAGATAATGTGCTTAATCATCAGAAGACACTTTAAAAAATTTAAAAGGCAGAAAATTAGATAAGTTTTTAATTAAGCAAGAAAAATAGATAAATTATTAATAGTAGCGCGAAGCAGAAAAGAATTTATCATAAACATAAGATTAAACCTCTGAAGGAAACGATACTTAAGAATGAATAAAATACACAAAAATTATTTTAATCTACATAAACTAGTTAAATTACATAAAAAAAATAAAAAAAAGATTTTAGCTTGATGTAAAATATTATATTTATAATTAATTAGAATGAAAATCTTAAAAATATCATTCGTTCATTATTTTAATGTTAAATTATAATTTATGTAAGCATAATTTACAAAAGTTTGGCTTTTTAGTATATTTATAGACTGATTTATGATTAAGAAATAAAAGTATTTGAGGGTATGTATATATTCATTTAAAATTAATTAACATGATTATTAAAATATTTTTGAGAAGGAATCTTTGAAGTATTAATTAAGAATTTAATAAATTTTAGATACAATAAATATAGTAAATTTAATCAATGCTTTTTTCTTTATATCATTTATTTATTTATAAATATTTAATATTGGATGTATTTAAATGCTTTTTATAGCAAATTAAGTTTTTTTACTTGATTTTAAATGTTTTTACTTAATCATTTGTTAAAATAGTTAGATTTGAATTTATTATTTTATATTATCTTTCATTAATTTCTAAGTAAGCTTCTAGGGGGTTCATAATATAGTTGTTACTAAATTGGCTGCGAATTAATTACCTATTAAATTGGTTATTATATACTTTAATCGTATTCCGCCTATATTTATTATTAATTTAATTACTCTAACAGCTTTTGCTAATTTTCCTTTTGAGCTTAAATTTATCTTTTCCTTTTTCTTCTTATGATGCATACAACAATTATCACAATTATGATTATGATTGCTAACACAATTAAAAGATAAAACCACCAATTATATAGGATGTTGAAACAGCATTCTGATTAATGACAACAATCATAACCGCTTGAGCATGTGTATGTAGTTGTATCAGTAAAACAAACACCTCCAAATTAGCAATAATATTATCTTAAAATTGCTAAAGTTAGAATTAATTATTTCCACATATCTTTCTATCAATCAATCAATCTTAAGCGCTTTTTTATAAGTAAAAATAAGTAATCTTTCGATATCAATTTTTTTCCAAAATAATTAATAATAGCAATACTTACTTATGAAAATGTTCTTTATAATAAATCTATACATTAACCTTAGAATAAAATTAATGATAACAAAATATCAAAATATTCAATGGTTTAAATAATTTAATTTTTGTTTCTGATACTTAAAAAAATAATTTCAAATAAATATACCATCAACTTTTCTATTTAAAAATTATTAAAACAAATAAACTATAAACAAAATTTATTTTATTATATTTATTTTGAGAAGTCCCTATATTCACTTGACTATTTATGACAAATATCATATCTTACAGTATCATTTTAAATTTTATTTCAATATTATATAATAAAAAATAGAATAATCTTTTTTAAAAAAATATTATTGTAGAAAAAAAATTAATTTTATAATACTCCATTTGAAAACATTACAAAAAAATACCTTACTAAGAAAGTATGTTTAAAGTATATTTAGTAATTATTTGTTTAATTTAAATTGATAAATAATTAGATTGATAAATGGAATCATTCCAGATTAATCCTTCTTTTAAATTAGATAATATTTGGTTTTGTTTTATCTTTTGAAACAAAATAAGTTTTTTCAAATATAGGAATATATATACACACATACATATAAATATATAGATAGATAGATTGATTGATTCAAAGTAGAATTTAATTCTCATAAGAGGAAGCAAAAATAAATTTTTTAATGAAGAAAAACAATTAAAATACTAACAAAAATAAAAATGATAAAAGCATTGATTTTTCTGTAAAAACGCAATTGATTTTACTAACTTAAAACTAAAAATAGAGCAATATTCTATTATAAATGTCTCAAATTCCTTTGAAACTTCTTGAAAAAGCATTAGGAATAGATGAGAAATAGTTTGTGGATAGCTTAGATGAAGAGACAAAAAAATTTATCTTAAAATCTTAAAAACACTTTAAATATCAAACGCTGACACTGCTTTCTCAATAACATCTTGAGAAGGTGTTAAAAAAAGTATTTTTATTTTTACTTATTTACTTTTAAGTTTTTTTTAGGATTGTAAAAGTAGCTTTAGCTGCTGGAGGAATACACAATTAGTAGCTTATTTCAATCTTTAAGTATCAAGACTAAATCAATTAAATTCTGAGCAGTAAATGGAAAAGATTTAAGAAGCCGAAAATATATTAACACCTTCTCACATTTAAAAAGAATTTCTAAGCGATATTAACTATAAAATTTTATCTGCTATGTTTGTTATAGAGAAAATGCGAGTATCACTTCAAATGAGCGATTTAATTAAATCTGTAAAGATCTTCTTAAAAAACGAAGATATGCTTAAAAGTTTAAATTATATAGAGGATGCTCTTCAAAAATCTGACCTAAAAACATAAGAGAAAAGGAAGTATGAATTTTTTTTGTTAATTAAAAGTTAAATCTACTTAATTTATGCTTTCACCATGCAAAAAGTTCAGTAATTTACACAAAGTATTAGTGCCTACGAAATCTATTTAAATTTAAAGGAGAAGTTACTTGATTTTGATTTTGTGAGTTATTCATTTAAATAGAAAGAATAGTAAAACGCATATTATTCTATGTATCTTTACTTTTATTACAAATATTGCAAATCGCTTACGAAAGATAAATAAGACGAAAAAGCATTGTAATCTATTTGCAAGGGGAACTTCATGCTCAACAAATTCTATTCAAACGATTTTATTAAAAAAGAAGACATTCAAAAATTCACAATAAAATTTTCTTAACTAAACTAAAAAGTTGAAGATATGATCAAACAAAATGTTGTTAGTAACATTCACAAGCAAAATTAAATTTTAAATATTCAGTCTCCTAAATTCAAAGATGAATAACTCAAGTAATTAAGGTTATATTTTAAAATGTCGAAGCAAAATGCGTAGAAAAAAGACTAAAGTAATCTTAATAGATCGAAAAGTGAAGGAGCTATATAAGCTAATTCGATGAACAACGATTCTAATGGAAAAATAGAAATATCTAAAATAGACATTGAAAAGATTGAACAAAATTCTAAAAAAGAAGAGGAACTTTAGGAATCTAAGTAAAACAGTCTAAAAGACTAGAACTCATTTATTAGCAATTTAGATTATTTAAATAGCTTTCTTGATGACGAATAATTAGAATAAAGCTATGGTAATAACAAATTTAATTAGATGGAATACGATTAGCTCTACAATAATCTTAAAACTGAGGAAGAAGAATAGAACATCAATGAAAAATATAAAAAGTTGATTGTTAAAAAATAAATAGACATTAAAGGGCTCACTGATAGATAGCAACCTTAAAAGTTAACTCCTTTAAATGTCTTGTTAGCAAAAAGCGATATTATGATGGACTAATACTTTAATATTTAGAAATTTTAAACAGAATATGGACAAATAAATCAAAACGAAACAACAAAAACCATTACAGAACCAAAATATGAAAACAAAAATGTATCAAAAGCATTTGATAAGTACAATATTATAAAATAAGATTTAGCATTATCATAGAGATGCAAATCTTTGCATTTTAATGAAACATTACCTATGAATCAAATTACAAACATAACTTAAATGAATGCATCAAATATAAATACTTAGCTCGATTCGAGGAGAGTCAGTAACCTTCATTCTTAAAGATACAAAAACAACTCGCTTTGGTCTTAAAACTCTTAGCTAATGTCTGCAAATTACTCAAGAGATTTGTAACGAAGAAATTCAGGCCAAAATAAATTAATAGTAAACTAAGCCAATAGTATAACGAACTCCTAAATTAAGCAAACAAAAAGAGGAGATGAAAGTAATAAAAACTAATAAATAGAACGAGTTAACACCAATGAAAATTTCTTAACTAAAAAAAAGCTATCTTTAAATCTAAATCTAAATAAATTAAAAGAAGAAAATTAATTTTCTCAAAATGAATCATAGCAGCTTTAGTTAAAGCAATAAATAGTAAACCAATTTAAAAATAAACACATTTAAGTTTATTCAAACGCCTTTAGGACAAAATCTGGCTCAATAACCGAAAGGCCTAGATCATCTATCAATAACAACACACTTTTGGTTTAGAAAATAAGAAATAACAAACTTTTTTCTTAAGATAAATAAAATGACTTTAAAGTTAAATCAGCTCTTACTTCTCCTAGAAATAGCTAAAAAACTGACTAAACTAACAGATAAAAATATAAAACACCCATTCATTAAAGGATAAAAAATAATTGCGAGCTAATAAAAGATTTAGATATTGAATTTGAGCTGTAGTATCTAATGGTAAGAAACAAGCAATCTTTTTAAAATAATCTTCAAAAGGAATTTACTCAAAAACCCAAACTTTTAACACGGCCTTTAAATGAGCTATAAAACAATTTTTAAATGCAAAAGGAAAACAATAAAAACAATAACTCAGTTGATTCTAATAATTCAATTTATTCAAAAATAAATTATAAAATTCCAAATGTGATAAAATTTTTATAAGATAATAAGAACAACCTTAAATCGGAGTCTCTGCATCAAAAATACTTGAGTCTTGCACAATTTGATCCAGTTATCAAAAAAAGACTTAATTCTATGGCGTTTGAGAATATATAAAATAAAAAAGACAAAAAAGACACAAATCTCGCCTAATCTGAGTTAATGACAAAGTTAAATCAGAGAAATCAGTTTGTCACTGGTATTTAAAAGTAAAATTTTTTCTAAAAAAAAAATATGATTTTCAAATTATTATTTTTCTAAAAGATTTTCTTAAGAAGATCAATAGCACATCATAAAGCATGGTGGAGTCGTTTACAATGAAAAATTTGAAGATTTTGATTACATGCAGTCAGATAAATATGGATAAGGTTATATGAATTAAGATTTAGAAGAGAAAATGAAAAGTGTAAAAGAAGAACTTAAAAAAATACAATTCATACCCCCAAAACCACCAACAGAAATTGAAGTGTCATCTAAAACAGAATCAGACTTTTTAAATATATCAAATTAAGAGTTACTTTAGCAATCAAATGCTATCGTGAATAGATTCAAACAGTCTTTGCAAATAGAAATGAACGGAATCAACGAAACTAATTTGTTCGTGAATCACGAATTGAGTAGCAAGTCTTCTAACACTTTTAGGAGCTTTTACAAATCTTAATTTCAACGCTATGCTAATAAAGACTTTTATTTAAATTAAATTGCATAACATTGCATAACTATTCATAAAGGAGATTAAGAAGAAAATTTTACGAATGCTGCATAGAATATTTTAAGAAGATAATAAACTAAGCAAGCCAATTAAAGCAATAAATGTATCGATGAAGATTAATCTCAATAGAATACAGTATCAGAAAAATAAATAGAAGATTATCAAGACAATTTTTTTGAAAATGATGAAAATGCAAAAGCATTAAAAGAAATGGTACATTTCATTCGATCAGGTTAGGGAGAAAAAAGAATATCTTTAAGCGATTATTCATATTCTTTTGCAGATAACTTTTCAGAAATGAATAGCTCTGTTATTGTTGGTAGCCAATTACTATTAAATAATAACTAAGAAAGGTTTAGTGTTACAACTCCAAGAAATGTGACTCAGAAAAAAGATAGTATTTTCTTAAAGCGCCAGCAGAGTCTATTTTCAGAAATTGCCTAAAAAAAGGATTAAGAAAATAAAATGGATGTTTCTTTAGTCCTTAATGACTTAAATAATTAAGGAGAACATTAACTTAGATAGCCGACTCCTATTAATAAAAGATTTCATAATTATAAATTAGAGAAGAAGCTTTCTTTATTTGTAAATGAAAAAGCAAATAATTCACCTAAAAATAATGAAAACGCATTAAAAAGTAACCTAAATTTCCTTTAAGAAGAAGGTAATCAATGTGTGTGTGTGTGTCTGCTTATTTTTTTTTAAACTGCAAATAAAAAAAATTTTGGTAGAAACTTAAAGATAAAATATGCATTAATTAATTGATTGATTATTTTAATTTGAATAAATTTATGTCTACCACACACAGGGCAAGATTTCTACCATTAATAAAAAATAAATAATTTGTTTTGAAAGAAAATATTTAAAAAATATTTAACATGTTTTTATATTATTTTAAATAGAAAACGAATAAACTGAATCTCCATAGAAAAACTAGAGAGTTAGATAAAGTGATGTAAAGAATATGTTATTGAGTTAAGAGAATGAATAACTAAAAGAAGAAGATGAAGAATAATTAACATCAATCAAAGTTATTAACCCAAAATAAAATATAATATAATTTGAATCTCACTCTTATTAGTCTATTTAAAATTAGAAAAACTAATAAAAGAGAGAATAGTATTAAAGGAAATAAACGAACAAAAACAAAACTTAAACAATTTAATCACCAAGACTTTCAACTGATCTAATTCTTTTTAACAATAAAAATAATTATGAAGCATCTCCTGTATAATTGGTCACTATGCAATAAATTTTCTAAAAATTTTAGAATAATGATGTAACTTACAATTTATTTATTTATTTATTGTTTGTTTACTCTTTCATCACCTATTTATTTATTTACTTAATTTTTTTTGTGTTTTTCCAAGGATAAATAAGAAATCAAAGACCGTACAATATAAGAGAGTCCTTATAAGTAACCTAGAAGATTAAGTATTAAAATCCACTTTGACCGTGCAAGTAATGATGATTAAATGAGCAAAATTTCAAAAGAAATTAGTGAAATTAATAACTCAAGTTTTTAATCAAACAGCATTGATTATCACAAAGAATAATCTAGTAAAATGAAAAATTAATTTAAGTTGCAACTCCATTCACTTAAGCAGATACATCAATTAGAAAAGAGTTAAATTTAAGAAAATTAATTAGATTAATCAAATAGCAGAAGTAGGAAATTTTCAGAATAGAGTAATTAAACGAGAAAAAGTAGTTAAAGTGAACCTAAACCTACTAAGTTTCAAGTTCAGCATAATCTGGTTTAAATACCTATTCTTCATCATGATAGTTGCACAAAAATTTAATAATTTTTTAGGAAATACACTTCTTAAAAGAAATTAATAAAACAAATACTGAATAAAAGGTCTAGCATTTATACAAAAAAATCTTAAAAATAGTAAGCTAATTTTATTATTTATTTTTTTATTTATTTATTTATTTATTTATTTATTTATTTATTTATTTATTTATTTATTTATTTATTTATTGACTTGATTGAAATTAATTACTTTACATTTTTTATTCATAAAAGTATAAATGAAGAAGAAGAATAAAAAGTAATCTAAGAAAATTAATAGAAAATTAGCATAAATAAAAATCAAGCTGAATTGATGCATTCAATTCATTTTAATAAAGCTTATCAATAATTTGCAAGAATAGATGCAAATATAAGGCATATAATCTAAGCTAGAATTTTTTAGCAGAAAATCAGGGAATCTTAGTCTGGTCTCATAAATAATAAATCTCCGTTCGATAAATTTTATCCTCCTTTTAAATTTACAAGATTGATATAAGGTAATTAATTCTACCAAGCCAACAAGAAAAACCTTTTCATTTTAAAATGATTATTTTTAAATATTCTAAATTTACATACATTTTTATATTTAATTTTTTTTTCCAATATTTATTTCAACTATTTTATTATCTCACTTTCATTTATTAATTCATTCATTCATTTTTTGATAATTTGTTTATTTATTAATAATTTCCTTTTTTATTTTATTTAGGTGTTCCGGTGTCTTGGAAAGTCAAACATATTTTCAAGAAGGAGAATTTTGGGAGCACAGAAATTAATAATTATTACTTAACGATTTTATTCAGAAACACAAGATTCTCTATAAAAGTGGATCTTGATTACGCTGGTCTCCAACTAAAAAACATAGAGTTTAAAACTCTGTGGCCTCTGTATTTATTGGTAATTATTTAGAAATAAATAATTTATTTAATGAATTATTTATTATTGTTAAATAAAATGATTATTAGGCTTTTGAAAAATATTTGAGTGACTAGAATATAAAAATTTATGTAACAAAGCCTTAAAATGATATAAAAATTAAAAATTTGCCCTACAATTTAAGCTTTTTGGAGGGATTAACTGAAAAGTTAAAGTCTTAGTTGACAGACTTTGATTTAAATTGTATCGGAAACTTAAAAGACTTGTTAGAAATTTACTTAAAACATTTCTTTGAATTTCACCAAAAGGCTAATGGATAGGTCCTCGAATACAACAAGCACTAAATATTCCCTTAATGGAAATTAATACTTGTGAAAAATGCTTAGAAAAAACTGGATAGGTTCATTTCTATGAGCATTGAAGGCAAAAAGTCTCATAAAGAAGATTATAGAAAATACAAGAAGGAATACGAACTAGCGCTAACAAATAACGAAAGAGTATTGTAAAACAATCTTGTAAGGTTTATCAAAGAAAATCACTTATTAGGTGTGTTTATAAAAAGGTCAACTGGTGGTTATTACTACTTATTAACAGTCAAAGTTAACTTTAGGTAATCCAACAATATCTCCACTTAAATTGTAAACGGACAGTTAATGTTATCAGATTTTTCTTTTTATATAACTGGAAGAAATCTAGGAACATATTAAACTATCCTTCCTTTGGAAGTCCATGCTTCATAAGTTGCTAAATACTTCACTCCAAATACTTTGGTTAGAGAGATAAATAAGTAAAATTTATTTATTTATTTATTATTTTATTCTAAATTTTATTTAAATTAAACTTAGGTTTTTTTTGAGAAAGCGTCTAAGCCATAGGTGGACTATGATTCTTATTGACTTCTTTTCTTATCATCTTTGTCTGACATTGCCTAAAACAGACGTAATAAATAAATAAATTAATTTATTAAATAAACAAATTAAATTTTTTATGCTATTGATAATTAATTTAATTTATAGAGAGACGGAATAATCCATCATTAAACAACAAGCAAAATATAAAAGCTAATATTTAGAGATATCATGGAAATCAGAAGGAGAATTTAACAGGAAAGTTAAAAGTAAGTGCTTTTGTAAAACCCTTTCAACGACTTTTTCTTGATAGAACAAATTAAAAGAAATACGAATTCAAGTACTGATTAATAAAATGAAAAGAAAGAGGATAAATATGAGCATATTTCTGATAAAAATTTTATTAGTATTTAAAAGTAATTTTATAAAACCTAACTTGAAGAAGCTTATGAAAAGAATAATTATTCACTATTCCACGAAGATGATGAGCTCGATAAGAAATACGAAGATGGAGGTTACTACTAAACCCATGAAGAAATTTTAAAATCACCTCCTTAAGAGGATGTCATTGAAGTGCAAAAATAAGGTATCTAAGAAATCATTGTTGAAGATCATAAATAAATTAAGTAAGGGAATTAAATAAGAAGATAACACTAATATTCACTTATAGGTTAAGGCAGCTTTTTGAACCTATAAAACTAACTTGGTAACGCTTTTAATAAATTTTCTTTCATTTGATTTTTATTAAAAAAAAATATAAAGAAAAACCTATAATTTTATTAAATTTCAAATTAAAAAGAGGGATTTTGGAGATTGAGTCACTTATTTGATAATGGAAGATCAATAAGGCAAAAAGTATTTTTTGCTACTATGGGAACATATTTATGGGTTAGAATATAATTTGATATGATAAAAGGAGTGATTGTTGCTCATGTCAGTGATTATTGGTAAGGAGTTTATTATGAACAAATTATAAGAAATCAAAAAGTAAAGCTTAACTTACTTAATATGTCAACTTTGGTTTTAGAATCAGACTATAATTTAAGTGAAAAAATCAAGGAGAATTTAAGATAAATTGCATTTTAAGGTATTCTTCAAAAAGAAAAATCTCTCTTGGGGCATAAAATTAAGATAAAAACTGTCAGAGAAGAAGATACTCTTAAAAATCCAGTGTTGCTTAAAAATAAAGAATCTGTGAAAAATCACTTGTTGATTGATAGTGTAGAGCTTAAAGAACATTATGATATTGATGAGTACATTTCTATACTAAAACATAAAGATTTTGGTAAAATAATATGTACTATTAAGACTTATATCATCAACAAAGCTATTGATTAATCTGCTGCAAACACTTATTTATTCAGACTGACAATTTAAATATATAAGAGCAAACATTATTCATTTAAAATTATCCTAGGTTTTGACGATATATAAAATCTTGATAAAATTTTACATTCAAATCTGCTTAAATAATACAATAAAATCTATGCATAAAAGCTCATCAATCTGGCTATGAATAGAATTTAATTAGTTCCAACTCTCTAAGGGAAGGTAAAAAAAAAATTATTTATAAAATAAAATATTGGGTTTTATTTGTCAAAATAATAAGAAAGTGTTAATTAATTTAATAATTAAAAATAGATACCTTGCTTTTTTGATATAAAAAGGAAGAATGCATTGAGGATAAATGAAAATAATTTAGGTATTTTTATTAATTAAGTTGCTTATTTATTTCTGAATTAAATTTTGTTTTAATAATTAAAATAAGATTAAAGGATGTTCTAAAAGCAAGGAGAAAATCAAAATTTAGGATTATCTTGTTTGAAATTCAAAAGGAATAGATTTGCTAAAGTAAATTACGCGCTGGCTAATTTATAATAATAGAAAACAATGCTAGAAGATTATGTTTAGTAAAGCAGAGTTATTTTTTAAGGCATTAAAAAATATTAAGGAGAATATTGTATAGTTACTGTATCAAAAGATATTTTGCTGAGATACTGGGTTTTTAATATTTATGTACCTAAGACAAGTCGAGTTCTTGTCAGCTACTTTAATAATTCAGATATGATGGACTGCAGCGAGGAATTTTTAGCTAAATAGATGAGTCAAAAAATTATTTATTTTTTCGAAAATCCTCAAATGACACCTTTTAAGAACTATAGAGACTTCATTAAAAGAATATCTTTAAATAAAAATATTTAATAAGCCAAGAAAAAATAAAAAAAACCTTAAAAAAATATTAATTAGAAAAACAGCTCTTCTAGGAAAATTATAAATAATGAAATCTAAAATATAAATGATAACTTACCTGCGTACAGCTCCTAAAGCTCATCTCGTAGTTTATCTCCAAGTAAAAGGATTATTTAATAAGCTAAGTAAGGAATTTTAAAGCATTTTGAACCAAAAAGAAACTCTGTGTTGGACTTAAAATTTGAATTCTAAAATTTTAATGATAAATTTAATGACTTAAGAGAAGTTTTTGAACCAGGAATACAAAAAAAGAGATCATTTTCATCCAGCAGTTCCTCTTCAGCAAATTCCCTATCCTCTAAATCTATATTTTCATAGAATCTTTCTCCTATCCAAAGCTCTAATAAGATAAGCAAAACAAATGACTCAAAAAAATAGATTGCATTTAACTTTTAAAAAGTAGAAATGGAGGATATTCCTGATTATAGATAAAATAGCTCTCGTAATATTTCTCCTGGAATAAAAAGAGAGAATCATGCAAATTTAAATAATAAACATAGATATTCAGAGAGCATTGATTCATTTTAACTTAATAAGAAGAACGCAAATCAGTTAAGTAATTAAATGAAAAGAAATTCTTCTAATATATTAATTAGCTAATAAAAGATTGTTTCAGACATTCCAGTTTAATCCTTACACCAAATTTAATCTAGAAACAAACTAATTCAAAAATTAAAAACCTAAGAACAAATACAAATCCCGAATAATCTGAATGAATTATAGACTAATTAAACTAGTTAAAAATACATCTAAGATGATAAAGTCTATGGCAACAGTAGTAGCAGTTGGCAATTAAACTAACAATTTGCTTCCAAGAGAATCTCTTAATTTTAGTCTTTTTAAAGATAAGCTGAGAGAAGAAAATCTGAATTTATTTCATTTTAGAGATTAAGATAACCTCCGTTTGCTCAAAAAGAATAAATTTTACAAACAAAATAAATGATTCCTGATTAAAACTAACAATATCTTAATTAGAAATCTTCAAATTTCGAATTTTAAAGGAAATAAGGAAAGAAAAGCTTGACAATACTGCAGAACAAAAACTAAAAAGAAGGAGAACAAACGACAAGAAATATTGACTTATCACCTCTTCCCTCATTAAATTTATAATCAAAAAAATTATTAAACCTGAGGGAAAAATCTATTTCAAAATAATCTGAAAAAATCATAGAAGAAAACAAAAAGCTAGTTAATTAAATTTTTAATTAAAATGAAGATAGAAGAGTTTCTCTAATGAATAATGCAAGAAACTCAAAGCAAAATTTGAAGTCTATTTATGCAAATTTACTTAAGTAGAGAGCTATTTAATAATAAAATGAAACTTTTTTGAACAATAATTAGCAAAAACAATAAAGAGCAGTAATAAACAGATAACAAAAAGATAGAAATAGTATTATTTAAAAGAGAGGAATGCAGTACTATATCAAGAAGCATTTCATAAAATTGTTAGTTATTATACATTGTTAGTAGTACATAGACTTGAAAAGAATTGGAGATCAAGTTAAAATATAAAGAACTTAAAAATTTTTTGACTTGACTAAGGTCCTTGATGATGCATTTATCTCCTAGAAATTCAATGTAAGAATCACTAATCTCATTAAATTCATAGAAATAAGGCTCTGGGAAAACCTCATAACGCAGAGCAGGTTAGAAGCCGATCTTTAATCTGAGCATATACTTTTTTGCTTTGAAAACTCTAAACTCCCTTTGCACGAACTAATGTTTCATGATTTTGTACAAATAGAAGGAAATTCAAGTCATGATTTTAACACAGAAATTTGTATTAACTTTATTGATATAATCTCAAATAAAGGCTTAAGACGTAACATATTTTATTTTTATTTCTATTAAAAATGCTTATTCTCTAATTTATTTTAAAATAGTTTCAATTTTTATTACAAAATATTTATTTTTCTTTTTTCAAAAACTAATCTTCTTTCTTAAAATTTTCAATCATTTTAATTAAATTTAATTAATTCAAATTAAAGTCTAAAATTAAATTTAATTGGTTACACCTTAAATAATATTTAAACTATTATAGTAGTGTAATTATTATAAAAATTTACACAGTTTATTAATGAGATATTATAAAATTTATTAAAATTTATTCAATTTTTTGATAAAATATATAAATAAATAAATAAGTGAATTATTATAAATTTACATTTTTTAATTTAAGTTAATTAATTTTATGAGAATGTATTTTGATTTATTTGGTATTTTTTTTTTTATTCAAAATGAATAATATAATTTTTTTATTTGATTAAAAAATATAATTTTTACTTATTTAATTAATTAATAATAAATAGAGGCAAAAAAAAGAATAGTGAACATAAATAAAAAGTTAAAAAACAAAAAATAAATGATGGAAAATTTTTACTTTACTCCGTTAGATTGGATTTCCTATCCTATGTCAAGCTACTTTAATATGTATATCTAGAATTTCAATCTTGAAGAAGGGTTTATTTAAACTGATATTGTGAACTTGAGGGAAATACTTAATATTTATATTGCTGAGGGATATTACAAGTACTAAACAAATTATATTAATTCAAAACTAAGTTATTCAGACATAAAAAGTCTTTGCTAGTTTGTAGTTCATAAAATGAAGACGAGTAACTTTTTGAATGTTATCAAATCATAAGTAGGTATTAACAATGAAGGATTTTCTCAGAAGTTTTCCATTGAAGAAAACATCAGATAAAAGGCTAATTACATGAAGAGAATGAAAACTCAACCATAAAATGAAAATGATAACCTTTAAGGTTTTAAGTCTTCATTTGTAAAGGAATAAAATAAATAAACAAATAATTACAATGATTCCAAAAATGATCAACAGCTATTAGTTGTTTAAAAAATAAAAATATTAGATGCTTTTAAAGGAATTATCCTTAAATCTCAATACATCCCGTCTTAAAAAGAGTTTAAATTTGTTGTCCTCGAGACAAACAATAAATCGAATACCACAAGGTACAAGCCTTATGAATTCTTCTCTGAAAAGATCTAATTTTTAGACCAATACTATAAGTAGTAAAAATATGCAGAAATACTTGACAAAGTTGTTATTTTCTTCCAAAAACAAATGCTCTTATATCATAACACTAGTGCTTGAATAAAAGTGTCAATTTTAAAAAATAAATTAATAAATATACTTAAAATAAAACAATAAATTATAATAAATATTTTAATTTAAAAATTAGTAAGTCAAATTTAAAATATATTAATTGTATTTATAACTATAAAACTTTACTAATCTTAAATGTCAAATTAAATAAATAAATAATGAAATTAAGTCTTAGATGGTGTCAGGATTTCAAACTCTACGTTAAAAGTATCCCAATTCTAAGGTATTTATTTATTTTTTTATTTTTTTGTTTGTTTAATTTTTTACTTAAAAATATTTTTTTAGACAATTAAAATCTAGAAATTTAAATTTGAACTTATTTATTTAATTAATTAATTTAGGTATTTATTACTGGTCATTCACTTGGAGCTGCAGTTAGTGCTCACGCTGTTCCTGTTATATTTTAACTTAATAATAATAAACCTATAGATATTTTCTATAACTTTGGAAGTCCTAGAGTAGGGGATTAAAAATACGCCAGCTGGTTTAACAGTTAAAATTTTATTTAATTATTTGGTAGAATTACAAACGGTGCTGATCCAGTTGTCCATTTGCCTCCTATGGGATATCCAATTTAATTTTATCATTATAACCATGAAATCTTTTATCCCTCTTTTAAATCTTAAGGTACAAAACACGTTTAATGTTATAAGGGTGAGGATAACAGTTGCGCTGATGGAGTTTTAATTGATACGAGCATTTCAGATCATTTATCATATTTTGGTTGGGATTGGACTAATGAAGCTAACAAATGCGAATGAACAATTTATAAATTAATAATAATTATATTATAAATAATTATCTTATCTAAAATGGATGAATTAATGAATATTAATAGTTTGTTTGTTTGTTAGTTAGTTTGATATTAGTATAGCAACTTGTCTCTACTGGCTTTAATTAGCAGAAACTTAATTTTGTCGTCTGCCTTACATTTTTAATGATATTGTGTTTTACATATTAAATAGAAGCATACATATTTTTGTTATTAGATTTCTGAAATTTAAATGCAACCAAAATTAATGAATGATTGCAATATTTTTGAAGAAGTTAAAAAACTATTTATTGTTAGTGTATTCAGTGAAAAATACTTATTTAAGATTTATAAATATTGATTACTTTATTGAATAAATTAACTTTTTGAGGATCAATTTTACTTTAATGTGACGATTTTTGTTTGTTTATTTGTAAAATTTCATAGGATTGCTTTCACTACATCTTTTATAAATTTAAATATGCAATAAAAAAACCCATATAAGAAATTCAATTTTTTTATATTTTTTTGCATTTTAAATTAAAATTTCTATTCTTGCTGTAATTAACTCAGCTAAAATAATTAATTATTTATTTATTTACTTGATCTTTAATGCTTTAAAGTTGAAAAAAGTCTATTTTTACTTCACATAAGCAAGCATACAAATAAATATATAGATAGTATGATTTTTATCTCTCAAAAGATGATATAGTATAAATAATAGCGAACAGATTATGCTCACAGACAGGTTTAATATTTTTATCGCATAATAATAATATTTTATTTTAAAATACTACTGAAATAATATTTTAGTTCAATCAGATGAATAGAAATACAATTATTAAGACTTATCTGAAAATATTTTTATATTATTTTACAGTTTTTTTCCTTCCTTTCTTTTGATGTTCTTAATTAAAAATGAATAAGCTTTTTATTTAGTATTGATGAATTAAAATAAAATTTACATAAAGTAGTTGTGGTGTTAGAGGTGATTTATTTGTTGCTAAAAATAGTATAAATTGAGAAAGTGATAAAAAAGAGATTGGTTTGTCATCTTTTCTGTGAAATTATGTACCAATGCAGGATTAATAAAATGCAAATTAATTTGGGAAAATTTAAAAGAAAGTTTGTGTTTTTGATGGATTCTGATTGCATAATTTTTATCAATTAATTTATAATAATTTACAATAATTAATTAATGTTACTCTGTTTATATGTTTAAATTCTGAAGCTACTTATTGATTTTTGCAAGCTATATTAACTAATTTATTTACTTCAAAAACATATAAAACAAATAATAAATAAATAATATAAAATTCAACTGATAAGATTTGAAAAACCAGAATGATAAAATCAATCAACTCTCCAATAATCAATTAATTATATATCGGCGATTCTAAATTTACAAACTAAAATGAAGGAGCAACAAATAAAGAGCAATTTTTAAGTAGCTGCTAAGCTATGTAAAACTTTGAAATATTATCTTTATATTCTAAGTGCGCTAAATCTAACGCAATAAAGAATATAATCAACTAATTTCAGAATTTCATCTTGTGCAGCGATGACCAAATAGTAGTTGAATCTATATCTGAGCTAATAGAGCAAAGGAATCTAAGTCAAATTAGAAAGGAGTTTAACACTTTTTGCAAGTTGAAAAAACTAAACCAATCATTCTTAGTTTCGGTTATCAACAGCAAGAGATTTTCTATGTTTTTTAAGTACTTTTTAAATTACTATGTTTTAGATTGGGCGTTCGAAAGGGTTAACAAGGAGCTAAATAACCACTTGATTTGTATAATATTTTTTTAGAGATGCTTCTTAGATAAAACTTTGATAAAAGAAATAAAAACATATAAAAAGCGTTTGGACTGAAGAAGCAAATTACTGTTTATCTAATAATTTATTTCATAATATATAAATTAATCATTTGTTGCAAGCGAAGCACAAATTGTATCATCGATTATATTTGAGAGCTACAAATATTAATAAAGTGCTTATCTAAAAATTTTAAATGAGCCTTTACAAAAACTATATTTATTAAATATTCTATTTATTTTAATGTAATTATATTTGTTTGTGTATTTTACTATTATTTTGTATAAATTATAAAGCCTACTTCTTTCTTTTATTGATAACAAAATTTTAATATAATATTTTGTTCTATTTAATTTTGAACTAAAGAATATTACAATTAATAGTATTTGTAAAAATATCCACAAACTATTTCGAAGCTTCATAAATAAATAAGAAATTATAATATAAAAAGACAATTAATTTCAATTCTAAGTAATAAAAATAAATATTTAACTTTCAGAATATTTTACATATAAATAATATTTGTAAATATTTTCTAAAATGATGATTTTATAATTAATTAGATTTTATGGCTCAAAAAAACATAAATATTGTAATGCTATTTAAAAATTATATGATTTTGATCGTAAAAATGTTGTTCTACAAGTTATTTAATATTATAAAAATATTAATTGGCCATTATCCTAAAAAACAGATGAAAGCTTCAAAATTAAGCTTAAAAATGAATGATTAATTAAAAAGTATTAAAATTGCAAAATTTATATTATTATTATTATATAATAATAATAAAATAGCATTTTAAGATAAGCAAAAATTTATAAATTTTAAACAAAAATAGATTTTAATTATGAAAGAAAAAACTTAAAATAGACAAAATATTTATGGAATTAACAATTTTTTGATAAATTAAAATACATTTTATTATTTATTTACTTTGTTTTGTATTTTTGAAATCAATGTTTAAATCAGTTGAGAAACTATTGATTTTCTTAAACAGTAAATTATAATGAATAAGGTTACAAACTATTAAAAATTAATTACATCAGATTACATATTTAAAAAATTAATTTCTAAACAACTAACTACTGCGCTTCCAAAAAAATAGAGGAAATTTCTCAAAAATAAATGTAAATAAAAATAGCCATTATACTTTAAAATTAACAATTTAAATTGTAAATAAAATTATTCTTTGGCAATATTTAACTCAGTGTGTGTTTTTCTTGTTTCATATTATTCATATGTTCATATTTTAACATAAAAAGATTCATAGATCAGCTTTAGAGTTACATTCTCTATTTAACCATGAATTGATTTTACAATTAGGCAGCTTTAATTTTGATTTTACAATTAATTTAATTAAAAAAGTAATCCCTTGATCAATTTTAAATCATTATAAAACCTTGAACAATAATTAATAATCTAATATTTGACGGTGTTTCTATTTATAATATCATCTATTTTAAATTATTATAATTAAATGTATTCTTCATCTTTTCATTCTTTATTAGGCATATTATCTTAAATAATAGAAAAAACTAAACTGCTAAACTTAAAAAGATATGAGTTTTGCCTGAAATTAAGAAATAAATATATAAAAACATTTTTATCGCAATTAGAAAATATCTCTATTATATTTATATTATTTGTAAGTTAATATTATTTCTGTTAAGATTAATAGAGTAAATTGGCCACTGAATTTTAATTATCTTTTTAATTCAACTTCTTTTCTTTACTGTTAAAACAAATATATTTTTTAAAAATAAATTCTTAAAAAAAGTTTAAACATACAACTAAATATGAAATATTTTTTCTTTCACCCATAATTCATATCATTTTAGGTCATGCAAATTTTTATTCTTATTGAATTTAACTTGCTTATTACTTCAAATTTAGGTTAAGTATTTAAAAATAATTCGCTTGAGCTATTGTAAGACTAATTCCTTTGTTTTGTTTACACCTACCAATTAAATTAGAGAAAATTGAGAAGTTTCTCCTGAAACTATTAGAAAAAGTTTTGATTGAAAATATGCCTTTTTTCTATTTAACAAAAGTGAGGACAGTAAATTTACTTTTAATTAATCATAAAAATCAAATTTTTTAAAAATTCTTCAATCCAAATTAAATTACAAAGTAACACTTTTAGTTTAAATAACATTATAAAATTTATTATTGTTCTAGCTTCCTTAGAGATAGAGTCAAACATGGAATTAATGACATATATAATAATTAATTTAATAAATTTTGAAAGTACTTAAGCATTATTTAAGGATTTATTGAAGGACTCTTATCCTGTAAAATTTATTACATATTAAATAGAGCGAGATACATTAGAATTTTTATTATTTAAAATTAAATTCATGCGATATAACAAATTTTAATTTATTTACATCAAAAATATCAACAAAAATTAATAGAGAAGTTTATCAACTTTAATAAAAAATATATATATAATTTAATTTAATAAAAATAATTAAATAAAATAACTAAATAGACCTTCTTTAATTGCTAATAATCTCTATTTATGAAAGTTGCTTAATCTTGTGATTCCAATTATCAATCAACGTCAGACTTTAGAGATTCTTGGTTTGAAAAAAATAGCTAATAAGTAAATATTGTTAGATAAATATTGACTGAATATAAAAATATGGAAAATAATCAAATTTTGAATGTTTATTTAAAATGTTAAAAATCAAACGCAATTAAGTGTATCATCAATTAATTTTAAAACTTTATTCTTTTTAATGGAGATGAAGTTGTAATAGAATCAATATCTGAACTGCTAGATTAAAGGAAAGTAAATTAAACAAGAAAGGAATTTTTAACTTTTTGTAAAATAAAAAATTAAAATTAATCCTTTTTAGTCTCTATCATGAATAGCAAAAGATTTTCATACTTTTTTGAGTACTTTCTAAATTATTATGTTTTGGATTGGATAATCTTAAAAGTCAGCAAAGAATTAAATCCATATTTAATTTGTATTACTTTTTTTTAAAGATGCTTTTTAGACAAAACATTAATTAAAAATATTAAAACATACAAGAAAAGAATAGACTGAATAATAAATAATTCCTTACTGTTGGTTTTACAGCTTTAGCATTTTTGTCTCCTTTTTTTAATTTTTTTATCTTTTTATCAAGGCTTATTTTTTTTGATTAAATGCTTAATAGTCTAAAAATTTATTTATTGATCAATTGTATTGAGCTCGCAGTAGAATAATTTGCACTAAAAATAAAAAAATAATATCATAATATAAATCTTAATACAAAATAACATAAAATGAATAATTAATTATTAAAAATAATAAAGCTTCAATGCTATTTTAATTTGGTTTATTAAATTTAAAAAAACTGTAAAATCTCCTAAACAAATATACAAACTGTTTTATCATAAATTACTCAAAATAAAATTAATTTTTAAATTCTAATATTTATATGAAATTATTTAATTGTGTAAAATTTCTGTTTAATACAGTAATTAAATTTATCAATTTAAGATATTAAATTTATTTTTTATATAATGATGAAAATATATAAACATTTAATCATACTATAAAATTAAAAAATAATCTAAATAGAAATTAAATTTGAATAGTATGAAATTTTACTAATCAAACATCTAAATTTTCAAAATACAATGCAATAATAAATAAAAAATTGTATTTAAAAGCTTGAATTAAAAGTTAATGTGTTTTTATTTATCAAGATACTTTTTACTTATACATAGAGGTTAATATTTTTTCATCTAATTAATCAATTGATTCACTCTCTTAACACCTCTTTAAGAATTTATTAACATATTTATACTATAACTCGTCTGATAAAGATATTGCAAACTGCTTTTCATAATGGCTTATATCTTTTTGAGTTTCTTTTTATAAATATATGTTCAAATAGTTATAAATAAAATCAATAAATCTTACCAAAGTCTATTATATCTGAATCCAAAAAACTTGATGAGCATCCAATCAGTCTGATAGCCGCTAGTTGATCAGTAGTAAATAGTATCATGATTGCTTTTTTTAAAAAGATGATATCTTGGTACAATTCCAAAATATCCAAGTCTTTATCTATCTAACTTTCAATAATCTTGATCGATTATTTACTTAAACCTTAAGATTTTAGAAATTCTTGTTTCTTGCAAAATCTATTTTATATAAAGTTAAATTATTGTTATTTTTATCAAATTCAAATCTTATTTACTTTGTCTTGAAGATAATTTTTTAAATTTTATTTGCCATATTTTTATCTTTTAGTGCAACAAATTTCAAAGAATAATGCTTATTAGCATCGCTTTTTTGCTCACTATTTTTATTTTTGAATTTGTTTGGAGTAAAATCACCAGAGTAATTATTCTTTTGTACAACAGGTGAATTTTAAAGCATATTTAGCAAAGTAATATTTTATATTTTGTTTTTTTCATTCATACTTCTACTTGTAGAGTGAAGCAGCTCTAAATTATTACATATAGTGTCATTTTAATATTAATCACTTTCTTCCTTCTTCATAAAAAATCTCTCAGCCTTCTAAATTTTCTCAACTAAGATATTCTTTTAGCATTATTCTGTTTCTAAATAATTTGGCTATCTTATCGATAAACTATTATCTGTTTATTTTATTTCGTCTTGACTTATTTCATATTACTTCAAGGCATTACTAAATTCAGGTTGGTTTTTAATTTAGATTTCTTGTTTGAATTTGTAGCTGTTTGTAGGTATAGATATAGAATAATTGTCATCTTTCTCTAATCTCTCCAGATTCTCTTCAATTTATTATTATGATAAATTCTTCTAGTAAGTTTGATTTCTCTGTTCAAAATTTTAAGCATTTAGTAGTTTGTTGATATTTAAAATCTCAAAGTACTTCTCTTGAAATACATTTTTTAGTAAAATCATTTAGAAATCGTTTCTTAAAGAATTCTATGAAAACTGCTTTCCTATAATACCAATGAGCATTAAAGCTGCTATTGTGCTGTTAACCTATGCAAGGACTGAAGGTAGAGTAGAATACTGAACCTAAATCTACTGCACAATTTCGTCCATTTCAACACTAATTTAAATGAATGGCCCTTCTCCAACTTGAGTTAGTGCATATTATCTGTCTAAAACCTAATTTTATAACTCATACTATATAGGTGAAGAAAATTTTGTCTAAGATTAAACAAAAAAGCCCTCTTTAATTGAAGTGACTTATTTCTATGTCCTAAAAGTACTTAAAATATATTAATTAGCTACAGTATAAACAAAAGCGTTTCTATAATTGATTTATTTTTGTTAAGAAGTGACATTATATTAAGATGTATAAAATTTCATTCTTTAACCTGCGTTTAAACCATTTACAATGCTATCAATCTCTGGTTATGTTGCACAATTATCTGGGATTGTAGTCTTTAATTAATCTAAATCTAAGCACCCATACGAGAAGACTTATATCTGAGATTGAATATTATCATTTGTGCTGAGAGTTAAAGTGTAGTTAGCAATTTTAGAGTAATCTAAACAATAAAATCCGGCTAGATTCTCGTCAGTGCATTCAATTATATCTAATGGAATATTTTGATAAAAGTCGTTGTCAGTGTAAAAAAATAGAGCAATAAAAACAAAATATGTTTTATTTTGTTGTGCCTCTAATTGCTAAATACTTTTGTTGACATCGTACTCAAACCTGAACCCAACTAAGTTATTATTTAGCTCAATATCTATTTTTTGTTGAGTTATGAAGCTCTACTCCCTATAATTAGGTTCGATTCCATTTGTAAAATATTAATAAAGGATATAAATAAAATAAGCAGACGCTAGTCCGATAATAAGTAAGGATAGCAAAATTCCGAAAACTGTACCTTTTCTGATCTGTTACCCACCTACATTCATGTAGAATTTGGAAGAAAATAAGTCATATTTAAGTAAACTCATTTTATTTGTAATACTTCTACTTTATATAAATGATTATTAATTTTTTATAAAATTGAATATACTATCTAAAATCAAATAATTAAAAATCAATTATAACTTCAATTAACCATATAAAAAATATATAATTGTATTTTTATTAATTTTTTTAACACCAAACTCTGATTTGAATTAATAAGGAATCATGTTAGTTAATTCATATACATTTAAATTAGTTTAAAAATAATTTATATATTTATTAATTATTGTAATAAGTTTATAATTATAACTCAAAAACATATAATAAATATTTATTATTATTTCAAGATAGACCTAATTTATACATTGAAGTTAATATTTTTTCATCTAGTTTATCGATTGATTCGCTCTCTTAACACCTCTTTAAGAATTTATTAACATATTTATATTAGAGTTCATCTGATAAGGATATTGCAAACTGTTTTTCATAATGACTAATGTCTTTTTGAATTTCTTTTTTTTAAATATTTGATAAAATAAATGTAAAATAAAATTAATGATTCTAACCAAAATCTAAAAGTTGAGAATCGAGAAAACTTGATGAACATCCAATCAATCTGATGGCTGCTAACTAATCAGTTTTAAATAATATCATGATCGCCTTTTTTAAGAATATAATGTCTTAGTATAACTCCAAAATATCTAAGTCTTTATCAATCTGACTATTAATAATCTTAAATGATTATTTATTAAGTCCTTATGATTTTAAAAAGTTTTCTTTGTTACAAAGCCTTTTTACATAAATTAAAATTAAGAACATTTATATAAATATAAGTAAGTTTTAAAATTTACTTTGTTCCAAAAACTTTTGTTTTGATTTTAGCAGATATTTTTTTATCTTTTAATGCAACAAATTTCATAGAATAATGTTTATTGGTGTCATTTTTTTACTCTAAATTTTTACATTTAAATCTGTTTGGAGTATAATCACCAGTAAAATTACTCTTTTTAATTATGGGTACATTTGAAAGCATAGTCATAAACGTGATATTTTACAATTTACTTTTTTCAGTAAAATATCTATTTGTAGATTATATTTAGTCTTAATATTAATGCATATTTTCATTTTAAATTTTAGCATTTTCATAACTCTAATTATTAAATTATTCTGTTTATGACTTTTTATCTGAAAAATTGTATCTTTAGGACAAATCAATTTCAGGAAAATCCTGCTTTTTTTATGTAAAAGTAGTATCAGCTTATTTTATTTCATCTTAGTTTAATTCTTATAATTTTAGGGTGTTGCTCATTTCAGATTAATTATTTACCTAAACTTCTTATTTGAACTTATAATTGTTCGTTGGGATACTTATAAATTAATTATCATCTTTCTCTTATCTCTCAAGATTTTCTTCAATTTATATTTATGACAATTGTTTCTAATAGATTTTATTTCTATTATCTAAATCTTTTATTTGAAGAAAATTATTATTTTTTAAAATCTCGAAGTACTTCTCCTGAAATACATTTTTCAGTAGAATCAT